TATCTACTTACTTTTTTCTTTTCAATCAATGATCAAAAATAAAATTATTTTCAAAAAAAAAAAAAAAAGTTTTCATTGTTTGGTTCATAAGTATAGTTACAAACCGAATTCAGAAAATTTATTCTCGTAAGTTTATATTTATAAATACAGTATTCTATCTTTATGGCGGTTGAAACGGTGTTAAATGCGGTGATAGGTATTGAACCTTATTGGAAAGTATATATATAATCCAATGATTATCTATAAATACGGTGCTCTACATTCAAGTGAAAAAAGGGTGGTGAAATTAATACTCGCTGTTTGAAAATTTTTTGTACTCTACGTTCACAATGAGCATGAAACTCTATTTTTCAGTTTTTTTTTTTTTTTTTTGAAAATTTTTCTGAGAAAATACAACATTTAAAAATTTGATTTCAACTTTTCTTTGGTGCATCGAGAATTCTTTAATGGAAATGAAAATTGCTAACACTTAAACTCGTACTGTTTTATTACAAGTCAGACATTCAACCATTGAATCAATAAGCCAAAAGCACAGTAAACTATATTATTTATAGTTTATTTGGAAATAAAAGTGGAATTTAGCCAAATGTATCCTAATACAAATTGTCATTAAATGTTTTTTTTTTCTTTTTTTGTACTTTGTATGTATCAAAACTTATCTTCTTTTGCAGATTAAAGACAAACAATTACAAAAGGATAATTAAGTGATATTTCAAAAAGAATAAGAAAAAAAAAAAAAGAATATATCTCTTTTATGGTGTAGTTTCCAAAGATTGAACTTTTATCAATAATATTCATTTAAATTTTTAAATTTATTGGAGAATGAACATCGGTCTAGCAGTGATTGTTTATACTTTACTGCGAGCAATCCGAGTTGAAATCTCTGTCCTTCCCATCACTCATCTTCTGTAACTTTAGAGGACAAAAAAACTTTACAGTTCTGGTTATTTTTTTCTTTAAAAGGCCTCACTTGTTCTATTTCTTCTCAAGATTGATTGAAACTTGTTAAAGAAAGAAAAAATTTATCTAGATCGTGTCCATGCTTTTATTTATAGACTAAATAATTGAAATTAAATATTTTTAACAAGTGTATGGAATTTTTTTAATGTATAATTAAAAATATCCGGGTTTTAATACAAATTTTTAATTTTATTGATTCGCTCTAAATGGAGCGATGTATTCAACGGGTGAGTTTTTTATGAAATGATAAACTCGATCAATAATTAAAACTTCAAACTTCAAAGACTCGTGAAATGAAATATTTGGTACAGCTGCAATCTACTTAGAAATTGTATCTTCCTTGTGCACATGCCGTATGCCCTCTTTGCACAGTTAGCTAAATGGATGAATCATATTATATATTATTATAATTAAAACAAAATGGTTGTATAAAATTGTTGTATATAAAAATTAAAATGCATAAACAAATTATTATGAATTTAAGCTCTAAATAATAAATTGGTGTTATTTTTTTTCTTCTAAGAATACTTGTAAAAACATTTTATCATATTTATAAACAATAAATATTGTATGTATTTATAAAATGAATTTTATATTCATAAAAAATAAAATATAATTTATACTGGTGAAATAAATTTTAAGCAAACAGAAAGAATGATAGCAAAGCCCAACATAACTTTTGTTTGGACCACTAAGTTAATTTTTATGTTTCTTCCCATTTTTGTTCGAATTAAATATTTTGTCTATTTGCTAATTTTAGGAAAATGGACTTCATATTTGGATAAAATTAACTAAAATGGTGATGGTGACTTTGTCTAAGAATGTAACCCTTGCAACTCTACATTTTGTGCGTGAGGTGTGTTTCGAGGGGATAAATGGGCCTTCGGTCCATGTTCAAGCTCATGAATTCGTTTGCTTCAAAACTGATCTTATGTGAAATGAAAAGGGAAGTGAATGATTAAAGTGAGTCCAAAATGATGCAATATTGATTCAAATTACAAATATTTAAATTATAGTAATTTAGATGGCGAACTCAAAAATTAGTTATAGTTACAGATTTTACTATTTTTCATACATGGGATGGACAAAATCATTTTTTATATCAGAAAATAGAATTCATCGTATAACGCGCGAAATTTTCATAATAAATAACTATAATAATTTAATTTTTATATTATTAATTAAGCCCCCTAATCAGATGAGATCTCATGTTCAAACCCCGTTTCCCTTATTGAACTGTTGTTCATAATGATGTATTTGAAATTGTAGAGCAATGTTCGGAGCTGGGAAGCTTCTGCCAACAAAATTATTGTTAATACACCAACACTCCGCTAGATGGTGATGGGGTACCAAACCCCAGACTGTGACAATCTTCTCCAAAGTAGCCTGATGGAAGATAGCAAGCGGCAGATTAGAGACCCTGTCGTATACTGAAAAAGCTAATCTTGTAATGTCAGCAAGGACCACAGTAACTAGGAAAAATGTCTGTCTTACATTGTTGAAAACAAGGCAACTGTGTATCGTTCAACAAATTTGCTGAGCCTTCGTTACACTGGCATGTGTGTGCGTTTCCATTAGGCATGCATGTCCCGTCGGCGCACCAAATTAAATTACAGGCTGTGAAATGGAATCCATGGTTAATTGGTTTGAGATTAGAAAGTAATAACTTGAATTGAACAGATCCGCACAGATAAATATACTATACTCACGTTTTGATATATTTAGCGGTGGCGGAGGTAGAGGAGCTGTAGGAGGCGATGCTGGAGATACATTACCACATCCTAAATCAATTGTGCCTGCAAATTCATTAATGGTGAATTCAGTTGTTAAGTTAAATCTAGAAGGTTACATAGGAAACTTTTAACAAAAAAGGACATGTTTTTTCTTAGCAAGGTTTGAATCTTGATCCTGGAGGATTATCTTCAGCCCAACATTGTCTCTGTCTTTCTTGGAATTATCCATTTCAGATATATTTTCCAGACATATTCACATTCTTTTGTACAAGCTGACGCACATGCACATATTCTAATTCTTGACATTGACATTATTTTTATCATTTCAACACCTAGCAAAAGAGACCCTTCTTGAGATTACCAAAAAATACAGAAGCTCATATGACCACACGCACAAACTACATGTCTCTTCTCAGATACAACACAGAGAGAGAGAGAGAGAGAGACTCACAATTTGGAATTGTACAAGAGAGGAAGGTCAAAGGACCAGTTTCCATCTTCTTCCAACCGGAATAGCATTCACACTCAAAACCAAGCAATGAAGTATTAGAACTCTTGCATGTTCCTTTTCCACAGTACACCAACTTACACATACCATCATCTGTACATAGAGCATCAAACCGCAAACTCCATAATAATTCAAATTTCCAAATTCCAGAAAATTTCCCAATGTAACATTAAATAGCATCAAAATATTTAAAGGGTGTTTCTTGCCATTTCTGTTTACGATTTTAAATTTCTTCTTTTTTCCCTATACTAAAAGCTTGTATCCTAGCTTTATCGTTTTCTTTTCTCTTCACGTGACAACTTAATTATTTTTCTGTTTCAAATAAAAAAAAAAAAAAGAAAAATCAGTATATTTTTATCGGTCTAATTGGTTTTCTTACTTCATACAAGAATGTGGCAAGAAATACATATCGGATCTATTTAGTAAGTATTATTTAAAGAAAATTATTATTTCATATTAAGTAGCCATAATGTTATGCAGGTTGGCTATTTGGTATTTGATATATATAAGAATAAAATTTTAATAAAAATGAAAAACAATTATACCAAACCAAACCGAGCCCTTACCTTCTGATGTGTTTGTAGAAGTGGCAATAAGATTGAATATGAAGAGATCGAAGAAAAGAATATGGAAAGAAAAAAGAGAGAAGTAATTGAGATTGTATCTGTCCATAGTACAGTAAGTTTGGAGACTATACCAAAGAACAATAAGTTTGGTAATGACAGTTAAAATGCAAAGAGCATTTATCAGAAAAACGGTAAAAACTGTCCAACAAGGTAGTGATAAACACACCTAGAAAATAGACCCCAAATATTAATAATTTAAATGCTGTTGTTATTTTTCATATTACATACAAACTCTAATGGGGCGAGATGTGCGATGGAGGAAGGAAACTGGTAGGTAGAGACGGTCAAATCAACATACATTCTATTTGTTTGAGAAGGGATGAGAATTCTTTACCCATAAAATTAGATTATCTCTAAATGGAGGAGACAAAAATATTGCATTGTTTTTCTTTTTTCTTTTTTTTTTTTCAAATAAAGCCTAAAGAGAATGAAATTATTTAAATTAGTGGTGAAAATGAAAAATTAGCCTGTCTAAGAAATTGAAATCTCTAATTAACTTCTCTCAATTCATTGTTAACAACATTTACTTTCAATTTTTCCTAAATCATTTTTTTTCTTACTCAGATTCTTTTTACACATCATCAATCTTTTTGTGCTCCGTCCCGATATATTTTATTTACCTTGATATATAGTAATCGAAAATGAAGACATTTTTATCATGATAATAGCTATAAGGGTAATTTTACAATTGATATTATTAATGTAATAATCTTAGATGAGATCTTAATTAGGTAGTTAACTTGGACGTAAAATGTTCTGCGTGTAAGTTTGCTCTACCCAAAGAATTGGGAAAAGCTGCTCGTGTTTTCCTCCTTTATGGCTAAATTCTATTCTCTATTATAAATAATCTTCGTCTTTTCAGCTCGGAAAATTATCGATGCCTCTTTTGGAGCATATTGCAAACTTTGGGTTGCAAATTGTACTGGCCCCTGAATTTCTTATTATGATCATTGTGATAAGTAACGTATAAATCATTTAAAACTTTTTTTTTTTTTAATACAAAAATAAGTTGCGACTCTACATTTTGTACACTTGGGCCTTCAATCCATGTCCAAGCCCATTAATAATAGTAGGATTCCACCTTTCCTATTGCTCTTATAATTTTAAGCTCCATTGAAGCCAGAAATTCATAATCTCACAATCCTAAAGATGAACAGACAACTCTTATGCCCCTGAGCCAAATTTGGTTTATTGATGATAATAATCAGCATTAATTGAACAGGACTAGCTAGTAATTATTGCAGCTGATAAACAAGTATACATGAGTTTTTGAGTAACAATATGTATATATGTATTACAAGTACATGTTTGTGAAGCTGTTTCTCTTATCAACCTGTGTATTTTTTAAATTATGAAGAAAATAATTTATCAGGAGTATCTTCTGTTGCTGATGTCTGATCTCTAAAGCAATGTAAGGGAAGCTGCTGCTAACAATGTCACAATTAATTCACCAACACTTGATGCTTTTGATGAACCTATCACATGATAAAAGAAGCGTAGCATTTATTATTTGCTTATGATTCTTAGTTATATATTATACATGCATATGCAAAAATATGTATATATTATATAGTTATATATATATATATATACCGTTGCCACCAGAGTTCAAAGCACTTGGTGGTGTATCATTACCCTTAGAGCCCGAATTGCTAGATGGTGGTGGTGGTGTGGAAATTGGCATACCCAACCCTAGACCGTGGCAATCTGCTCCAAAGTAGCCTGGTGGAAAATGGCAAAGGGTAGATTAGAGACTTGGTTGTATACTGATAAAGCTAATTTTGCATTTTGCAATACAAAATCAGGTTCCAGTTCAGTTTGGAACTATGATTTAGGCTACGCTCAACTACAGTAATTTCTTACAAAACAATAATTGAAAGAGTAATGAAGAAATGTCTGTCTTACATTCTTGAAAACATGGCAACTCTTTATTATTCGCCAAATTTGCTGAACCTTCACTGCACTGGCATGTGTGTCCTGTTCCATTAGGCATGCAGGTCCCATCGCCACACCAAATTAAGTTACAGGCTGTGGAATAGAATTTCGTGGTTAATTGGTTTAGGATTAGAAGGTATAATAGCTTAAATTGAATAGATCAATACAGGAGAAGTATTCTAAAGTTTAATTACACTCACGGTTTGTTAAATTTAGTGGTCGCGGAGGTACAGGAGCTGAAGGAGGAGGCGGTGGTGGAGACCCATTACCACATTGTACATCAACTGTGCCTGCAAATTCATCAATGCTGAATCTAGTCATTGCTTCTCCTAATACATCCACAAGTTAAATCTGGATAGTAGTATAAAAACTTTTAACAAAAAGAAAAAGATTTGTTTTTAATAAAAAAAAAGGTGGGATTTGGATGGATCATCATATTCAAACATGACATGAGAGGACTGATACATCCAGATCAATAATATTAATAGATTAGCAAAGAACTGGAGGATCTTCAGCCCAATGTATTCGTCTTTCTTTGAACTTTCCATTTCAGATGTATTTTTCAAGCGTATTCACGTTCTTATTCTACAAGCTGAATACATATGCACATATTCTAATTCTTGACATTAACATCATTTTTATTGTCTCAATTTTCAACACCTAACAAAAGAGACCTTGAAAGTACAAAAAGATATAGAAGCTTATATGATCACATATACAAAATACATCTTAATTCATAGATATAACACGCATAGAGAGAGAAAGAGAGAGACTCACAATTGGGAATTAAACAAGAGGGAAAGGTCACAGGACCAATTTCTATCTTCTTCCAACCAGAATAGCACTCGCACTCAAAACCAGGCAACAAAGTATTATTAGAATTCTTGCATGTTCCTTGCCCACAGTAAACCAATGCACACAAACCATCATCTGTACATACAAAACAACATCAAACCACTAACCCCATAGTAACTCAAAAATGAAAAACCCCATACAATTCCCAACATAAAAATAAATAGCCTCAAAATATTTTGGGATGGTTTGGCCTCATTTCTACTTTTGATTTTCTCTTTTGTAACTTTTCGATACTAAAAGTTTGTATCTTAGAAAAAAATTGATAAAAAAAAAAAAAAAAGGAAAAATAATTTCGATAGTTTTTCTCTTACAAGTTTTTCTGTTTTACCAAATAAGAAAAATAAAAAAAAATCTTAAACAAAAACCAAAAACAACTACACCAAACCAAACTAGACCTTACCATCTTCGAATGTTGTGTTTGTTGAAGTGGCAGTTGGATTGTGTATAAAGAGAGTGAAGAGAAGAAGATGGAAAGAAAAAAGAGAAACGTAGTTAAGATATCTCTCCATAGTTTGTGGGAGACTATGCAAAAGGACAATAAGTTTGGTAATGACAGTTAAAAGAGGATTAATAATAAAAGGGTCTGACAAGGTAGTAATAAACACACCTAGAAAACAAAGGATTAATAAGTTACTCGGTTGTTATTTTATACACAGCAAGTAAAAACTCTAATGGGGCGAGACGTGCAATGGAGGAAAGTGATATAGACGTTGAAGTCAACTTTTATTCACTGTCTGATTATAAGAACAGGTGTGCAAGAAATCAAAAAAAGTGTTTGAGAATATCGACTGGCTGCTAGTTTCTCGAGAAAATTCAATTGCCTAAAAGACCCGTTCTACCGGAGCATTCCTCTCACGTTCAACACGGGCTTAAATCTTTAAAAGTGACTAAGAATATTAAAATACACTTCTTGATCAGAGTCAAAAATAAATAAATAAATAAAAACAAGAAAAATAAAGAGCTTCTAGATTGTATGCTGAAAGTTGAAAATAAGCCTTAGACGGCAGATTTGCCTAGCTGTATTGATCTCCTCATGAAGCATTTAGCCTTCTAAAAAACAAGAAAAGGAAAACAAAACAAAATAAGAGAAGTAAATAATAATTATAATAATTTCAGATGCTCCTCATGAAATCATATAAATATATTAATATTCTTGACATCACTTAAACACTATTTTTTTTTTCTTTTTTCGGTGAAATAGACTGATATCATATCTGACGCCAAAAAAAAAAAAAAAAAAAAAAAAAATTTTTGATATCATATCTGAGAGCCCAAAAAAAAAAAAAAAAAAAAAGAAATTTTTTATCACATTGGTTCTTGGTTTTTTCTTGAATCCGTGTCACATAAAAACAAACTAACTCAAACAATTACCAAAGTTCTGTAAAATAAATTGAATTACAATTGCATAGCAGAGCAAGATACAAAAAATACCATAATAGACAGGAATATATATATATGAGCCTTTCCAATATTCGGGATTAACAAAAAAAAAAAAAAAAAAAAAAGAAATTTTTTATCACATTTTCTTGGGTTTTTTCTTTGATCCGTGTCACATAAAAACAAACTAATAAACAATTACAAAGTTCTGTAAAATAAATTGAATTACATTGCATAGCAGAGCAGATACAAAAAAATAACATAATAGACAAATATATATATATGAGCCCTTTCCAATAATTGGATTACAAACAATCAAATCACAGATGAGAAATACAAACATAGCACCACAGTAATGAATCGAAAAAGAAAAAGAACCAGCAAATGTCTTCGTTTTAACATTGGAAATATACTCCTTATGCTGATCCAAAATCTGAAAACCATTTCTCATGCTTCTCAATATCAGCTTGGGATACACTTCGTTGGACCTTTTGCAAGGCTTCTTCAAAATCGCACATTGCAACAGGATCCTTAGAAATCTCATCTTTAGACATATTTTTAATCTCATCCCGTGTCTTCCCGGCTATCTTGCGCCTCATGCCATTTAAGGAAGCATCACGGCACACATTTGTTAGATCGTCTCCACTGTAACCCTCTGTCCGACGAGCCACTTCATCAATATCCACATCAGGAGCTACCTGATAACATTTTTTTAACCAGTAAGTACGCAAACTTAAACTAGACAAGAATAACATACAGTTGAAGACACCAGATCATTAACACGATTATAATAAACCATCATTTACAAGAAATACTTAAGATAAAAATATTGGTCAAACATAATTGCAATAAAACAAAAAAAAACCCACTCCTTGACACATAGATTGCATTATCGCAATGCTCTACTTCTAAATCGATGCATAGTTCCACTGATGAATGCTACAGGAAATAAATGTTAATGTTCAGAATTCATATATAATATAACATCTGGTACATAATTTCTTCATAACCTTCATACTCTCACAACCACTTTGAGAAGGATAGACTATTTTCAGAAAATTGCTTTTTTGAAAAAACTTCTTTCAATGAATTAGGGAATTATAGTATAGCCTTCTCTTTCATCCATATTTCATAAGCAGCAGCAGCCTAGAAACTGAAGCCTATTCAGATGCACTCACTATGTTTCAGATTATTATGGTATCTGTCTCAGATTCACATAAACATGCCTGTTCAGATGCACTCACTATGTTTCAGATTAATTTGGTATCTGTCTCAGATTCACATAAACATGTTTAATTTACCTCAACAGTTTTCAAATTGATCCTAATAAGCTCCTTACGACTCTCGAAATTTGGAAGTGGAATGTAGATACGCTTTTCCAACCTCCTCCTGCATTGCATCAGAGCCTTGAATTAGAGCATAATAAAGCAGCATATCAAATTATAACATCTTTTACAGATCCATATATTGAACAGAAAATTCCAGGAGAATAAAATTTTAGCAAAATGGAACACAATATACCTCAGAGCTTCATCTATGTCCCAAGGGAAGTTAGTAGCTGCCAAAACCATCACTATTTTTCGGCTACCATCTTCATTTGTGGAAGTATTGTTTACACCATCTACTTGAACAAGAAGTTCAGACTTGACCCTTCTAGATGATTCATGTTCCCCTGAAGCCCTGAGGTGTTGCAGGCATTCAATCAAAAAGAAAGGTTAGGCCAATAAGTTCAAATTTACATGCAGAGCAAACAGCTGCATGCAATGGAATCCATGTGCAGCTGAAATTAACACATAAATGAGAGGAAAAGAAAGCAACTTCAATATCATCACAAGGAAATTGAAAATATAGAAAGGAATTTCCAGCATATGCCATAGATAAACTATAGGCAGAAACTTTAGTCCAAACATGAAAACATGACACAATGCACAGTTTTGGCAATATACCCTACATGCACTGAAATTTCTTCCCTGATAAAAAGCTGTGCAAGGAACTAACAGGAAATCAAACCTCCACATATCGGTGAAATACTTACCCCCTGGCGTTGCACAGGGAATCAATCTCATCAATGAAAATCGTACTTGGTGCATAAGCTCGTGCCAAATCAAACAAGCACCGAACCATGCGCTCACTCTCCCCACGCCATTTTGAAGCCAATGTAGCAGATGAGACATTGAAAAATGTTGTCCCACACTCGGTAGCAACAGCTTTAGCAAGCAGGGTCTTTCCAGTACCAGGAGGACCAAACATAAGAACCCCTTTCCATGGTCTCCTTATTCCCTGCCAAAGAGGGGGAAAAAGTCAATGACATTCGTCAAGCCAAGAAAGTAAAAGCAAAATTAAATAGAAACATGCCATTTAACTCACAGAAGATGTGGAATGCATGATTAAGTGACAAATCTTAAGAACCAAGTATTAGTGAAAGATGAGAGTGTGAACTACAATCATATTTAATTTCAACCATTCAAGTATACCTGGAAATATTCAGGCATCCATAATGGAAGGACAACAGCTTCTTCTAGAAGTCTCTTTGCTTCACTAAGTCCTGCAACATCATCCCATCTAACTCCAGGAGTAGTTTCCAAGACATCCCTTTCGAGCATGGCAGCCAAGTCAGGATCAGGTCCTTCATATTGTCCCTTTTTGGACTTTCCATCTTCAGCATCGCCATTCTAACAAATCCATTTGCAAATAAGTTCACATGACAAAGACAACGATGAATGTAACAACTAATAAAAAAACAACTTACAAGTCTCACATCATTAAAATTACTTGGAATATCGAGTTAAATGTTACAATCCTCTGCCTAGCTAGGTGCTTGGTGAGTGAGAAAGGAAGAGATAGAGGGAAAATATAAGAGAATCAGAGAGAAGAGAGAAACGGAATCTGTAGAGGGAAATTGATTATTTATTGTATTAATGCCTAAATGGAAAATACATCTCGTGTATTTATACGGACCTATTAACAAATTCTAACACCTATCCGTCCAACCACTGAACTTAACTAATTCAAATTGTTCCAGCTCCTCATCCAACCGATTGATCCTATACTCTTCCTCTCATTGGTGAAGTCATAAAAATAAAATCAGCATATTTACCAGCAGGAAACAAATTAATAACATGGACAAAAAAAACATTCGAAAAAAAAAAAATTTGCAGACAACAAAGCAATCCGTATATCCTAAACAAATGGCGCACTCAGACAGCGTAATGATGTTTTCAGTATCCCAACACAAATCACCTGAATAGGATATAATTGTAAAAGGTGCAAATGCAAGTAGGCTCCCATATAATATGCAGATTGACATATTGTGCTACAGGAAAAAGAATGTAAAAACAAAGTCCAATATCCAAGTAAAGGTAAATGCTAAAATATTACAAACACTATCATTACATCTAGCTGAACTTACAGCTGAATCTCCCTTGCCAGGTTTTCCAGCCCCAGTGCCTTTCTTCCCAGTAGTTGATGCTCGGACCCCCGAGTTCACCCTGCTTGAACCACCAGACTTTTGAGCACGGCCAGTTGTACCCGTTCTTGTTGAACCACCACGACCCCAATTCCCATCCTGCGGAGATTTCCTCATACCCACTTGACCAGGCCTAGCAGGTCTCCTACTCGTTGTGTCACGACTTGGGGGCCTCCACACATCAGGATCATCCATAGGAGCACCAGAGGAAGTAGGGTACTCATCTAATGGTTGGAAAACAAAGGATGATTTAGCATTAATAGGTGGTGAGGCAGCACGTCGCCCTGTGGGAGTTTCCTTAAATGCCCTTCTCTCTGCATCTAATTGCTTAACAACTTCTGTCTCCTCTGATATGGCTTTCTTGGCATTCATCCATTTTGTACGAATTAAAGGGTCATCAAGCGTGTTCAGGTGCCTAAAACAAGACAATAATTGCAAGCTCTATTAAAATGTTCAAGCAACTACCAAGTAAGAAATTCTAGTTCCAATTTGTCACAGTATTACACTAGATATAAACTGAAAGCATCTAACAACAGTGATCTAAGTCCAATAAATGTAGTTAGAAAACATAAAATCTAACTGTTGTAAGTCTAGGCACCACCGATATCATCAGATTGTTGCAATATAATGAAGAAATTAAAGAAAGATATGAAGAACCACCAGTGCTGTATTTATTTGACCAAAATATATGGCAAGTAAAACAAACAGAGAATATATGTCCCTGCCTATAATCAAATGGATAATATGCCACTAAATAGAGAACCTAAATAGACACATTGTCGGAGAAATCTATTAACTGCTAAATTTGCTCGGTGTTAAGGCCAAATAACAGTAATCAAATGCTGCTTACACATGGATGGAGGTATTAAAAAGAAGAGAATCATCCTATTTTGTAGTCCAACCATCAGTTATCAAACAGACAAAATAACTGGAGACAGGGGCATAAACATAACCTGCTAACATTGTAAGGAAAAACCTGAAATTTTCCTTTCGAAGTCCCATTAATCTATACGAACAGTTTCACACGAACTTCTGAAATCTTTTGGCTCCTTCCAAGAAAGTTAATATGCATACTTTCTGGAAAGAACTTTTTTCTCTCCAGACAAAAAAAAATCCAGTAGCCAATTGATTTTCTACACTCAATGACAATTCCTCCCAAAAATGAAAATTTTATCCTCAAACAAAATAACATCAAACTCAAAAGAATCCAAATAGAACAAGCAACTCCATTTCCACCAAATCAAACACATTTAACGCTAAAACTTTTACAACTAAAAGCAAGGAAGCTCAAAAACTTAAAACAACATCGCAAATATTTGGAGAATAGTTTAATAGAGGGATAGAAAGAGAAGAATATATTACTTGTTGATCTGAGCAATGGCGCCGTCGAAGAAGATAATCGAAGTATCATACAAACCTTCGAGAGCATACTCTCGGGCCAGTTTTAAGTGATCCTGCAATCCAGTCAGTGAACTCCCCACCATTTTTCTTCTTTTACCCAAATTTCACTGGTCAAACTCAAAATCTAGGGTTTCATTCTCCTTCTCTCTCTACACTTTGGATTTTCTCTCTCTAAAAGACTGGCCGTCTCAGCTAGCTTGGCTTGGCCAGGCAGTGAACTTTGACGGCGACGTTTAAACGATCAAGGAACAGTTAAGAGAAAGCTGTGAAAATACTATATTCTCCCTCTCGCGAATAGTGAGTTAAAGCAAGCTAAACGGCGACGTATAAATGCTCTAGAGCGGAATGCAAGAAATTGCCCTCGGATTTTTCAAGGATTTACAATAACATGATATGCATATGATAGACCGATTGCTATTGATTTTTGAAGTGTGTGATGTTTGGGCCCTTAATGGATTATACTTATTTGAGATGTTTTGTTGAACGTTAGGGGAAGTGGGGCCCAAATTGGGCAGTTGTTAGATCTAATCCAAAGGCCATCAAATTATTACACTTTTGCCACTTTTCTTTTCTTTTTTGGCTTTTTTCCTCGCCTCATCACTTTTTTTCTTTGCTTTAATTTTTTACATTCCATATTTGAATTGATGTTAAGTAATGTTAAAAAAATTAATGAAAAGAGAAAGAAAGTTAATGACGATTAACACCTAATTAAATGTAATAGAAGTAATTCACTATTTGTTTGAATTAGCCCATCCCTCCAAGAATCATGTGTTTAGCTTTTACGGAAAATTACAAATAATAAAGATATAATCAAAACGCTAAAAATTAGTTCAAAAATTATTGTGGAACAAAGCCATAGTAATATAATTATAAATTTTAAGAGTAAAAATAGTATTGTCAAACACTTATTGAGTATCAAATACTAATTAACCCCAACAACATAGTATCAGCTACACTATTTAATGTACTTTCAGATTAGCATGAATGCATAGGTGTATTAGACCAAACCTGAAGGAGGAAAAAATAATACCTACCCCTTTGAAGTACTCTAATCACACTTACCATCCCTTAAAGCCCATTATAATTAGACACAACACAACCCTCGTCACAAGAAGAGGCAAACCTAAGAGTACTAGTTAATGCATGCACTGAACATCAAATATCAGATATGCATATGCAGGAAATTGCTTAACAAAATGCATAACTGAAATATTATTGATTTCATTATTCTAATGTCATTACATTTTTACTAGCGAACAATTGTTCTATTTTTAGATAATTCATTCGCCAGGTAGATAATCCTCCGATTATTCAAATGCACTGCGCCAGTCGTAAATTTGAACAAACTGGCAATAGATACCCAGTTCAGCATCCAGTGGTTGTAAAACAATCACTCGGTCTCCACCATTCCATGGTTCAGTAGTTCTTCCAAACCTTTCTTCAGCCTCTCTGCAGCAGCTTTACAATCAGCCTCAATCAAGCCCCCAAAAGAGATCCTAAGATGCCCCGGACATCCACAAGCATCTCCTGGAATCACAACCACCCCATGCCTCGTAGCGAGCCAGCGAACTACTTTAGTATCATCAAGATATTTGTCAGGAAGTTTAGCCCATAGGTAAAGTGCGCCTTCTCCACCTTTCACAGCACCTTCGCCTAATGGGGAGAGAGCTTTCAAAAGGATTTCTCTGTTCTTGACTAGATCTTTCACTCGTTCACTCACCCACTCGGGTCCGACTTCCAAGGAGTAGAGCGCAAGGTACTGTGAAATTAATGAAGCACAGATTGGTATATTATCCTGAACTTTGAGGAGTTGAGTTCCAACACCCTCCACTCCTGATGGATATGCAATCTGAGGAATGCAGGCTGATATTAGAAGCATTAAAATTTCAAACAGCAAAGCAAGGTACAAATGCAAAATTCATTTCTTTAAACAAAAAATAATTAATCTCAGTTTTTTTTTAACCCGAATAATTTAGATACAACTTATACATTCAATAAAAATAAACCGTCATTTAATAACCATGAAAGATCAAAGTGCTACTTACATATCCAACTCGCCATCCCATCATCCCATAGGCTTTTGAGAAGGAAAAAATGTTGACAACATGGTCACCTTCTACACAGGAATGTTTTAGACCGTCATACATGAAATATCTACAAAGAAGTTAAGAACCACAAGTCAACGCCATAAGATTCAACTTAAGGCAACAATTGATGCACATTATAGATTCTCAAGTGAATGTAATGGCACATAAGCAGCAAGAACCTTCAAAAGATAGCAGAATGTCACCCCAAGCAACCACAATCTCATCAATGTGGCCTGGTTTTTTAATGGCCCTTTTCTATATGACTACAATGATATCATCAACAGAAAACGTTACTTTTGTCATTGTATTTTTTCAAGACACCATTTTCAGAGAAATCAGTCATGTTTTCTACATGTATCCTTATTTTATCAGAGTAGACTGTGTTCTAATTTCGGTCGCTGATCACTACCAAAGCAAAAACAAGAGCAAGACAAATAGATAGTACACATACTGTTAACTTCCCACCCACTAGGTAATCAATGAGAGATTTCAAGAATGCCAATACTGTTGCAATATAATACATTTGAAACTTGAATCCTGGACACTTTCTAAATGAACAAGCTCTAGTATATCACTCCCTCTCTCCTTATAATGAACCAATGAGTTGTGCTATGATATGATTATCAATCAAAATCGACCCATTGATGTTCTAAAGAAATTGGTAACTCGTAAGAACTTTTTCTCTCACCTAAAATCATTGAAATATATCTAAATGCAGAAAAACATTAATGTGAAAATAACTGCTGTATCAAATGGATATATGCTATAGCAGAAAACTTACTCATACGTATTGTCTACAATAAGCCAGGATCCAGCTTCTCTGCATAGATCAGAGATCCTCTGCCCAAGACAAAGAAAGGTTCTAGTTAGAATATTTTGAAAAAGTTAAACAATAATACATGCATTTGTAAGACCTTCTAGTATATGTAAGGGAGAGAGAGAGAGAGAGAGAGAGAAGCACACATATGCTCACAGAGAAAGAGAATGAGAGAAAGACCTTAAGGAGGGGCTCTGGAATGTATGTCCCACTAGGATTACCAGGGTTAACAACAGTCACAACCTTCGGAACTGGTCTAGTTTTCAATAATGTCCTCTCCAACCAATCTGAAATATAAAGCAAGAAGCAATATTAACAAAAGTCAAAACAAAGACAGACTACTGCAGAAAGAAAATGAACTCTCATTACTTATGTTAAATGTAAATCAATCTCCAGGATTCCTTGTTCAAAGTAATAGATGCTGTACATTTTTTTTCCTTGGTCAAATGACTTTCTTAAAAATACCAGTAGCCATCTCCGTCTAATAAATTCCTATCCTCATACAATAGTTTGAATCTGAGACCTCCAAGTTAGAATCCTAAGTTTTGGCCACTGAACTGTCCCCTTCAGGTATTTCTGACTGCACTGTGATATAAACTCATATTAAAAACTTCAATGATTCTCATCCCATGAACAACCCAAAGGTTGTGTACTATGGCATAAAATTCTCCCCTATTTTTCTCTTCCCTCCAGTTTTCACATTCCTAAACAAGAGAAAATAGGAATATTGGCCCCCCCTTCCCACCCTCCCTACAGTATCTATCAAAAGAATACACAAAGTGCAACTCCAAAAGTAATTGAAAATTACTGGTTATTTACACAGCCACAAGAGAAAACTATGGAACCTAGATTTGACTCTCTCCAACAAGTGAGAAGCATCTGACTTAAAATACACAGGTGCCTTTCACAAAAAGGCCCCATATTGCTATAGGAAAGGTGTTAATGCTATGCACTTGAGCATTTTATCAATCTTGACCTGCATCTGGATGAAGCGTCTTCGGATTACCAGGGCCCACTAAAATATTAGTTACACCTGTCATCTGGAAGGACATGTAGGCATTGAAATAGTATGGAGCAAACATAACTACAGAATCCCCAGCATCACACAGTGTAAGAACGAGATTCACAAACGCCTGCCATTAAGCAAAATAAACAATAATTTAGATTTCTGGAAAGCATATGAGAAATATTTGGTCATGGAATACAAACAAGAAAAATCTTTCACAAGCAATGAAATAATCTATGAAATAATTTCTAGAAAGCATAGTTAGTCACCTGATTTGCACCTGCAGTAACCATAACTGAAGAGTTCACCAATTTATTTTCATTTCGCAACTGCAGAACAAAGAGAGAAATTATTAGTTAAATGTGATATGCATACAAATTTCCAGTTGCAGTGCATATGGTCCAGATATTGTTTCCAAATCCAAACCAGAAAAGGAAAATCAACCAAGAAATAATGTTGTTGAAGTATTTGAAGTAACGTATGACTTTGCAGTGCACATAGAGCAGAACAATAGCATGCTTAATATGTACAAGCGAAAAGTAAATGCAGTAACGAACAAATATCAAATTATCTAAGCCGGTTACATATTCCAGTGCCTGCTGGTAGATACCCAGTGACCAAAGTAGAAGATGAATCAGTTGGAAGAACACCGAACACTCAAAATTGCATACCTTCTGTGTCAATGCCTCCCTCAGTTCAGGAATACCCTCATCAGCACCATAACGACTGATTAAAGGATCCCACAAACGTTGTTGCAACTTTTCTACTGCCTCTTCAGGTGGTTGCCAATAAACGACCCCCTATATATAGTAGTGCACATTTCAACCAAAGAATGAGAATCAATGAACCCAGAAAATTTATATATGCCAACTGCACTGAGAGAAAAACAACCAAGAACAAGTAAAGCCATCATACTCCAATCGACGAAAAAACTTAGATATAAATTATATTGTAATATACATTGACAACACAAATTTGTAAGTATAATGTTGGCTTTCCAAGCAACTTGACAAAAGTATTTGACCAAACACATAAATTTTGTTAGTCTCAGCTATTCAGATGAAAAACAGAGAAACGCATTGCCGCCACTATGGCCTCAAGTTTGACGGTCAGACATGTCAAGTGAGTTGAGTATTTCTTTAAAGTGGCCTATATTTGCATTAGAATTTGAGATAATTGGTTATTGATTTTGTAAAAATTTCAAGATACAGAGGGTTAAAGTGATTCTCAAAAGCTCCACTTTCATATGTTCTCAATGTAAGCAAATTTAAGAAAGGGAATATGAAAAAGAAGTTGCCGCCATTTTTCTACATGGCTTCAGGATAGCTGATTCTGTATATGCACCATGAAACAATATTTTTTGAATTATCTTCATGCTTTTTACTTTTAAAAATACAGAATTTCCCCTTTAAAATCTCTAAAATCTCCACCAAACATGCCCTTATCCTCAAAGAAAAAGGACGTAAATTATTCCCGGTTATCAATACTTGTGGTTACAACAATCAAGATACCGAAACATGTATAACAACTAAGCATTGGAAACCAAAGTAGGCACCACCCACTTCTCATTTTTCAATACTCACAAAATAGTGTAAAATTACAACATAAATACAACATGGGAAATAGTAAAAGAGCAAACCTGGGCCAAAGACACGACATTTTTGTCTCCTCGGATCAATTCCTGTATCTGCAAAATAAACACATCTCATATTTTCTTCGTCATGAGAACACTTCAGTCACAATGTACCATGTATCATATTTATAATATAGCTATATTTATATCCATAATCTCCCACTTCCACAAAAACAATAAACCTCTTTCACGCCATACACGCAATAGAACAATTCCCGCAGACAACACACAGGATAAACAAATCTGCATTCCTCCAGTGAAAAGCACCTATATGATAACACAGCACTTTTCCCAATACAAACACGCATATGCAGCACGAGTCTCAGTATGTTATGTCTCAATGCATTTGACAAGATTAAAAAAGAAACCCGCAAACCAAAATGAATTGTAAAATCAATACCTGAACCATGACTGGCATCTCAGTCTCCAAAACCCTCCTTGCAAGCCGTCCATAGGAGCCCATCTCACCTTTTCCTTCAACACAAAAATCTCTCACAAGTTTTATAGATAAGCTCTATTTCAACCCAATTCTCCTAAACCCACCAACTAAAAGGATTTAGTCACCCAAATTTGAAATCTTTTTATAAAAAGTGGTGAAGAGAGCGATGGATTTCGCTTTTTAAGGTTTACAAGATGTGTTTAGCACGTCTCAACGAGCCCCACCAAGAAGAAGACTATTTTGTACAATTCCCATTAAGGTATAAGATTAGTTGGCAAGAAGCACGCCTCATTTCTCCTTGTAAACTACTCAAGCAGAAAGAGCCAAAAAGCCTATTTGTTTGTGTACGTAATTTTTTTTTTTTTTTACCTTTTCCTTTGCTTTAATGTTGTGTTCGTTACTTTGCTTTTGTCTCTCTTCACTTGGATCGTTGCCCAAAAAGAGTGAAAAAAAAATAATTAATGGAAACGAGAACCAAAATCAAAATGATTTTTCTACCAAGAACGAATAAAAAACAATTAATAATAATAAATCGAACAGCAACCTTTTTTTTCCCTTTTAGCAAAAAAGATGAATTTATAAATACCCACAATTGCTCTCTCTCTCTATCCGTCAGACGGACTTGTAGTATTAATCAATTATTTGCAGGGAATTACAAGATATGTATAAACAATTTAAATAATCGAGCTCCGCATCTCCTAGAATTGCACTTAATTTTCAAATCTTTCCAATTAACTACAAATATAATAGTAGAAAAACAGAATAGCAGAAACAGAGAATCTACAGCGTGCCTATACTTCTTCCCAGATGATACTTCCTAGAAATCCAAATTCACAGTATACCCATCTGAAGAACAATGATCTCAAATGATAGGAATTTATTTAAAATTTTAAAAAATCCAACAACAAAAAAAAAAAAAAATTAGAGTAAGGAGGATGAGGATAAACTCAGAGAGAAACAGAAAAAATGGTGAATTAATAAACAAAAGCTTTCTTTGGGAAATTGAATTCCAGGAATTTGAAAGGGATTATGAGGAACTGCACAGCTGAGAACTGTACATGGGACAAATCGAGATAAGACTGCTATCCAAAAAGATAGCTAGTGTTTTATCGGGGGGTTTTAGTGGAGAACTGGAGAATAGTCTTTTTGTGCCATTTGTGGCATTCGAGGAGAGAAAAGGCCATTTGTCTGCAATGAAATCAGAGCCTCACAAAACGACATTGAAACTGCGTGGATTTTGTGCGAGAGAGGAAAAAAAAAAAAAAAAAAGAGCGTGGATTTGTGCGAGAGAGAAAAAAAAAAAAAAAAAAGATGCCCTCTTTCTCTCTCACACAAAGACCAACCAAGACAATCCTCCAGTTCCTTGCTGACTCGAAGGAATGCTTTTTGCGTTCTTGTGTAAGTGAAACTTATAAAAAAAAAAAAAAAAAAAGATGCCCTCTTTCTCTCTCACACAAACCAACAAGACAACCTCCAGTCTCTCTGCTGACTCGAGGGATGCTTTTCTTCTTGTGTAAGTGAAACTTTCGACCAATAATAATTTTCTATGACCATATCCGAAATTGTAAGGCGTTGATAAAAAAAATTGATAATTGGATAATTAATTTTTTAATTTATTGAATACTTTTATGAATTCAAATATTAATATAGCTTACACAACAAGGGTAAATTTCTCGTATACTCACCAAATTAATAAAAACAAATAAATAAACTCAAAATGATTCACTTGAGACCTTTCACTTTTTACATAAATGAAAAAAATAATCAGATTATCACTTAATTGATATAATTAGATAATTGATTAATAGCAACATGGTATGAAATATGCAACTTTATCATATAATTTTTTAAAATTTAAATAATATTATATAATTTAGTATTTATGTTATGATCTTTACAATCCAAAAAGTTTTCTATGATCATACCCGTAATTTTAAGGTGTTCGTCAAAAAAAATGATAATTGGATAATTAATTAATAGTAATTGGGTGAGAATTATGTAAATTTATTATATTAGTTTTTAAAATTCAAATAGTATTTTATGAATTTAATATTTATATTATCGTTACATCCCAAAGTCTTAAAAGCCATAAATTTTTATTATAAGTACTAATTGAGTCCAATAATTAATAACTCTATAATAAATTTATTGTTTTAATAAAAAAAGGTTTAATTTCTTTTTTTAATAATTAGTAATCCAAAAAATAAATTTATTGCATTAATTAAAAAAATTATTCAGCTTTTTTAATAATTTCAGCGGTTTTTTCTATTCATATTCACTTTATACATATAAATTTTACGTTTAAATTTTCAGCGGTTTTTTCTATTTATATTCACTTTATAAATTTTTAATAGTATAGGAAAAATATTTTTAAAGTTTTTATTAATGAACTATTGAATATTATTATTAATTTTATTAATTATTAGAAAAATCTGAAATGTTTGAAATAATACTAATGATATTATTAATTATTAGAAAAAACTTAAAAAACATTTTTAGTGATACTAATAGTATTGTTAACTCAATTAATGTTTAAAATTGAAAAAATAAAACTAAAAAATAATATAAAAAACTCTATTTTCTTTCTCCGTGGAGCTAAAAATGTAAGTTTTATTTTCAGTAGTTTTTTTTATTATGCTGTTGACTGCAAGAGAATTAAATTACATATTAAATGTTCTTTGAACTCCGTAATTATAGGATTGTTTTGTCAGTTGTTGTGCATGGATATTGGTGTCTTAACCTTTTTTTGTTTTAAAAAAAATTTGGGCTTACGTTGTTTATAAACTAGTTAGCCCATATGGTATTGCTATGTATTTATTGGACCCATAAAGTATTGGGCTGCTATTTTATTTCTGGGCCGAGAATTGATTGAGAATATGTAAAATGAATTTGTGTATTGGATTGATTAGAAAGTCTTACTGCGAGTCTTGGGAGTTTAATGTTTACCTAGACTTTAGTATCGGTCCAGTCTATGAATTTAATGGATTGAATACCAATTTGAGTATTTTACAGAATAGTAAATCTTTTTTTTTTTATTTTTAATTTTATTTATATTAAAAATAATAATTATATTCACAAGTTATTATTGATTTTAAATAAGGGTAACTTGGTAAAAAATCTACGGATGGAATAAACAACTAATGAACATTTAATATTATTAATGCTATTAATAGTAATATTAACTCAATTAATGTCTGAAAAATAAAAAAATGCAACATCAAAATCATTTTCCTTGTCAACACAAAGACTCTTTGAGGAATATTTAATATTGTTAAATTTTAAAAACTGAAATTTTTTATTATTTCAAATGATATAGATGACATTATTAATTACTGAAAAGAAAATTGAACAACGTTTAATATTATTAATGATATTAAATATTAATGTTAACTCAATTAATGTCTAAATTAAAAAAATAAATCATTTTTCTTAACAACTCAACACTTTAAAAATTATATATTTTATCGTGTCAGCACTTTAATGTTACTATGTAATAAAACGTAAGTAAATGCATTTCAGTTTTTATATATTTAAAAACAACTTCAGCTTGATTGAAGAGATTCAATTGAATCGACAGAGTAATACACTTGTGTTATGGGTAGTAAGCAAATTGACAGTAATAGATGCTTACCACGATGTACTCATAGAGGTTTATAGTTATTCGACTCCGTAATCTTTTAACAAGTTATTTAATAATTTTTAAAATTATTTAAATTTGATTAATTTTATATTATTGAAAAAAAATTAGCAAAGTACCATAAGTTATAATATTAAATTGATATCCTTGAATAAATTAAATATCACGTGTTTATTAAATTAATTTAAAATTCTGAATTTTTTTACTTGTTAAGTTTTAACTAAAGAATCAATAATAAATCATTAAATTATAAATTTATAATACTATTGTATATTTTCATATTTATATAAATTTTCATGCATTCATAAAATGAAATCAAATCTAAAATTAAAAAATTCAAAATCAAGCCCAAAACTACAATTTAAAAATAACCTAAAACTAGATAAAAAAAAACCTAAAAGTAAAATTAATAATAAAAATAATTGAATGACAGCTTGTTTATATTATATAAAAAATAAATAAATTGGGTGTTGTGAGACACCTTGTTTATATTATATAAAAAATAACCAAATTAAAAAAAAAATGCGGACACTAGGCGTCGAATCGAAGTCCCTTCAACGTTAGAACAGCACCACTGACTCCGTAAGTGAAGCGAGGGGCGGTGGCTCTCATTCCCTCTCTCCGTAAGTGCAGACACAAATGCCATTTTTCAAGAAAAATATATAAACAAAATAAAAAATATATAGTTAGAGAGAAAGGCCAAAGAAGATGAAAGAAGGGTTAGAAAACTGTACTGCTAAATTTGATTGACTTAATCTAAATAGGCATTAAATATAAAAGAATTTTCTTCTTTCTATATTTTTTTCACTCTCAAACAAGTGAATGAAAGAAATTGGATACTATTTTCTTACTTAATTTTCTTTCATTTTCTATATTTTCTACGGATCCAAACATATTTTTAGCTGTTATAAATTATAATACTAAATAAAAATAATAATAATAAAAAGTATAGTGGTAGACGCACCCATCATGTGGGGTCCAGATCATCTTGCAGATAATAGTATGTAATAAAGCTGCATGATCACGTGTTAATTGTCTTAATTCCCGTTAGATTTGAAAACCAAAAGTTTGTTATCTGTGTATGGGTTTTCAAAATTTCAAACCACTCCAACTCAATAATAATATTTGCACAATTCCACGTCACATCATCGATTTCTTTTTTTCTGTTTAAACTTTCTTTTTTCCTTAAAAAAAAAAAAAAACATAACAATGCACCAAATTATAAATGCAATAAATCATTGTTGAGTGGACTTACAATTTAATTTTAATTAAATTTATAACATTCTAGAAAATTATTTCATTTTGAATTACAATAAATTTATTTTTCCAAATTCTTAACAATTTTTATAAGAAGTGTTTAATGGAAATTAAACATTGAATAGTATAATGGACCATTTATTTAGATTAAATTATGAATTTTAAATTTGAATTAATAATTTATTGAGTTGAATGATTAGGAAATGATATTAAGAGTTTATTATTGAATGATTAAGAATTAATATAATAGTTTTATTTTTTTATTTAATAAGATATATATCTTATGAAATCAGTTCTAAAATAGAAACTATAAATATTTGATTTATAAATTCAAATAAATAATTTATTGATTCAACTAAAAAAATATACTTATTTTTATTATCCGAATAAATAGATTGGAGATCTAATAAACAATAGTTTAGATGAAACATAACATATAAGATTGAGTTTTAATTTTTTAAAATCACAAATGAAAATTAAATAGTAATTACAATTTGAATTCAAATTAAATATTCAGTTATTTCATAAAAATCATATATCATATTGAAATTAAAAATCATTATTATTTTAATAATTTTAATAATAAATTTTTATGAAATTTGTCTTATGTTGTACAATGTAAAGCTTAAACATTTTCCATTTTAAATTAATTGAATGATTTTCATTATAAAAAAGAAAGAAGATTAGAATTACATGATGATATTACGCATTTTCTCCTCTTCAAAAAAAAAAAAAAAAAAAAAAAAAAAAATTATGAAAATCACAATGAAAAATTAAAGTGAGTAAATAATCGTTTGAGGAAATTCAATATTAAATATTTGCAGGTTATTTCATAAAGAATTATATCATATTTGAAATTTAAAAATGTCATATTATATAATATTTTAATTAATAAATGTACTATTTTACATTGAAAAGATTCTGATGTGTCTCTCATTGTTGTGGTCAACGAATGTAAAGTCGTGAAACATTTTCCATTTTAATTAATGGAATGATATTTCATTAATAAAAAAGAAAAGAATGTATTTAGAATTTGATACTGTGGATATTACGCATTTTCTCCTCTTTCAAAAAAAAAAAAAAAAAAAAAAACAAATTCCAACCTGGGAAAATCAAAATGACTAGAAACACCCTAATGTAGGCCCCAAACGAGACAATTCATTAAATAATAAGAATAGTATAAACATTAAGGAACAATATGCGGAGGGGTAATAATGTAATCACAAATTCCCGATGATCCAGTATCTAGGCAGTTACCTATAGTGTACATATTTCAAAACCAATAAATTAATCCATCATCTCTTTTCTCTTCCCTTTTTTTAAGTCTAGGTCTAAAACCCTACAGAGCAATTTCCTCTTTTTGTGTCACTCATAATTTAAATACATAAAAATCTATTGAATATGTGAGAGCCTTAATGAACGATAATAATATTCGTTAATATCTTTTTTGTTTTTTTTCTCTTTTTTTATATAACCTCTCCGGTATTATATACTCGCTGTGCTCATTATTTGTGGAGTCCCGGCTCAGTCTCCTCTCTTTCTTTGTTTCTCTAAAAATTCAAAAGAATCGCGCAAGACCTTGATTCTTTCTTCGTTTGTGTGGTTTCCTCTACACCTCCTCCCCGTCTGTCCTTTTGAGCTTTTTTGGCTGAGTGCTTAGAAACGATCAACAATTATTGTCCGCAGATATATTGACTCTAGAGTTATTACATACAACACATTTCTCGCATCAATATACATACGCTTGAACATGCATTTTCTTGAATGTGTTATGGTGTGATGTTTGCTTCATGTTTGACCCCCAATTTTTTATGTTTACATGGGTTATCTGTTAATTTGTATTGAAATTTTTTGTTTAATTTAGCTTGCGTTGCATTTCAAATTATGCTGATAAACATCTTCTAAGGTTACATTCGCACCTGGGTTTCTCTGAATAGTCCCAATATATTGGTTCTACATGGTGCCAATTAGCGTATTTGGACCTATTTTTTTTTTTAAAAAAAAAAAAAAAAAAAAAAAAAAACAAATCCAACCTGAAAATCAAAATGACTAGAACACCCCTAATGTAGGCCCCAAACAGCAATTATTAAATAAAAATAGTATAAACATTAAGGAACAATAGGGGTAATAATGTAATCACAAATTCCCCGAATGATCCAGATCTAGCGGTCTTAATTAATTCAAAAACCAAATTAACACCACTTCTTTCTCTCCTTTTTTAAGTCAAGTCAAACAGTCAAACGTTCCTTTTTGTTATAATAAAAATAAAAACATTAAACTATTACATAATTTATTTCTTAATTTTCTTTTTGTTTTTTTTTTTTTTAAACTCTCTCGTTTAAACCCTTGCATTATCCCGCTCAGTCTCTCTCTTTCTTGTTTCTTTAAAGAAGCAAGACCGATCTTTCTCTTTTTGTTCCTCTAACCTCTCCCTCGGTCCATGCTTTTTGGAGCTTAGAAGACAAATTCAGGTCCTTTGACTCTATACATACACACATTTGTCCATATACATACGAAGATTTGAATGTGTGGTTTATTTGCTTCTGTTCTTCAATTTTTATGTTTACATGGTTATCTGTTTATTGATTGATTTTTGTTTATTGGGTTCTTTCCAATTTGTGAAATTCTAAAGGTTCTGGACATGGGTTTTTGAAGACGATAGGGTTTTGTGGTGCAATTTAAGTTGCGTTTTTTTTTTTTTTTAAATTTTTTTGAAAGGTATTTAAGTTGCTTATTTAATGTGTCCTGTTTCTGAGAAATGATGTGGGAATGTGAAAAAAAATTGCATTTTGATTTTTCTTTATAAAAATTTGATAAAAGTTCGAAAGAAAGAAAGAAGGTATACTTCACTGAGTCAATGCTTTCGCGAGTTCTCTTTTTTTCTTTTTTCAACATGCGTTTACGTTTGGAAACGGCGATAGTACAAAAGTAAAAGAAATAGAAAAAGTAAAAGGAAACTATTACAAAGAATTTTATCTATGGAATATAAATTTGAAAATGTACGAGTTTGTGGTTACAACTGGTAAATCTTGATTTGGAATCAAATTACACTTGTTACAGTTTTAGGATTCAAATTTTAGTCCATTTTCTGTTTTAAAGGAAAAGGGTTTGTTTCATTCTTTGTTTAAACTTTGACAATCAAGATTTAATTCCCATTTTTACGTCTTGTGTTTGAAACTTTCTGATCCTGAATCTTGGTGCTTACATTTTCAAAATTTTTTGTTTGATGTGGGGTATGCTTATTGCAAAGGGAAAGTTTTCTCAAGAAGAAAGAACTTTTGCGTGTAATGGAAATCTTCAAAATGGACTGTAGTTGGTCATGAAAATGGGAATCTTATTTTAAGTTGGTCTCTGAAGATCCAGTCATTTGATAATCTTTTTGCGCATGATATTGTTCCTATTTCAAAAAACAGAAAATATATTTACTAGTTGATACAAGATGGTATTACATCCACTCTTGTATTAGTTTGACATAAAAATTTCCTGCCATTAATGTGATTGGTGTGTATTCTTCTTACGAATTTTGTTATTTTTTGGTGTCTTATTAGAGATCCATGTACTCTCTTTTAAAGTTCAATGGTGTTAATCAGGCTTATAATGTTGTTATCTATCCATGTATCTATCTATCTATCTATCCAAGTGTTGTTGTGTATAACATCTAAGCATGTAAATTTTCATGGACCCTATCGTTCTTATTGCTTACACTGATTTGGTCATGTTATTGCAGGTTGCTCACCTGACTTTAACGTAAGGCTTTATGTTGTTCTAGTCGAAGGCTTGTAATATGAAGAAGGAAAACATGCTTCCTGCTAATGATGGAGAGCCTGATAGGCGAATAACACGTGCTCGGGCAGCTTCTATGCATTCATCTAGCACACCGCCACCATTGAAGGCAAACACACAACAAGGCCGAAAGCGGATTTTGCGTCCAAATTCAAAAAGGACAGCCTTGGATGAGAAAAACACCAGTGCACCTGATAATGCAGGTATTCAGCCTAAGCGGAGAGCAGTGCTTCAAGATGTCACAAATATTTGCTGTGAGAATTCATATAGGAGTTGCGTCAATGCAACTAGAATTCAGGTTGATGCAATGTGCTTCTTTTGAATTGACAATACCTGTTTTAGTCTGATAATTTCACTCGTAGATGCCTCAAAGAAAATAAAGTTTGTATACAAGCAAATTACATGGCTGATTTGCCCGCATGAATTTCATTATTATTTTGAATGTCAACTGATGCACATATCACTGTTGCATATTCTAATAAAAAATTAAGCAAGCAAAAAAATGAAAATGAAAAATAATTCTTGAAGTACTCTCTAGTCTCTTCTATTATAATGTAAAGTATAAGATTGACTAAAGATGATCTTAACTTCATTTCCCCAAAAAAATTCAAAGTTATTACAGAATTTCTCATTATTTTTGTTTCTCTATAATAAAATGCCTTTCCATTTTTCCTAATTCAAGAATCTGAACTTTCCCCTTTAATTTTGATGATTTCCAGGCTAGGAAAGGAAAACAGGTTAAAAAGGGTAAGCTCAATGTGTCCAAAGTGACTCCTTCACTTGCTGCAGAATTCCCACGTCTTCAGGCTCAGCCAAAGACAAAAATTGTTCAAGAAACCATTAAAATAGAACCTAAATCAGAAGTTACGTGCTCAAATACTTTGGAGAAAGATGTGAATTCACATTTAAATGGTGTCAGGTTGTTTGGAACAGCTGATCTCCAGGTTCCAAAACCAAGTACCAGAATGCCATTCCAACCCTACAGTCTTCCAAAGAAAGGTTTGCTTTCTTTGAATTTTGTAGCTTAAAAAATGACAACATTCATGAATAGCTAGCTGAATCACAAACTTAGGAAGGATGCCAAGAAAGAAAAAAAGAAGTGTTCTGGTATGAGGTTCTGGCTTCCATTTTAAGATCTATTGACATGTGCACCAAGATAATTACCATAACTATGTGTTTTATTTGTTTCCTTTACAGCTATGTATCTCGATGACAATTCAATGAAATGAAATTCATGATTTAGTGAAATAGCTGTTATGTGGGACTAGGTGCAGGTTTCTAACGAATTGCCAGAGGTAGTTTTAGATGAAAAATTGGTCCTCTCATCCTTCATGCAATAATTGATTCCCAATACTGTTACTCAATTGGAGCACATGCTTGTTAGGCATGTACAATGTTAGGATTATGATTAAACATCATTCTTTTTTATTATGGAAATATCAAATTATCAAAGTCAGCTCGGTGTTTTGTGGGAGAATAATTGAAGCATCTACAAGAATATGACAGTATAATGTGAAGGAAAAGAACTACTTGTTTAAGATAATATTTTCCCCATATTTCTTCTTTCGTTTGTGAAACAGTTGTAGCATGCAGCAAGTAGTGACATTTCTTTGTTAAACATCTGTAGAGGAGAAAGAAGGCCTCATCAATAGCGGGATAACATCAAGTGGTCCAGATTTTACAGACATTGATTGTGACCTTATGGATCCTCAACTCTGCAGCCTCTATGCTGCTGACATTTATAGCAATTTACGTGTTGCTGAGGTTTGTGCCACATCTGCCACTTTCCACGCAGAAAAAATTCTAACATCTAGTCTTCATCTCCATTCATTTTTCTGATGTAATATTTGACCAAATGTACACAGCTTGTCCGAAGGCCACATCCAACTTACATGGAAACAATGCAGCAGGACATCACCCAAAGTATGCGAGGGATTCTGGTTGATTGGCTTGTGGAGGTCTGTGTAGCTTTATTACTAGAATTTACTGTTATTCTTCCATGCTGTCTTACTCTATGGATTACTGTTCGTTGCCATTTGATGATTTAGTTGACATTGCTCAATATTCTGTCAAAAGAAAATAATGAGATATTTTTCTAAGCAATAATCGAGACAGTTCTTTCTCATTAGTAGAGTTAACATATTTAACTTATAGAGAACGCCTATATAACTATCAAGCTTGAGCTAGTTAAAAGAAAAATGCATTTGTTAATGATTCTCTTTTTTGGTCTTGGTCGTTATTACTTTGTGCACTGCAGAAATATTAACTATAAAACCTACATGTAGCTCTAATTCATAGTTCAAGTATGAAATAGTGTCTCATGATTTTTTCAGCTTTCCTTTTATTGATTGAAATTCATTGAGAAAGGAATTGCTGTTCTCAATTTGCAGTTTGGTAGTTCTGGTCCTTGCGGTCGTAGTCTAGTTCAAGGCTGCCAATTCTTGTTCATAGTTCCTTGACCTTTGATTTTGGTCCGATGGCTGGGGTAGATAAACTGGTATAGCCCTCCTCTTTCCTTGTCCCCGGTAAAGTTAAGCATGAGTTCTAGAGATGTGCTGTGACTCTAAGAGCCTTTACCAGTTGAACCACACTTATTTTCCATACACATCCTCATCCTAAAACTGTTTGTTAGTTGCTTTTTTTCTCTCCTGAAATTCTGATGACTTCCCCATGTGTTCATAGCTTTTCTTATGCCTAGTTTCCAAGTCTATCCTTCTCATTTCTTTATTTTCCCCTAAGCTTTTATTATAAAGATCTATCCTGTTTGCTTCTCTGTATGGAACTAGGAGCTTTAGCAAAAAAAAGTCAATGCCCAATTTTAGTCCCTCAAAAGTAAGGTATGACCTTCAGCATGGAATGACCACCTAAATCTCTAATTCATATACTGACACAGAGCCCTGAGTAGGCATTAACCTTGGGGTTCTTATTATATGTTTACTTTTTTTTTTTTTTTCATGGCTTGCCACACTCTTTTGGGTTCTTCTAGCAGATCCTTGAATAGGAATGAGTAGTCTGCTGTATTCTGCAGAGCTTGTCAAATGATATTCTTCTCTCAAATTTAGGTTGTTTAACCGAAGAACACTTATAAAGATTAACATATGTTTTAGATTTGTTCAACCTTTGTTTCTAAACTGGATTATCTATTGAGGGGCAATGTCTTGCCTCAGATTTTCTAATTCATTCCTTTCATATATAGGATGCAGATCACCCTCAGTATCAGCCCTGTAGGATTGTTGCATAACATATATCATGTAGCTGTATTTAGATTCATCTCTCAATGCAATTGTTTTCCTCTCAAACTTTTGGTAAAGTTTACTTTTGTGGTCTGTTTCTTTAGATGTCTTATATATTAAAAGCATGCACCTTACATTTCAATGAAAAACAAGGAGGTTCTCATCATAAGATACAGTCTTGAACAAAATTTTATCAAGTTTTGCTTTCTGCAATATATCTAGATGAAGCCATAATTAATTGTATCTTTCTTGTAATCTAAGACTGTTATGTACATTAATTATTGATTTTGCAATTCTTGGATGGCACATAACCGCTGGTTTTATTTTCAGTTTCACTCATTAGATCTAAACTGATTGCTCTTGAAAAATTAATAGCACCAAAAGCAACTTTGATATCGATGTTCAATTAATTTTCTCTTGGTTTAGGATATATTATTGCAGAGAAAAACTTTTCTGATGAAAAGAGATTTGTTTTTGTTGTCTTCCCTTGCATCTACACTACTATATTGTAGCTATTTTTATTTTATTCTCTGAACTGTAATTGTAACTCTTAAGTGCATTATCAGGCTAGTCACATTCTGCAAATGAGTTCCTGTCTTGTCACCCAGTCACATTGGGATTCATTATTTCTTGAAGTTTTGGTGCTATATATTTTATATTTTCTCAATTGCCATGTTGACATGATTGAACTCTTTTCACATTAAATCTTCAAAAGAAACAATTGACTGATCAAATTCAATCTTGGTTTTCAGGTATCCGAGGAATACAAGTTGGTGCCAGACACACTTTACCTCACTGTATACCTCATAGATTGGTTTCTCTCTCAAAATTACATTGAAAGGCACAGACTTCAACTACTTGGCATTACTTGCATGCTGGTGGCATCGTAAGCTCTCGTGTCAATAGTAGCACTTACTGCACATTGGATGTTGCATCAAAATCATGCAAAAAATGGCATTCATGGTTATATACAAATGGATTCATTGCAGTACCATTGTTTGGCGTGGATAATTGATCACCAAAAGAAGAAATATATGAGTTTTCTAAACTCATTTCCTATTTCAATATGCTTGGATCTGGTGCAAACCTCATTAATAGTATTGCTATGCACTCTTGATGGTAGACAACAATTTGAGAGAAATCTACTGATTCAAGCATAAAAATTTCCATTTTAATCCAAGTTGACATATATGTTGACATATATATATATTATATATAATAATTATTTAAGGATTAGCTCTTCCATTGATGTTTGCTGGCTTCTTAGATATATTTAAGATTAGCTCTTCCATTGATGGTTGCTGGCTTCTTAGCTCAGGATCACTAAGGGAGAAAAAAATAACCCTCAACAAAATTGTGAATGTCATGATTGTCCATGATGGACAGAGTTCTATAAAAAGTTCAGAGTAATAAAGAGAACAAAGTTAATTGGGACAGTTCTAAGAAGTTTTTAAGAGTGAAAATAGAGCAGTGAAGTTCATGGTAGAATAATTTTTTATTTTGTACTCAGACTGATATAACTAGCAATGGAATTGCTAATATTCCCAAATGGCTTTTTTCGTTACTTAGTATATAAAGTCCGTTTTTTTTCCACGTGATATAAATTTAGTTCTCCTCTATGTCTTGTAGCAAATATGAAGAAATTTGTGCGCCTCGTGTGGAAGAATTTTGCTTTATTACGGACAACACATACACAAAAGGGGAGGTATGTCATGGTTTATTGGTTAGCTGGAATGAATACTTTTGGAAATGAAGGTTCTTTTCCGTTTGGTTTTTCAAATTTTGTTGCTTCGTCAATGATTTATTTTCTCGCATCACTGCTAGTGCCAGTAAAGAACAAATTGGGATTAATGTTCATTCCACAGTATTCTTTTCTCTCATATGATATCGTGGCTTTATGTATAAATTAAGTAGCTATATATGCTATTCTTGAGGCATTGAACATAACACCTGCTATTATATGGGCATAGTATATTACTCCACAAATAGCCTCTCCTATGAAAAAGATGAGCATATTACTCCACACATAGCCTCTCTTATGAAATATCAAGGGGCAAAAAAGAAAAACCAACAGGGATAACAGGTCATTGTTCTGCAAAAATGAGTACCTATAATGCAAAATTCCCTTCATACTAGTGGTGATTTTTTATTCATTTTCCTCCTTGCTGCAGTATTTGTGGTTGTATTCCTCACCACAATAAATTTGCAGGTTTTAAAGATGGAGAGTATTGTGTTAAAATATTTTGGCTTTCAACTTTTTGTACCCACTCCAAAATCCTTTCTAAGGTATTGGCTTATCTAATTTTTCACAACTATTTAATTAAAGATCCAAATTCCTTCAAATATTCATAATGCACTGCCTTTTGCCAATTGTTGGTTTTCAGGAGATTTCTACGTGCAGCACAGGCTGCTTACAAGGTAATAGGGCAGGCTGGCGTACTTTATGTCATACCCGAGCGTTTTCTACTAAGCTTTTATAATTTAGAAAATATATTTATAATCTATTGTAATTACCAATTTGCAGACCCCTAGTTATGAATTGGAGTACTTGGCTGATTATCTAGCAGAACTGACATTGATAGACTACAGCTTCTTGAATTTCCTTCCCTCAGTCATTGCTGCGTCAGCTGTATTTCTTGCTAGATGGACGCTGGATCAGACAATCCACCCTTGGGTATGCACCTATCCATTTTCTGTCTTTATACATAATCCTAGACTCTGCATTTGAAGCATTACTTCTAATTATGTTTTCGTCAGAATCCGACTCTGGAACACTACACTTCTTACAAGGCATCAGATATTAAAACCACAGTTCTTGCATTACAAGACCTACAATTGAATACCAACGGGTGTCCTTTGAATGCTATACGTATGAAGTATAGGCAGCAAAAGGTATCAGCAACCAAAAAGTGATTGCTTTTATTTTCTTTTCTGATCTTCTTCTTTCATTATGCAGCATCAATTGTAGTGCCTGATATATCATGAAACACTAACACTCTAGTTTGGGGTGTATGTTTCCTATTGCAGTTCAAATCTGTGGCAGCTCTGTCTTCTCCAAAATTGCTTGAAACATTGTTCTGAAGATAAGTTCACCGGTTCTATGTCATTGATGCGGTTGCTAACATAAACTTCTCAAATGAAGTTGCCTCTGGACTGTGTCATTTTCTTCTTGAGGTTGTACCTGATATCTTTTCATAACCTGGTATCCTCATTTACATACACTTTGTGACCTTTATTTCCCTTCATATATTTTGTTTATAGCATTTTTGCAACTTCCATTGGTTTTGCTACAGCTGACCTATCATTCTAAGGCTATATTTGTCATGCCACTAAACTAGAATTTTAGTGTAACTATTGCTATCAACATTCTTAGCACGTCAACCACCAAGAAATTTTTTGTCAGGTTGTAAAGTTAGAAAGAGTGTAACTAGTTGAATATGAATTGATTGTTCTCTCTTTTAAAACTCTTCTCACTTCTCAGGATGCTTTCTTGTCTCTTCTTGAATGATTACAACTTGTTATTGTGCTTATTTTACTTGTTAAACCTTTTTCGAGGAAGAGTTGCATATAAAATGCTAACTGGTTTTCATTTTAAATTAGACTGTTAGTGTTAGAATTAGCTGCAAATGTTCAACGAGTGAAATTGAGAAACCAAACATGAAAATATGCTCTTTAATACATAGTATTGCATTTGTGTGAATTTGCTGCCATTTTTTTTTTTCCGTATTACTGAAATTGGAGGGGGAAAACTCATTGAGTGATCTTTCAGATGTTTTAGCATCTTCAGTTGATTCCCAATTATAAGACGAGAGGAACTAGCAAATTGTATAAAGGTTACATTTATTTTATTTGCTTTAGGAATGCTTAAATGCTTTGACTTAACTCACAATGACATTTACATTAAAACAAACCAGTCACATTTAACAGAAGAAAAGTAAAGTCGATGCTTCAAAACTATGACTGCATTGTTGTCTATTATCTTCACTGTCGGACGATTAATCTTCCTCATGTGCGTATATGATCTTCTTCATCGGAATCTACATGAACCTAGTTAATTAAGCAACACATTAGCATAATTAACTAATAATTGAAAAAGAAAGATGAAAGATATTAGAAACTACCACTTGCATGAGTAGGCACAACTGATTTGAGTTAGCTGCTGTTACTGCCCAGAAATCGACTTCGAGTCCTTCAACCAATCCATCATTTGCTGCAATGTCTTTCCACCCTTTGCCAGTCAACGTATAAGTCGAGGTACTATGTGCTTGCGTCAGTGTCACTTCGTGATTACAGTAAGGCGTATAAAGCCTGGTATTAATTTGTTCATTAAAATTACTTAGGATAGTAACTGCATCTCCCACCAATGGTAGTCCATCGTTAATATCAGCGTTTGATAATTTTTTCCTGAACTGGTAATGAATATCACCTGCAGGATATCCTTGAATTTCTTCCGGTTGAGGATTTGCCATTTTTCTTGAATTGGATTTTCTTTTTCCTTGAAGAGAAGAATTTTTGAAATATTAGTTTTTATTGTTCAAAATTTAAAAAGCTGTCGTTCTTTGTGGCAGTTCATACTAATTTCGCAGATAATAACCTTTTCCATGCACCAGTTATGCATGACATTTCAGTTGGCGTTCACCCATGATCAAATAGGGGTGGCCACTGGTTCGACTTGAATCAGAAGAGGAAAGAATAATGATTTGTCAGGCTGGGTTTGGTTATTCAAATTCAACATTTTCACAAAAAAAAAAAAAAAAAAAAAATGATTTGTCAGGCTGGGTTTGGTTATTCAAATTCAAAACATTTCACAAAAAAAAAAAAAAAAAAAAAATTTCTTATAAAGAATTCAATCTTTCAATCAAAAATTCACATATGCTTATATTAAATAAGATAACTAAAAAAAAAAAAAAAAAAAAAAAAATTTCTATAAGAATTCAATCTTTCAATCAAAATTCAATATGTTCATATTAAATAAGATATAACTACAAATATTAATATTATCATAATTTTTGAATATTTTATTTTTTTATAAGAATTCAAATTTTTTTCATTTTTGAAGTTAGATGTTGAAATGTAAAGATGGATTTGTATACATTAAGGTATAATCTAATGGTAAGTATATACGATACGATAATAGATTTAATTTCGAATCATTCTTTTCTAATATTCAAAAAAATAAATAAATAAATAAATTTCTCACATTATTATTAGTTTGAGTATGACCCAACATAGTCGGAGTTCTAAACTTTCAATATTAGTGACTATAGAAAAATAAATAAAGAATCGAAATTTTTTTTTTTTTTTTTAAAGAAAGAATCGAAATTAGTTTGAAGGCTGTTGATTTCGAAATTGAATCAGAATAAAAATGGCAAAAAGACCAGGTTCAATTTTGACAGAACCGAAACCGATTCAACATAATTGGAATAAATGCAGTGCCTTCAAAATTTGTTATCATTTAAATGTCATCCATTATGTTCGGTCCTCCGTCATGCGATTAATCTTCCTCTTTCAAATAAGAATACGACGACGTTGCATTTACTCCACATAGCAGGTAGCTACGTGTCATCTTTACACGACATTTCAAATGCTAAAAAATCTTTACTGTTACAAAGGTTGCAGTTTTAGAGAGAGAAGTCGGCGAAGAGAGAGAGAGAGAGAGAGAGAGAGAGAGAGAGAGACGAGGTGAAGGTGTGAGAATGGCGGCTCCGAGTATCTTATCACAATTGCCACCGCAAAACTTATCTTATAATGCTAATTATAATAGATATAAATTTAATCACCATTATAATTATTATAATCACAATTATAAAGCAGAAAATTTGCCTTTCTCTGTGGCCTCTTCTCTTTCTACGCAATCCAAATTCAAATCAAACTACTCATCTTTTAAGCTCTCTCAAATGCCTGTCCATTTCTCAAAATCAGGTAAATTTCTTATTTTTTATTCCATTTTGGCATAGTTTTGTTTGTATGTTACATAGCCATGAAGTTCGGGTATAATGGTGCATATTCAAAGCTCGCTTCTCTTCTCTTTTCTCAAGCTCAAGGAACTGAAGAAAAGAATATTACGTCGTATCTGAATTAGTGGGTTTGATGAGAATTATGCGAAATTTAACTTTTTGATTATTAACTTGCTAAAATTGTTGAATGGAATATGGGGCTAACCTTAAATATGCTTTTTGGTTCTCCAGGTGATGGATTTACTAGTTTTAAACGATTTAGGAATCAATATTGGATGGCTTGTATGCACTACTTATTACGTATATGAGAAGATTTCTTTGATTCTAACAAGCGTTTGATTTTTGGTTTCATTCATCGGAGTATTTTCATACAATACATTTTTTTTGAGGCACAATGTAGCGTTAATAGACTCAATTCTTTTTCTGTTATAAACATTAGTGTCTTGGTTATTTATTTTGATCTCATATTTTCAATTCCCCATTCTAATAGAAGAAAATAGAAGCAGAATATTGGCAAGCCATTTTGAATCTATGCTGGTGTATCTAGCTGCCAATGTACTTGAATGGTGGGACTGTAGTGCTGCAATTGGGAATAGAATTTTCCAGCTATTCGCAATATAGAATTTATCAGTTTCTTGAGAAATTGGATTATGTTTTCCCTTTGTAGTTAACATTTTGGCAGGTTACATCTAGGATAAATATTATCACTGTAATATTCTTTCTAAATTCTAATGCCATGAGCAGGCGGTGAATATTCGTGGATGCAAGATAATTCCAGGCACCAAAGCTCTTCTTCCATTGAAAAATGGAAGCAGGGCCGATTGCATTTAGCACTTCCCACAACACCTGCTCAAGTTTCATCAGTGGAAGATCTTTATGAATTCATCTGCTCCGGTCCTCTCCTAAGCAAATTGGGTTTGAGCACAGAAATGATCGGCGAATCTATTGACAAGTGGTTATCGTATGGTTTGCGCTTGTGCCGCTTGTTTCAGCTCAATGAATTGTATCTTACAGATCCCCAAAAAGCAAGGATTTATCACTATTATGTACCAGTGTTTTTATGGTGTGAAGATAAGATATCAAAGTATAGGTCCCAGTTTAAAGATGGAGAAGATATACCTCCTTTAGTGGTACATATGTAATAGTGACTTTCTGTTCTGATATAAATACTTGCATAAGTTATATTTCGATCAGTATGGATTGAATTAGGTCACCTTTCTGCTAATGCTATTTCATGCAATTGTTTTAATCTTACAATGTTGATGTCACACTTGATGTAGATTGGTTTTAGTGCACCCCAAGGTTGTGGGAAGACCACGCTTGTCTTTGCTCTTGATTATCTATTCAAAGTTACCGGCAGGTAAATTTGCTGTGAAAATAATGCTATAGAAGTTACACTGTGCATGCAAATAATGTTACTTCTTGTTGTTGATTATGAAACTCAAGTTTATTAAGTGATTGTATGTCTTTTCCTCTCAGGAAATCTGCAACATTATCGATAGATGATTTTTATTGGACAGCAGAGGGTCAGGTAATAAATTTGGGAGTTTTCGATATTTGATTCTTCTTTTTTGTTTTTGTGTTTTTTTTTTTTCAAATTTTTTGGTTGCTGATGCAAATGTACGTCAATTGCAGGCCAAATTGAGAGAAGCAAATCCAGGAAACGCACTTCTAGAGGTGGCAACAAATGCATGCTTTAAATATTCGACAAATAAAAAAAAATTTACTGATATTTTCTAATAGAGCAAAAATATAAGGGAAGAAAAAGAAAAGGATTTTTTTTTTAAAAAAAAATTTCCTATCTAATTTTTCATGTGATCCAGTTCCGTGGAAATGCTGGGAGCCATGATCTTTCATTATCCATTGAAACCCTGACAGCTCTAAGAAAATTGACAAAAGAAGGTACGAGTTTTTCCAATTATCTTCCTTTGCTTTTCACCCTCGTGTTAGTTTGATTTGGTTTTCATCTTAAGTTTTCAGGTATTAAGATGAAGCTACCTCGATATGATAAAGTAAGCACATAACTAAGTCAGTTTTCTCATTTCTCCATAAGTTGTCCCAAAGCTTCAAATAAAATATTTCTCACTTTTGCAGTCTGCATACAATGGGAGGGGTGACAGAGCTGATCCTTCTGAGTGGCCAGAGGTAGAAGGGCCATTAACAGTAAGAAAATCTTCAACCTGAATTTACTTCCACTACCGAAGAGAATTGATGGTAAACCTTCCTTCTTTATTTATAACATATCTGCTTTTATGAGCTTTAGGTGGTTCTGTTCGAAGGTTGGATGCTTGGTTTTAAACCCATTCCAATAGAAGTGGTCAAAGCTGTAGATCCACAGGTGGGAACTCAAGAATGTGCTGATAAAGCCTTCTGGAATTTCTTCTTCACATTCATCTTCTTCTAATAGGATTCCATCACCAACTTTTGCTGAAGTGTAAAATTATTTTGCAGCTAGAGATAGTGAATAAGAATCTTGAAGCCTATTATGATTCGTGGGACAAGTTTATCGATGCATGGCTTGTCATCAAGATTCAAGATCCCAGTTATGTCTATCAGTGGCGTTTGCAGGTCAATATTTTATGAACCAAGAAACTATCATATCCTTTGCTAAACTTGACCTCTGACCAATGTTGTCGGTTTTGTAGGCAGAGATTGCCATGAGAGAGGCAGGCAAACCTGGAATGACTGATGAGGAGGTGTCCAATGCTTAAAAATGAATTTATATATATGTTATAATGTTTAGCCATGTTTAACTGCTGATTTTTTTTCTCCCTAATATGAAGTAATTTTGTCTTTCCACAGGTTAAAGATTTTGTTTCCCGTTACTTGCCTGCATACAAGGCCTACCTCCCAACTCTATATTCCGAGGGACCAAAAGGGTCTGATCCAGAGAACGTTCTCTTTGTCGAAATTGATGAAGGGAGAAATCCCATTTTGGCTGGTTAGATGACTGTAATCTCATATTGAATCTCTCTCTAAAGGTGCATTTTTTATTATTATTATTATTATTTCTTTGACCTGATGTAATAATTTTACATGAGGTTTTTGTATAAATCAGTACAAGGAAGGTCATTTGTAAATTTTATCATGTAATGTTAACATATTTCAAATGAGCAGAAAATTCAGAGTTCCATCAATTCCTTTTTACGGTGGTTTACCTGTAAGCATAAAGCTCAAGTAGCCCAAAGGAAGAAAAAATTCATATTATCTGAATTTGAGGAGAAGCTCAGATAGCTCTAGGACTGAAAGCAACAAAGAAGAAGAATTATTTGTACCAGTAAAATGATTTCCATGCATGAAAATTTGGGAATCTTCTGCCAATCTTGGTTGGCCCATGTTACATGAGAATGTTGATGTAGGCCAGGCCCATAAACACAGTTTACAACTAGTGAAACTTGTTTTTTTTTTTCATATTCATAGCAACGTATCGTGGAAACAGCTTCTTAATTATTATTATTATTATTATTATTGTCGTTACTATTATCTTTTAAAAAAAAATTAATGGGAACCTATTATAATATTTTATAGATCTCAAAATTATAGATCACATTTTATTTAATAATAAATATAATATTATCTTAGATCATTTACTTTTTTTATTATATAGATTGATATATATCAATACAAATTGGTTCATATTTCTGACACGTATGATTTAAGTGTATAATATTTTGGTCGTTTATCCTGTTATATACTAATCGCATTTCTCTGAGACAAATTTGTTTTAAAATCATTTTTATTTTTTATTCGAATAAGTATTGACTTGGAAAAAAAAGTAATTAGGTATAGTCTAGTCAGTCTTCTTCACTTGTGTGGGGAGTAAGAACTCTCAGATTTAAGTCCTATCGATCATCATAAGAATTTTGTGTGGTAAGGAAAAGCTGTTGTGTAGCCCACAGTGTTATTAAAAAAAAGAAGATCAAAATCAACAAGGTGTTGATTAAGGTGATTAGGATCTTAATTTCCGTATGTATAAAAACACAAGTTCAATCACAGAAAAGTATCTATGAGATCTTAAACCTCATTGTTGTACCAAACAAAGAAAAAAGAAATACTTGAACTTGCCCCCCTAACAAAAGAAAAATCAAATATAAAATTACAATTAAAATGAGTAAATCATATTTAATTATCTTATAAAATTTTTTCAAATTTTGCAACATCATCCAAAATTTATTATGAGTTAATTGGATTAGAACTAAACCAATTTTGTGCAAAAATAAGTACAAGTTATATGGCTTTAAAGGTTAATATTAAATACAATCAATATAATTAATAACATATGTACTATAATAAGAAAAAATATTGTGAATATTACTTATTTATTTATTAATATTAATATTTTTGCTTTTACTCTGTTTGATTTTGATAATGTTTTTGTGTTTTATTAATTTTCACATGAAAAAAAAAGTCAATTTGGCCCATAAACTTATTTAGCAGGATAAAAAAAAGTTAAATTTAACATTTTAGACCAATTTAATCTTTGAAGATCTTCTTCAAGCTCCACGATTTACTAAGGTACTTTCATGATTAAAAGATTAAAACTTTGGAAATACTGTGGTAGAAGTTGATGCTCAAGAAGTTGCACTTGCTGTTAATTCTGTCTGTCATGATTTTTCAGAATTTGTTTCCTTAGTTGAGGAATGTAGGTCTTTGATTTCTTTTTGCAAAATTGAAACCATTTTCTTTTTGTCAACAAGTCAAATAACTTGTCTATGATTAGGGAAATTCATTATTGTTTAGATTCAATGGTACAAGGAAAGAGCCTTAAACATTAAACTATGCAGAAGATTTCCTCAAAACTATTACAAGATAAAGGGTATTATATTTGTTTGACAATTTATAATTTTAAAGAAACAATTAAATATTAAAATTTATAAAAAGAGGTTTCAAATTCAGATCTTGTCGAAAGAATTATGATTTTCGAGGATACAATTGCTTGAGTTATGTAATTGAAAGATCCATTCTTTAAATGTATAAGAATATACTTTTTGCTACAGAATCTCTCCATACATATTTTTTTAAACATACTAATATTGACTAAACCAAGCTTTTCATTTAAAGGAAGCTATGAATAACAAGATAAACCCAAATCTTACAAGTCATAAGTAACATATACCGAGTATATTATGTATAATCAAGTATAACAATCTGTGTCAGGCAAAAAAATTGGGGAAAACAAAGAAAAAGGCAGCAGCAAGTGTTGGTTAAAAAGCTGAAAATGGGTAAAAAGCCCACAACTTCTATTCCAAAGATAGGAGTAGGACCATAATGCAACAATTTAGAAAATTACAAGCAGGCTTCTCTTATTTCTCTGTTTCTACTCAAAAACTCTGCAAATCCAAAACAACTAGTAAAAAAGTGAAGACAAAAGCCTCTGTACATTACTTGTATCTTCTTCTCTTGATAATCAAATCCTCAATCACTTGAACTTGAGCATTTTGAAGGTGTCCTTGGACCTAATCCAATTGTCTCAGTGCTTTTCATTAACCTTACTCTCTTGCATGATTCAACAAACATTCTGCAAAAATTGAACAAAATTTGGATCAATTTATGGAAAAAAAATATAAATAGAAAGAACAAAATTCAGATGTTTAATTAAAAGGGTATTTTTGGAAACTTACTTCCATGGTACATCTCCAACCATCATCCAATCTCCATCTTTGTCCTCATAAGTAGGCACATATTCAACTCCATTCACTTGATCCATTATTTTCCTCTCATTCAAATAATTTCCTGTAACAAAGATGTCAACAATTTAAATGACTAAACAACCCTTCAAATCCAGAGTCATGATATTAATTCTATACAACATGAATCAAATTTAAGTTCAATAGACTAATACATACTTATGGCCAAACAAGAGAACATGTCCTCTAAGGCGCTCAAAAGCTGCTGATAACTGTTATACATTTCAAGATCGACCTTCCTTAGATAAGGAGCTCCATCAACGGCCACCTTCACATATTTACAGCTTTTCATGGCGTTTTTGCGGTAAGCTCTCACCGGCGGCCACCCAACCACTTGTGCCCTATAAATCAAACCACCATTAGAGAATTCACTACTAAAACTATTTACTTCAAACAATAAAATTGTGCATAATTATTTAAATTAATTTATAAAAACCTTACTTTGCTGCCGGTGGCTTGGCGGCGCTTGAGACATCATTTTCCGACGAGTCATTCTGATCTTTACTGCCACAATCAACTACACTAGAGCTTCCAAGGTTTAAATCAACGGTCTCCAAAAATCCACGTTTCGTTCCGATTTTCGCTCCGTTGATCTCCGTTAGCGAGCGAGATTCACCAGGCAACGCTAAAGTCAATTCTGTCTCTTTAAGATTCATGCCGGAGGTGGTGTCAGATACCGGCAAGCGTATAATAATTTCCGGTGACATATTCGGTCCTTGATTTGATTTTTTTTGGCTTTAGACGATTACGTGAAGGAAATGTTGAAGAAATGAGGCACGAAACTGTATATGTGCACAAGGAGTGATGGAGTATATAAAGGAGGAGTAGGGTAATCTGGCCGGCAAAATGATTGAACCACTTGGAGATCGACACGTGTATAGGAAAAATAGCGGTTCTAATTTGTACATGTGGGTGACAGTACTTGAGTAGAAAGCGTGTGATTTTGAGTGCTTAAAAGTTTGGGCCAGTGGTCGGTCCGACCCGGTTCCTGTCATTATGTTTTTTAAGACTATTACACGTCCTTGTTGTTGGGTGATTCTTACGTGTCAAATGTTAGTTTGATCCTTTTTTTTCTTTTTTTTTTTTTAAAAAAGGGTTATTTTGATCCTTGCATAATCCTCGAGTATTAATCTAGTTATTTCAATTGATAGAGCTAAGCAAAAGCTAGTTAATATATAAAATTGAACTGAATTAATTAATCTAGTTCAATTTATTAGAAAATTATTCATTTTAATCTTTATTTTAATTAAAAAAATTATTAATTCATTAATTTTATTTTTATAATGCTAAAATTCAAATTTAATTATGTTTAAAATGCAAAACCAAACCAAATCTATACAATTTTTATTAAATTTATTATGTTCGATGTATTAGATGTTAGAAAACTTTAGTTTATGATTAATTTTAGAATGGCCTATTTGTGTATCTCTAGATATTAACTTGTTGATATATACTTGACCTCTTATTTCCAGTTAACATGGATGATTAATTTATCAAATACGTAAACGAACTTGTTTTAATTTCAATGGCGCATGAGATGATAGAGGAAGCGATCGTATGTAGAATCAAAAGCAGCGAATCGAAAACCCAAATGAACTCGTGTGGAAGTTGAACAAAAGGGGAAGTGTGGGCCCACGTTGTTGGGTTCTTAAAGTACAAGTCAACTTTGTGAAAGAGTCCATAGTGCCAACGGAAAACCTATCAATTACAAGTTTGTAGGCCCCACAAACAACCATGTGAACATGTTTCCTTGTCGGTCTTCTTTTCGTTCGTTCTTGATTCTGTTTACTTTAGTAGCTAAAACCCTAATAGCGACCGACACGTGGAGCATTCTACAGGTTCTCTCTCCGGGCTTTTTGAGACAAAAACCGTTGATTATAAGTTCAACCCCGCGTCGTTCACCTGGATTTACGGGTCACCATCCTTCAGGAAACACTTAAAATTAAAATGTTCAATATTTTTAATTTGAAATTATTCAGTAGAACTTGTAATTAGCATTTTAAATTATTTTATTGAAATTTCAAGTTTTATTTTGTAAAAAATTATTTACCAAAAATTTCAAATAATTTATTATTTACCGCTTAAACTTTAAATTTATATTTTTAATAATTACTTTAAATTTTTTTAGGGTAGGCTAAAAAGGTTAAAAAAAAAAAACTTATTTTATTTTATACTTAAACTTTGTTTTATTTTCTAAAGTACAGATTTATTTTAAAAAAAGTGGGGTTTTAGTTTTATTTTTAGGGTTGGGAAAGTGGGGAGCTAAATGATCTTTCTTCTTTTTGCTTATTGAAAAAAAAAAAAATCCTCCATGATCATATAATTGGATTTGATTAGAAAATAAAGTAAAAGAAATCAACAAGTATCAAACATGGAATTTGTTGCCTCCATCAACATGGTTCTATTGCAAACAAAATATCACAATCAAATAATTTAATTATAATTCTCAAAAAATAAATTTTAATTATCACTACATATCTTATTATTTGATACTTAGGATAATTAGCATAAGTAAGAATACAAACATCTTTTCACGTGACGTTAGTAATTTTTTGGAGATTTAGATTTCTAGTACATCTATTAATATTTATTTGTTGTTTACCTAAATAAAGAAAATAAGAAAAAAAAATATCTAAAGCAATAATAAGTTATATTTCCATAGATGGAGCTAGCAAAACTGAGAAGGTTTTAAGCAGTACAAATATTCAAGAAATAGGGAACTTGATACATCAATACATTGAATTTGAATGAGTGATTCTTCTTTCTTAATGTAATAATACAATTTATTTTTTTTATTATTATTATTTTAAAAAGTGAATGAACCTTCACAAAATGTATTGACCAAATTTGTTTACAGTCTGTGGTCACTCACATGGTTTTCATCTTTCATGAGCTAAGTGGTTTTGGAATTAGCTAAAGAAGTGTAAACAACAGGTGCAACTAAAATGGCTAGAAATGGTCAAATTTTCTAAAATTATGTAAAATCAAAATATGAAATCAATCTAAATGCTTCACCTTGTAAACCACTTTCTTGATTTGATAAGGCATAGTCACTTTACAAATACTTGGAATCATTCTTTTTTTTACATGTTTTGCAATTACATTGGTCAGGTGGCTGTGGCTGGCTTTATTTGACAACATGAACACATCAATTTTCTTTGAATTAATATCTCCACACCTTTTTTTTTCTATTTTTATTTACTTTTTCTTTTTTTTTTTCTTTTGATAAACTATTGAAGTGTTAGACATATCTATATTTTTGCTTCAGAGTTGATAAATATTTCTCTAACACTGAGCGTCTCAAGTAAGATAATATTAATTATGGGGAGTGGAGAGTGGAAAGCAAAAGAGCAAAGCTTTACCGAAAATAAAAAAAAAGAAAGAGCCAAGCTTTTGCCTGCCCTTAATTTGATTTTATAAAAGCTGTGTTTGTTAATTATAACTTTAATTAAAGTTTTGGTTTCCAAATATGGTTTAACAACAAAACCTAAATTTAGTAAGTGCTTTTGCGGGAATTTGGACTTGGGTGCGCTTTCTTTTTTTTACAAATTTGATAAGTTAAAGGAACGCTGTCCTTATGTGTTTTCAATATCATTTTATTTTTAATTAGTAATCGATGGCAAGATAATCACAAATTTACTACCTTTTATGTCAATAGCTAATATAAATTGCAATTTCACATTTTTTTTATAGTGTTTCATGTTATTTTAGTTTATTGAATCTTCCGATCAATCAAAATACAATAACAACAAAATCTTTTAATTCACTCAATGACCTCATGCAACGAATTGAAGTTCTAATAGAAAAGCGGTATTCGTTGCAACTAGACAATCAAAACCTAAAAAATCCATAGCCATTGCATTGATTAAGGATTAAGGAATGCATAGAAAAAGTGATTAAAGAAATAATATAGCTTAATAGTTAGTTATTCTTATACATTTAACATCCCTAATCAACCTTGACCAAGAACAGTTTATATATAAATCATATAAACAATATTAATCAAGATTAATGTTTAATGAACATCCCGAAGATCGATAATACTGTTTAACTGCATTATGTCGGGTAATGGAATGATACCAAATAGTAGGTTAATTAGTTAAGTAGTTTGGTTTAAGAATATCTAGTTATGTGAGAATGCAGATTAGATTCTGTACCAAGAAATAATCAAATATAACCTAATGTCAATGGAGCACCAATCATGTGCATTTCATAACAAAATAAAAAATAAAAAAATAAAAAAAATTATACATGTATGAGAATATGAGAACATGGGCCTTGGTTCTAGAAATTCTTTTCTACAATATAATTATTATTTTGAAGTGTTAATTGACATTATAAACTATATATTGTGTCCTAGATTAAGTTGACAAGTTCTTAATTTAATTTGATTCCAATTAAACAACAATGGATAGAATCCCTAATTATGGTTAAAATATTAAATTTTATTCTAATGCTGTCTTGGTATCATCATTTAGTATTATTAATTTGTATTTCTTAAAAATATATATATGTGTGTTATCAATTATATTGCTCACAGGAAAAGATTGTCAGCATATAGTTATGCCTATATTTAGATTAAGACTATCTTTGGCAATGGCTTTTAACCTTTATATGGATGAGAGTATTTTTTTTTTTTTTTAAACTTAGAATTAAATTTAAAAATAAAAGGAAAAATGACAAAAAAAAGTACTATTTGAAGAAGAAAAATGAGAAGGAAAAAGAATTAAGAGAAAACAAAATCATACATATATAGGAATTAACAAATTGTCATCTTTAACACATATAAATTTAGGGAGTCTAACCCAATCCCATATTTTGAAACTTGAAATCAAGTCTTACAGTCATAACTTAATGAAATAAAATATGCATACACTAATTTTTAATTAAACAGAGATTAAGCAATAAATTCGGTCAAATTCTCCACTAATTAACTTTAATTGTGGTTTTAGTCTATTGTGATCCCCTTAAGACCACTCTTGGGCTGCAGTCCAAATCCTTTGGCCTCTGAGCTCTTCATGATTCTTAGTCTCTTGCATGACTCGATAAACATCCTGTCAACAATAATAATTAGTCTAATTAGTTTTAAATTAGGAAATAAATATATATAATTAGGTAAAACTTAATGGTATAAAAAATTAATTTTCTCGCTTGAATTTAATTTTATGAAATTAAACATAAAATTAAAAATAAATTACAAATTTTGTGGAATTCATTTAATACATGTTAGCATCACCAAAAATGATAAATTGTTTATATTTTTAAATATTTTCAATTTACTAAAAAAACAAAATTACAACCACTTAATCGTAAGTAAATTGATATTTAATTTAGTAAAGCTTAATTATAAAGTGTTTTCAAAATCAAAATGGTACGTTATGTCAACCTTTAGCGAGACTGGTTGTGGACGTTATAATGACAAAAATGCTGTTAGAGTCAAGTTTGATGGCTTGATTTAATACCGGTTTTTATGGACCTTTAGATCGAAGAAAACATCATTACAAAATTGTGGTTTTTCAAAAAAATTATTGCATTAGCTACACTATGAATTTCTGCCTCAACTTCAGTGGACATGAAATCAACTTAGCTCATTTAATTCACTTTATCTTTCTAATTTGAAATTCCAACAATTAATATTGATTAACCGTAATTACTGATAACTAATTAATTGCCAATGAAGTCTTAGTTTAAGAGTTTAATTTCATCCCTAACAATAATTAATTTATAATTATTATTTCTGCCTCTTATAAGCTAGATCGCTTTTAATTAAGGACTTACTCCCAGGGGACGTCTCCAAGAAGCATCCAGTCTCCATCCTTGTCCTCATATATGGGAACGTAGTCGCTGCTGTCTGCATCCTTCAATGCTTTGCCTGTCCATGTTTGTAAACCAAATTGTCATTACTGGTATTTGAATTTTTTCATTTTTAACTTAATTTAATTATAATAAAATATAATTCTTCATCTTTATTATAATTATTGATTATTGTTATCACCCTTTTTCTATTTGTTTTAATTATAATTACAGTGGGTCTAATTTTTTTTTAAATTGTAGAAAATCTTTGCATCTCTTATTAATATGTAAAAGAAATTATATTTTACCTATTTTTTTGTCAATCTTATGGACATATTCATAAACCATTATAGTCTGTCTACCATTATTATGTTTCGCGCGTGAATTTTAGTGCATGCCATGAAATGATTTTTTCTTTTTCATTTTTTTTCTTTTTTTTTTTTTGACATTTTTTCATTTTTTTAGTTTTTAATTTGTTTTATCCTTTTTTTTTTTATTTTTTCTACTGAAATTCATATAGGAAAGAGGGAAAAAAAAAGTGGCCCACGTCCCATGCTATGGTTCAGACTTCAGAGTCTTTATATAGCAGTACAGGATATGTAATTACAAATTTTCCTTTTCCTTTTGTTTATTTTAATTATTTGCAAGTTTTCTAAATCTGAAATGTAAATAATTTTTGCAATTAAATTTAAAGTAAAAAATTTCTAAAGTGTTATATGCTATTTTATATCTAATTTTGCATGGCTTATACATACATATGAAAAAAAAAGGTTAAATCATACTTCAAAAAAAATTACCTAGGAAAACATAATACCCAAAGAGAAAAAAAAAAAGAAAAAGAGTACTTACCAATATCAAAGCAGCCAAATAACTTCTCCAATGCAACAATAAGATCCGAATACTCTTTATGAATACCCAAATCAATCTTTCGAAGAAATGGAGCTCCATCCATACTAACTTTCACGTACATTTTTGAATTTTCAACCCGTTCTTTCTCATTAAAACTATTCTTTTTCCTATAAGAGCAAACCGGTGGCCACCCCACAACTTGACTCTTTGTTGGAATCATTTTCCGGTCAACGGTGGTGCTGCTACCTTTGTCGCCGGAGACTTGAGAAAAGACCCTTTTTTTCTCATTTTTATTAATAAAACCCTCGGTGGCCGCGGTTTCCACTGCTGCGCCGGGTAGTCCCAGTCTTAGCTCGGTGATTTCAAGACCAAGGCCTTCTGTTGCCATTTAGAGTTTGAAATTTGATTCAAGAAACTGTTTTTGGTTATCTGGTAGGAATTTTTATAAATTTTAGTAACCTAAACGGCAAGATATTATATATGCAAGGGAAGAAGATATAGAGAGGACAAAGTGGGAGCAATGACAGTTCAAATAAGGCTTAATGGTCGGTCACATGAGAGGCAAAAGAGGGGACTTTATGCTTCCTAAAAACACTAATAAAGCCCAGCAACTATAAGTTGGATATTGGACACATCGTAGGGCTGTTGGGTATTTGGTTATTTGGTAGGATTTGATCTTGGCCGTCTGATTTGATGAATGGGAAACAATCCATGTGATCTGCCTTATTATTTATTGCAATAAATTATACAAGGAAGTAGTAGTACAAGTCTTGCCATGATAAGAGGGACTTCTGTTTTGCAACATCATGTTTGCCCATCCATGCACTACCTATAGCTCTACCTATATGTATTTACGTATATGATAATTAATTATCTTTATATAATATTATAATTGAGAACGATTATGCTCTCCCTTTCTAACTCAAGCAATATGAGAATACTAATTCCTAAATTCAAAAGCTTCATCATGTATTTGTGTGTGCACGTTAGTTGCATTTTGCAAATTAACTTTCAACCTCCAACATACGTATCATAATTTAGGGTTTTGTAATTATTATCTTAGATGAAGGGTTAATTACAATTATTAAAATTAAAATTACTAGAACAAAAATTAACAAAACCTCATCAAAACTAAACTCAAGTTAATAAGTTTTCCCCAAAACACCCAATCTTAGCCGAAAAATGTTAAGTTAAAGAAATTTGAACTGAAATATATCAATACAAAGAACTTTGCTAGAAGATAAAATTAATCCCGGATGATTAGAACATGGATGGATGATTGGAAGTGCATGCATGTGATAAATAATTGGTAATTTCACAAAATATATACATTTATAAATTATAATATAGTGTGTATGCATGATTAGAATTAGCAGACAGACTAAGAAGAAGTACGTTTGCTATTGATAGATATTGTCTCATATATACAAAATTTGATTAGTCATGTCATGTATGGAGTATAGAGGTCCATGTGTATGTATGAGAAGAAAATATCAAGGCATTTAATTACTAGCTAGCTACGAACTGGAAGAAATTGTGGTATTGTGCATGTTGGGACCATATATTATATGGGAAGTTCAAGCAAGAGTTATTCAATTACTTCGACAAATCACAATGGTCCCTATTGACTCCTTAACCGCTTAAATGGTCTTGCTGTCCTAATTATCTCTTGTACTCCCATCCAGTTCGTACACTAGCTGGAAAAAGGGATGGAGTAAGAACGTTGATTAATTAAATTAGCGTCGGTGCAACGAATTGAGAATTCTATCAACTATCAACTGCCGATTAGAATCTTTACCGAACACTTTTAATACAATTATTGAGTCCAAAACAGTTATCAACTATATGAAACAAATAAACCAAATGCCCTTCAAGTAATTGATTGAAAAAGGATAATGTATTTAGATTTAAAGAAGAATAGCATGTCGCGTATTTTTTTTTTTATCATGGGTTAATTAATTAAAAAATGAGTCATTTTTTTTATTGAAAATTACTGTTAAATTTAAGTAAAGTCTACGTATGAAACAAGTAGCATTGGTCTTATATCCCTATCTATACTCCATTTGTGGTAAACGAGACAATTTACTTGGAAGAACTAAGATGGTGACTGGTGAGAAAAGTTTTTGACTCATCTTTGTTTCTCCTATCTAGGAATGTATATCTAAGAAGTTACCCTCAAAAAGAAGTACGCAAAAAGACTCTCCATATGCAATTGTTTGTGCAAAAATGACTGGGGCTAATTTCAAGTCAAGCATATGGAGCCCCTCTAGAAGAAAAAAATGAGAAAACATCAACACTAGCTCCATGTGGTCCTCCATGGAATATTTACTAAAAATAAATAACTTTCTTAAGTATATACAATAATCTAAAATAACTACAACTAATGGTTTGGAAAATAGTATTCACTCAGCCACTCACCGTTCCAAATGGTCATGAGTGTGTCTGCTACTTAATTGCCTAACAGGGAATATGAATTAATCTCATGAAGAGGCACATCGTGCAAATGTTTGGGAATAAATTGCTAAATGTATTTAAAAAGTTAGTTCTTCTGAGAAGGAAAAAAAGAGCAACAGTAAACATGACCTTATCCATATATATATACTTCTATATTTAGGATTTGGATAAAACTCTTGCTCAACTAAAATTCTACTTGATCAAATACTCTCTCCGTTCTAAAATATAAAATTATTTAAAGTTTTTACATAGTAAATTATGAAGTAATTAATTTCCTAAATTATATTTACAAAACCAAGTTTTATTTCAAAATTAAAATAACTTGTGAAAATAGTTATTGTATCTAATATAAATAAGGGTAAAATTGAAAAAAAATCATTTATTATTTTTTAAAATACTTCAAATATCTTATATTTTGGGACAAAACAATCATCCTAAAACATCTCACATTTTGAGAGAGAATGAGCAATTGAAATCTTTCGTTAATATATCCAAACACTACCAGCAACCATGCATATTCAAATTACCTTTAAAAGACATTGAATAATTTAAGTATTTAAAAAGAATATATATATTCAAGTTCATTAATAATAACATGATATATGCATTTAGTTAAATTTTGTGGTACATATGCACACCAACGCATAACTTAATACATTACAACCCTATGAATTCCATAAATTAAAATTAAAGAACCAAATCAATAATCTTTACAAGTAACATGCCAAGAAATCTGCAACTTGAAAGTATGCATATGATTTTACCAAATTCTTCTATCCAATCAACAATATACATAAGCTACGTGCACTAATTAATGTGTGTTTGTATATATATAAATAAAGTACCCATGCACTAATCAGCAACTCCATTATTTAACCTAACTTGTAAGTTATAACCTAACTTCATACATAATCTTTAGAAAAATCTGTTTTTTTTTTTTTTTTTTTTTTTTTTTTTTTTTTTTTTTTTTTGTATATTATATAAATAGAAGTAACCCATGCACTAATCAGCAACTGCCATTATTTAACCTAATTTGTAAAGTTATAAAACAACCTAACTTCATACATAAATCTTTTGAAAATCTGTTTTTTTTTTTTTTTTTTTTTTTTTTTTTTTTTTTTTTTTTTTTTTTTTTTTTTTTTTTTTTTTTTTTTTTTTTGGGTAATCGTTGAACCCTAATTTAGTTCATGCACTTCAATACATATATAATTATTATCATATGCAAACAATTTTAGGAACACCCACATGTTGCTGACTGTGCATGTGTATCTTCAAAATTGAACAAATTATACTTAATTAACTAAGTCTAATTATAATGGAAGTATCAAGTGTATGACTATGCTTAACCAACCAAACTAAAAGGAAAAAAAAGAAAGAAGAAGACGACATTGTCGTCTCATTATAACTGAACAATTAGACAGCATTATTTTAAATATGCGTGTGCAGGACATTACTAAAACAAAACATAATCTGCTTTAAGCACCTTCTTGATATTACAAATCAATTAACTAATTAATTAATGTTATTATATAATCAATTAAATTGGCATGTATACCAGTTAAATGTTTATTATTATTGTAAATTAAATGTCTTTGCATAGCTAATTACATAATAAAAAAAGGAAAATATTTTATTATTTAAAAGATTTAGCTTATATATTTTGAAAATGGATCAATATTTGAAATGATTCAGTCAGCTTCTTCATAAAAGAACAATTCAAAGGTTTACCCAAAAATTTCAGATTTCAAGTCAGCTAAGCAATGATCACCAAGACTCATCCCAAGAAATTAAACCCAATCTAGAACCATCTGGCATCAATGAGGATTCTGCCTATCAACTAGCAATATATGTTCTTGATCTCATTTTGATATCCAACAGCTATAAATGGGCCATCATTATATACTGTTCATGAACAGTTCCCCCATCGATCTCTCTTACCACCTGTAGTGCATCCCAAGTAAATGTTAATAAAACTTTATATTAATTAATTAATTAATTGGTATTATATTTAAAAAACTATGTAAATATATAAATAATTAGACACATGTGTGTTTATGATATATAAATGGGTAGTTGCAGGTGACTAATTGTGGAGGTATTAGTTAAAGAAGATGTTCCTTCACAACCGAGCATATGTTTCCCTACAATTAGACAATGAAATCAAAGGTATGGGATGGACCCACTTTAGGGCACACGTGATAGAGTTTCTACCGGCATCTCATTCAATCAAACTGTTCTAGGGTTTAATCATGCCCTAGACAATCAAACCCATATCATAAAGATATGCTTTAGAAGAAAAAATAACCAGTGGATTTGTTATCGTCAAATCAATTCTCGTAATTTCGTTTTTAAAACTAGATATTTTCAAATCAGTTTATATAAAAAAATATTTTAAAAATATATTCAATATGTATCTATATTTTATATACTAAATTAATAGTTCATCCTTATCTAAAAAATTTTACCCTAATCTTTTCACTTTTCAAGCAATTTGAAAACAATGATTTTGATGCTTAATAATATTTTCTTCAGTTTCAAAAAAAAAAAAAAAAAAAGTTTTGAATTTTCAACCAAATCACTTATCACCATAGAGCAAAAAGGACTAATATTGGTATAGGTGGGCATCAATCTTGGCTGTGGACCATTCACCCTTTGTAGTTGATTGATCGATTGATTGATCGATTGATCGTTGACCATCAGATTAAGGTATGAAATGGCAATTGCGCGTTTTGACACCTGGGCTGTGAGCACTGGACCTAGATGCACGCGAATTACACATGAATACGACTTTGATGATTAGTACGTATTGTTTGCCATGCACTAATTTTACAGAAAGAACCGGGAAATGTATAATAATGGCCATGGTCCATGGACTTACTGTGTACTTGCACGGGAGTATCTGTCATCGAACCATTACAAAAATTAAAAGAATATGGATTAGTTTGGCATTATCATTGCAAAATAATTATTAGATAAAAAATTATGAAATCAGCTACTAAATTAATGCTTTTTATGATATTATTTCTATAAACCATATCGATAAAATTACTCGAAAAATTTGCATACATGAGCTGATTCATTGAGCAATAAAACGCTCGAAATGAAAATTTACTCTATCCATAATGATAAAACTCCCAAACTCATTTAAAGAAAAAAAATGTAACCCGATCCGTCGTGCCACGGTTTAATTGATGTTAAATATTAAATAAACCAAGTTTTCAAAAACAAGAAGGTTCAACAAAAGAGATTTAGTTATTATAGTTATTGAGTGTTATATCACAAACAAGAACTTTTTTGGCTAGACAAAATTCAGGTCCAGAAAAATTTTAATTAGTTAGCCATGGAAAAAGAAATATTCCACATCTGTCTACTATACGAAGGAGAAAGTGAAAGCATATTCAATTTTCGTGATCATCTAGAAAACCCTTTTTTTGTTTTTTTTTTTTCTTAGATATTTGGAATAAATACAAATTAAATTCATTTCATATTTTAAAGACACAGGCTTTAAGTGTTTATACTAGTTTTTTTTTTTCATCCAGGCGTTAATAATTAGTAAAAAATAATTAATTTTATAGAGTTAAAAAAAGTGAAGTTTTAAATAAATTTTCAGTTATATGAAATATGAAAAATTTAGATTCGGAAATCGGAAATGTTGGGAACATTTTGACAATAGGGAAAGTCTGTGTCTAAGACTACGCTGACACGATAGTTAACGAAAGAAGCAGCAAAGAAACTGCAAACCCTTTGCTGATTTTTGGCTGTTTAAAATGTATATTTTAATGTATTTATTTGCAAAGGGAATTCAAGTTCCCATGACCAGGAAAGTTCGCGGCAAGCATTTCTTGTGAACCATAGAAAAAGGGTAGGGCGGAGAAGAGACATGAAAACAACAATATGAGCTTTTCTTCAAACAATATTACAACTTGCGTATGGGAAAAGGACCTTTTAGCTTTTTTCTTTCTTTCTTTCACATTCTCAAAAGAAGAAATTTCTGCTTCCAGAAAAATTATAGCAATTTCTTTCTAGATTATTTCTTTTCTTCTGTAAATAATTAGGTTTGGTTCTTTCGGGTAGACTTTGAATTTGAAAGTGGAGACAAAATGATAAAATCAAAAAACAAAAATTTAAAATCTACATTAAGTGACAATTGTACCATGGTAAGTCCACGTAATAATTTATAGTGTATTAGCAAATTTTATTGGAATGATGCTCGTTTTGCCCTTCAACTTGAATGCAATATCTAATTTATTTCAAAATTAATTTCTTCTGCAATTTACATCACCTAAACTTAAGGTAAATTTTTTTTTTCTTTTTTAAAGAAAAACTTCGTTAAGAGAAAATCTGAAGAGATAACAAACAATTTGGTATAGAATTCCAGATTTTAAGACTAGCATGAAGATAGAAAACTCTTGCTAGAGAGTGACCTTCCATATTAGCTTGTCTTCTAATTCAACGAATATTAATATCGTTTCTACCACTGAAAATTAATCTACAGTTACCAACTACTAAATTTAAAGCTGAACAATTAATTGACGATCATTACAAGGCATAAACTAGGCTTTGACATTCAGAAAAAACATAAATATTAAGAATTAATTGTTTTATTTTTTCAAAAAAAGTTAATTGTTTTATATTATTATTGATAAAAATTGGGCTTTTGATCTCCAATGCAAGTTATGGTACCCCAAAAAAAAAAGGACAAACTACATTAATTACCTTTAATGAATTAAATATCCATTTTTTTAAATATACAATCAAAGTATCATAGACATGTATTTATCTTTAATCAATTAATATAACAATGTATTTCAAAACTTACATATTTAATTTATTACCATATATATGTAATTTATTTTTAAATATGTATGTTTATATTTTTTTAAAATCTCAATAATCAATTAAATAAAAATGAAGGCCAATTATTATTTATTATTATATTTCTTAAAACTTTACTTAAAATATTTCCAATTATTTTTCAATTTTTGGATAATAATATAATAATTTTTTCAAACAACATATAGATACATGTGAACGAAGAAACAAATTAAATGCCCTCGCATGACACGTGGAAATTCGTGAGCCGGTTAAACAAATGCGGGATATGGCCCCTCGGTTCAAATTTGATAAGTTTCGGATGCATAAATGATCTACGTGACCCATGGGTTCAACCCGCAATTTCAAACCCAACTCAAAATCGTTGCGGCCCATGTGTTGGCCCATACTCAGATTTCAAATCGTTAGGATTTAATTATCGAATTTCAAACCAGGAAATTCATATATTTTTGGCTTAATGTATCGAATTTCAAACTAGAAAATTCATATATTTATTCATAAATATAATAAACCATCACCTTTATAAGTAGCATAATATTTTAACTTAAAAAAATCAAATAAAAAAATCATCCATAATTAGTCAAAAATATAAATTAAAGAATTCCTAATTTTCTGTAAATTTACTCTTGTAAACCAAATCTTGAGTCGAATTTAAAATCAAAACTATGAATTAAGTTTTTAATTTGATAAAAATAAATATACAGTAAAAAAATAACTTACTTTTCTTCCTTCTTTTATATTTAAGACCTTAAATTAAAATTTTAGTCAATAAAATTATCTAATAATTTTATAACATTTTCAAAAAGCATCATTAAGTGTGTAAAAAAGTTTCCTCAAAATGCTCTAAGGGTATCCTCAAGTATTCGGAATTAAAATGTTCGAACGTATGTGAAAAAGATCGGATATAAATACATTTGATTTTTTAAAATGTCAGCGGTTCTAAAAGGTAATAACGTAATAAATGGTGCCTATCAATTTCTTAACTGTAATAAAAACAATTAAAGATTAAACCTCAACCCACTTTGGTAAATATTTTCAAAACTACACCCATTGAGGCAATTTTTGTTTACTCCACTTAGGAAAGCTGCTCCAGGCACTCCCCAAAGTCTGTTCATCATTAATAGCGAGTGTAACCTAGTGTACTGTCTGAAATAAAATAACCCAAATAAATAATAATAACTAAAAATTTTGCTTACATAGCAGGTTATCACTAGTATATATGGAGAGAGCTTTTTTTTTTTTTTTTTTTCCTTTAAACCTCCCAATAGTCTGTTTTCATTCATTAATAGCGAGTGTAACGCTAGTGTACTGTCCTGAAATAAAATAACTCCAAATAAATAATAAGTAACTAAAAATTTGCTTACATAGCATGGTTTATCACTAGTATATATGGAGAGAGCTTTTTTTTTTTTTTTTTTTTTCCCTTTTAAACCATTGTATCAGATCTTTTTATGGAGAGAGCTTTTTTAACTTTCATGCAAAAACTTTTTAGTTCTTTTAGCACGAAGTATAAATTTTTTTTTTTTTAAAGCTGAATATATATAAGCTGAAAACAGAAAATGAATTCCCAGTATTTTTTTTTTTTTTTTTTTTTTCCTTTAAACCACTTGTATCCAGATCTTTTTATGGAGAGAGCTTTTTTAACTTCATGCAAATAACTTTTAGTTCTTTTAGCACGAAGTATAATTTTTTTTTTAAGCTGAATATATATAAGCTGAAAAACAGAAAATGAATTCCCAGTAAAATGAAAATGCCATAGAAGGTACCTAAGCTAATGCAAAATTTTCATTCATTTGCATTTTGGTATGCAAATAAATGAAAAAAATGCCAACCCTGCTTTCTTTTTTTCCTTCTATATTTATTTTGCTTTATCATTATTACTACGAAAACAGTGTTATTTTAATGGGTTTGCCAGCAAGTTGTTTAGTTCATGCTGGAGTATAAACTGCATTCTTGAAGTTGTTCACTTCTCTCGGCTTCCAGATGGTGTTTGCCCTAGCAATTTCTGATCCATTCTCAAGAAGCAAGGAGTGATCCAACTCTATCAAATTATTTGTATCTGTAGAATGATTGCTGCCATTTTTGACAATTTTGGATAGAAATTGCAGTATACTGTTGATGTCACACTCCTTCCTGTACTCCAAAGTTATGTCTGAAAGCTTGTGATGCTGTATCAATGAGCGGAGAACATTCTGAAAAGATTGAAAATTTTTATCACTTTAATTTGTATAATTATTGAAAGAAAGCAAGCTCTGAGCATATTTTGTTAGCATCAGAAGAAATGGAGAAAGGACTCGAACTCAAGTATTGGCAATTAAGTTGCAAATAGACTGAAGAAAACATAAAAGCTGCATCCAAAAACTCTCTACCTGAAGAATCCAGTTAATGTATTGAACATGGTTCACATGCTGATTGAGATCAAGGTCATTCCACCCGGGCTGTAATTGAAGCATATGAAATCAATTAAAGTATCAAAATAACAAAATCTTAAGGTTCTTTTAAAAAGAAAAATCATTGATTCATGTATGGGACTTACTGTTAAACCAGTACGAGCATAATCTGCCGTATTAACATCAAATGGCAACATTTTTCTGCTATTTATGATAGGATTACAGTCCATCATCATATGAGGAGCAATCTCATCCCTAATTTCCTCTGTAAATTTAGATAGCTTTCTTGTTTTCTTATTCAACAACACCATTACACTTCAAAAACAAAAATGGTAAATTTAACCAAATGAAGCATAGTTAATAATCTTTTAGTGATACCAAGAAAATAAATAAAAAGAAAAGAAACCTAGATGCTTGAGCCAAAGGTTTGCCTGTTTTGGCATCACGAACAAGCCAGTCTCGTCCTTGACCATTTTGTCCTGATGGGTACATCCAAGTGTCTACTTCAACAGCATCAAGCCTTCAGCAGACAAACAACATTATTACGAGTATTTATTTCATAGTGCAGGAGATTCAGATCAGAAGTTTTCTTCTTTAAAAATGTATATTACCATGAAGGATGGCGATCGACTAGTATCTGCAAAGTGCAGAGTACCCAAATCAAGTCCTTTTTACTCATTTCAGGTGTTGAACCAAAACCAGCTGCTAATAACCCTATCATTCTAACATGGTTCAGTGCAGTATCCTACACAACATACATACATCAAACTCAAATAAACAAGTGAACATACGAAAAGAAAATCATAAAAACATAATTAATCAACTAATTACGTACCTGTAAAAAATTGGTTAAGGCAGCCAAGGATAATTTTCTATCAAACCCAATTTCAAATGATCTAATAAAAATATTTTGCCTATATATGAGACCATTTTGCTCCAAGCTTCCAAATCCACCATCAATAAGAAAATTGTTTAATTTCTGGATTCTTTTCTCAATGGCCGCACATCTACAAGTAAAATGACCAAATTCTTTGACAATACTATTCTTCCTCCGGTCTGCTGAAGCCATTCTCGTCTCCTCCTTGATAAGTTTGATTGGTAGTAATGAAAAGGAAATAGCAGTACTAACCATTTTTCTGCTCGGCTTTGAGTCATTTGCTATCGTCTCTGTGTTTTCTACTTGTTAAATAAGCGAATTAACAATGGAGCGCTTCGAAGGTAAACAAGTGGAGAGCATGTTGATGGAAAGAGGAATACTTGGCAAAAACATAAAGCAGGCCGATTTGCTTCTTACAAATATGTTTGATCATGCAGCGAGATGCTCGACCAAGTGGACAGCTGCATGCACTGTTCTTCTTCCCAGCCTTAATTTGACCTAGATAATATTGCCTTTCAGCTGACGTAGTTGCATCGAAGTCAATAAAATGAAAATAATAAAATCAAATTCTGCAACTGAATTCATTTCCCAAGAATCAAGATGGAGTAAAAATACAAGATAGTATTAATGAAAGTGAGCACGTATGGAAAGGAAAAAAAAAAATCACGGTCATTGCATTTGCAAACTCAAGAGTTAGACTTCCTCCCGTCTACTGTATTAAACCAATAAAAGTAAAAAATAAAAAATAAAAAATATTTTCATTTTAGTTTTTTTTTTTCAATAAATAGTTTTTTTTTTTTCACCAGATCGATGCTTCTTTCTATAGAATCTAGACTTGTGAATTTTATTTTCTCTGAATTATGATTAAAATCAGATACTTGGATTGCATTTAGACTGCTAGAGAATTTCATTTGCAGCTCCAATTCCCTAATTTCATCCAATTAAATGCAATTTGTATTCTACTTTATCATCTTTCTGCAAAATAAAAATCACTCATTGTGAAAAACTAAAACCTTGAAATAATGCAGGTATGAGATGTTTACTTTTTCGTGCATTAGTTATATGATTTTCCTCATAAAGACTAAAAAATAATTTTGTTGTTACATGTCGTTTAAGTGTTTGGCTCTAAAATACTGAGTTGAGAGTAATTTGTCTGCTCTGGTTAAGCTGTTGGAATTTTCTTTTTCTATGCATGCTTTACCTTCATGTTCTTTTGAAATTGGAGGCCCCAAATCAATGTGCATACAGTTTTAAGTGAATCGTTGACAGGCTTCTAATGGAGTTGCAAGCCTGCTTTTTGTTTTATTTATTTGTCATGATAAACTTATCGAGAATGACACTAGCTGATTATTTGTTTCTTCCCCTTCAGATTTCTAACTTATACGAAAGACACAGTTATTTTAATGAGTTCACCAGCAGAGTTGTTTAGTTCATGCTAGATATATTTTCTTCTGCAGGACTATGAACTACATTCTTGAAGTTGTTCACTTCTCTTGGCTTCCAGATGGTGTTTGCCCTAGCAATTTCTGATCCATTCTCAAGAAGCAGGAAGTGATCCAACTCTATCACATTATTTTTATCTGTAGAATCATTGCCGCCATTTTTAACAATTCTGGATAGCGACTGCAGTATACTGTTCATATCACACTCCTTTCTGTACTCCAAAGTTATTGCAGAAAGCTTGTGATGCTGTACCAATGAGGGCCGAACATTCTGAAAAAATTGAGAATTTTTATCATTTTAAATCTGATTGTGCTATTTTGTAAAGAGTAAGAAGAAATGTTGCAGATAGAGTGAAAGAAACACAAAAGCTGCATGCAAAAAGTCTCTACCTGAAGAATCCAGTTAATGTATTGAACATGGTTCACATGCTGATTGAGATCAAGCTCATTCCACCCAGGCTGCAATTGAAGCATATAAAGTCAATTAAAGTATCAAAATAAAAAAATCTTAAGGTTCTGGTAAAAATTAAGTATGGGGCTTACTGTTAAACCAGTACGAGCATAATCTGCTGTATTAACATCAAACGGCAATATTTTTCTGCTATTCTTGTTCATGATAGGATCACAGTCCATCATATGGGGAGCAATCTCATCCCTAATTTCCTTTGCTAATTTAGATAACTTCCTTGTTTTCTTGTTAAACAACACCATTACACTGCAAAAACAAAAATGGTGAATTAACCAAATGGAAACATAATTTGATAATCTTTTAGTGACATAAGAAAGTCAATAAAAAGGACAAGAAACCTAGAGGACTGAGCCAAGCTTCTGCCTGTTTTGCCATCACGAACGAGCCAGCCTCGTCCTAGACCATTTTGTCCTGATGGATACATCCAAGTGTCTACTTCAACCACATCAAGCCTTCCGCAGATAAACCACATCATAAAGCAGAAAGAAAAAATAATAAAATTACAATTTTGTTTCGATTTTTATTTTAGAAAAATAATTTTTCTCTTTTTGTTTGATTTTTTGGAGGCAAATAATATGATTTATGTTACCATGAAGGATAGCCATCGACTAGTATCTGCAAAGTGCAGAGTACCCAAATCAAGTCCTTTTTAATCATTTCAGGTGTTGAACCAAAACCCTCTGCTAATAGCCCTATCATTCTACAATGGTTCAGTGCAGTATCCTACACAGCAAACGAACATCAAAACACATTAATTAGAAAGAGACAAACTTAACTAAAAACCATATGTAATTTCCATTAATTACCTGTAAAAAATTGGTCAAGGCAGCCAACGATAGTTTTCTATCAAACCCAATTTCAAATGATCTAACAAAAATATTTTGCCTATAAATGAGACCATTTTGCTCCAGGCTTCCAAATCCACCATCAATAAGAAAATTGTTTGATTTCTGGACTTTTTTCTCAACGGTCGCGCTTCCAAAAGTAAAATGACCAAATTCTGCTGCAATAGTATTCTTCCTCCGGCCTGCTGAAGCCATTCTCATCTCCTCCTTAATAAGTTTGATGGGTATTGATAGAAAGGAAATAGCAGTGCTAGCCATTTTTTCTGCTGAGCTCTGAGTCATGCTATTGTCCCTGTGTTTGCTATATATATATTTTTAATATTTCACTATTTATTCATTTTGTTGTCGACCTGTCACATTAGTTCCTTCAGCTACCGTGACTGTATTTTTGGTAGGCCTATTAAATAAAATAATAAATTTGATTAAGAAATAGCAACATTCATAAATTTGTTCTTGTACTTTCATCAATTTGTTCTCTACTTTCACCAATTATCTTTGTGGCCTATAAACTTTACAAGAACTCATTATAACCATACACATTTATCATTCAATAATAAACATGTGGCGTCCTCTCACATTTTACGCCACATGTTTATAACCCTAAATAAATTGAACCCTCAATTTAACCTTAAAATTTGTAGGGTTGAATCAATTTTTACATTTCATTTTGGTACGCCACATTTTTATTACTGAATGATAAATATGTAGAGTTATAATGAATTCCTGTAAAGTTTTTGGACCACAAAGATAATTGGTGAAACTACGAGATGAAATTTATGCATGAGGCTATTTCTTAATCAAATTTATTATTTGATCCTTGCATTTTTTTATTATTATTTTATATTCACTAAAAGAAAATGGAATAATTATTTTGCAGAGGGATTTACTAACATAACAAAATTAAAATGCAATGATTAATAGTATAATTTTAAAAATCCAAATACTTAATTACCAATGTATTAACCAAAAAACCCATTTATCTAATCTAATATATACACACACACACACGGATCGAGGGTTTTTTTTCCTTTTTATCTATATCTATTTATACCTATATCTATGTGCATATGTATGTATACACATTTATAAACTTTGTCTACCTTTAAACATCAAATTTAAAATTGCAATATGTAACTGTTAGCTGTTATATCAGCGGTTAGTTGACAATGGTTCATGTAGCAGTTTAAATTATAAGTTTTGATAAAAAATAATTATTTAACTTAAAATGATATTAATTTATTTAATTAGTTGAATTCGGAGAAAAAAAAATTGATATGATTATTTAATTAAAACTAAAAGTTAAATATTGAAGTATTTATCGTTTCATAAAAAATCTCTCTCAATGTATAATTGATATTATAAAAGTTATGTTATCAAATGTTACATTTAATAGAAAAAAATTTTGATTTATTTTCATCTATTAGTACTTAAATAATAGTACATATTTCTTAATTGTCTCCCTATTTCAATTGGTTATTTGAAAATACATATGTTTTTTTAGCTGGAAATCTGACGCGGATATAACTGGTTAATAAATGATAGCTTTAAGAAATGTCAGATCATATTTATTTTTTCCTTCCTCTCCCATGCCTTCTTGTCTGGAAAAATGACATGGATATAATTGCTTAATAAATGATTGCTTTAAGAAATGTCATAACATATTTATTTTTACTTTCCTCTGTCATGCCTTTTGTCTCCTTACATCCCACCATATTACGGTTTTCGGAATTGAAATCGTCGACTTTGAACCAGTGAGAATTAAAATTGGAATCAGTGGGAACTGAAATTGTTGGGAATTAGAATTGAAATCGGTGGAAATCAAAATCGGTTCAAATTGAAATCGAAACCGTAGCCTACGATTCGATTCTGATTCTACCATTTTTTGAACCGTGAACCGGCGGTTTCAAGAACCGGCCGCAACCTTACGGAACTCACTGTTTTTCCAACAGATTGGAACCGACGATTCGAACCGGAGATTCCAAGCAGATTTTGAATTTTATGTTAAACGGCTAGAACCGGCGGTTTCACTGGTTCAAACAGGCGGTTCCAGCAGCTTTTTTTTATTTTTCAAATAGTTTTGTGAAATCTCCAAATTACTCCTCTTAACAACTATAAACGGCTACATAACGGCTAGTTTGTGGAAAAATAATTTTTTTATTTATTATAAATAACTCATTCCATTTACATATTTTCGCACAAAATTAAGTTGAAGACTTTTTTTAAAAAAAGAATAAATTAAGTTCAAGTCTTTTTTTTTAAAAAAAATTAAATTAAGTTCAAGCATTTTTTAATATTTTAAGGGTATTTTTTTTAGAAATTATTTCACAATTTTTTAAATTTTAAATTTTGAAGAAAAATTACTCTCTACTTTTTTATTTTACAATTATGCAATTCGATGGAAAATTGACCGGAACCGTAAGTTTTGAAACTATTAAAGAACCAGAACTAGAACCGTAACCGTTCGGTTCGAAACCGTAACTGAAACCGTCAATCTTCGGTTCAAGTTCCGGAACCATGTTCACCCTTATCTCTCCTACCCACTAAAAACAAAGAAAAGAAAAACATACAAAATTTCAAGTAAACAACATAGAACGGGAATACCTGATCTTCATGACAGAATGGGTGGGACAAAATTTAGGTCAATGTGGAACAATTTAATACAAATCAGTATTATCTATAATTATTTAAAAAAGAAGTTATTTTAGAGACGGATTCAGAATGTGACTACAAAATTTATACCTTTTTTTTTTTTTTGGTGAAAAATTCAGAATGATTTAAAAAAAAAAAAAAAACAAGTATCAATATTGTTTTAGGCTCATGCACACCCCTAGTTTTGAACTAGCCTATCAATATGTCTTTATCTTTAGTTGAGAATCGTCTTGGACAATCCTGCTAAGTTAGTTCTCCTTTCAAATTTCATATGCATAGCAGTTGGGTACTTGTGCTGGCCTCTTTTGCTGCCAACCCACGAAGCCTGCCTATCTCCAAGCTCAATTATCAATTTTTATTTTTATTTTTATTTTTATTCATTAAGATATCAGATATAATCCTCTTTTTTAACTCACCGAATTGATGAAAATTAATTTTAACTCGAGACCTTTCTTATTCACAAAGTTAGAAAACTAACAAGAACACAATTAGTTGACTAACTTTAATTATCCAAATTATTATGAGCATTACTTTGTCTATTTCTAAGTATTTATTACATTTGGATATTTCACGTTTTTTAAGAAATCTATTAATTTATCTAATTCATAATAAATTATTTAGTGAATTAACTATATCGCGCTTAATTTGTAAATTATAATAAATTATTGAGAAATGAAAGCAATTATTATTAGTGATATACAAACCTAAAAAAATGAACAAATAAACCAAACATTAATTAAGGTTCTATTAAATACTACTGTAATGAAAAATAAACCAAACATTTGGTAAGATTCCATTAAATGCATTTAATTACTAGGAATAAACTAATTTAGTAGCATCTATAGTAATGAGAAACTATTACTTCATTTTAAAGGACAAATAAAACTTATATGTCATATTTATAATTTTCATTTGTTAATTTTATTTATTTTTTTATTCTATCAATTTATGCCTTAGTTTATACCACTATATTTTTCCTAATGTCATAAAAAAAATCCACTAAAATTGTATGATCATTCACCTGTGATCTGCTGGATTAGTTGTATAAACGAAATAAGAAAATAATTAATAGAAAGTGATATGATTTAAAAATTAAATTATATATATTCAATATGTAAAGGGTGTTAAATTACAAAAATAAATTGTCCAAAAACGTCAAGGAAAAAGATTATAAAAAAGCAAAAGGGTAAATGGGCCAACTAACACATAAACAGAAGTCAAGCCCTATTGTTGTTACCATGTATAATACAGTATATATTGGGCCCAGAAGCCAGCCCGCTAGCATTTTTGTTCATGGGCTTTTTCAACTATTGCAAAATCCAATCATCGTTTCGTCGTTCACTGATAAGCGTCATGGTAAACGCTTTTTCAACTATAAGCGTCGTTCACTGAGGGCAACATTGGTTATATTGAACGACATGAACGAAGGTAAGGCAAAACAAGAAGTCGTTTATTATGTACAGTTGCAGTTTCACCTTTTCCTCGTTTATCTCTCACTTTTAAAGTAGTTAGTTTAGTTAACAATTTTTTCTCTCATTTTGACCTAACTCTATTAGTTAGCGGAAATAAAATAATTAAATAAAATTGGTTTTAATTATTAGGGAAATTTTTATGCCTAAGCACAAAAGATATGCTGAAGTTATTAATAATCGGAATTCACAAATTTTGTAAAATAAAAAATAAATGAAAAGAAAAACAAATCAAAAAAAGAAAAAAAAAATTAATAAAACCATACTTTAACTTATGGAATAGCAAAGGGTAAGTTTCACTTTCCACTTAAGTTTATGTGAATCAAACTGATATTAACCGCTGGATCACTGCTTCAAAGGACCCACCTTGATGATCTCATTTCCCACGAATCCAACGGTTTCGAATCCTCTTACTGCTGTACCAAATCCAAATCTTACACTCGTTCTCTTCACAACAACGGGAGAGGAGAAAAAAAAAAAACATAAAAAGAAAAAAAAAAAAAGGTTTAGCTCTCCCTCTCTCTCTGAGAGTTTGGCGTGAGCAAATGGAGTAAACAGGCTGACGCTGGATTTTCTCGGGAAAATGAGAGAAAAGGAAAGAAAATAAACCGAGCTTCAAGGCGCTTTCTTTAGCTTGTTTTTGGCTCTAACATTTGTAACCTTATGCATCAGCCTTTCATATAAATCTGGTACGATATCTCAAATTTTGCTTGTTGTCATTTGATTTTATATCATCCACCCCTGTATTATTTGTAAATTATGATTTATAGTTTTCTTAAAATTATTAGTGGGCTTATACTTTTTTTATAAGGGATAGCTGTTATTAATTTTATTGGTCCGTTTAAGTCAATGATTTAAGAATTTGCAATTTTTATCTGAATTTGTTATGAAGATATTGTCATAATGATGTTTTGATTTATGGGTTTTGTTTCCTAAGGTTTATTTATGCATTTGATACTTTGAATTGCTTTAGATGGGTTATATACTTGGAGGGTCTTTCAGTCGTAGTGCAGTTGTGTGTTTATCAGCATTCTACTTGCTTAACCAAATCAGCATTTGCTTGTAAATGTAATGTGTATGATCAATTTGCAATGTTCTAGAACTAATTTGCTGTTACGTTTTATATATATTGCAATGTGTAAAGGGCGACCCCACGCATGAAATATCCCACATGTGTGGACTCTGGGAAGGGTTCTTGGGGGGAGAGGGGGAGGGTTTCGATGTAGGCAGTCTTCTCCCTACCTTTTTGTAGAGAGGCTAACCCATGACCTCCAAGTTACAAGTAGAGTAACTTTACCATTATACCAAAGCCATACTCTATTATATTGTAATGTATATGAGAGAATTTTTTTAATTCAAATTTCTCTAAACATGTTTTTGGGTTAACTTTTCTACACAAAATATTGTTAATTTTAATGTGTTCTGAGCATCCTTGCTAAGTTAAGAAGTATTTTGTTTTTAACCTTAACTGTGATGATGCTGTCGAGTAATGTAGGAAGTAGTTCATGAGTTTGTTGGAATTAAGAGTTTCGTGTATATGGTGTAACTGCTGCTTTGACTGACAATTACCATTTTCTTTTGTGTCTTTATTGGAAAGCCAGGTTTGCTTATATGTTAACTTGTATAATCATGATCATAACTTGTAATAATGTATAGTGTTTGCATTAGTTCCATTGGTGAAAAGTTAAGAACTTTAAGCTAGTTTTTTTTATTTGTTATTTTTATTTCTTTTTTCTTTCGTGGCAGCTTTATATTTAAAGAAAAACAAAAACACCGAATCTATAGAGATTTTTGCAGTGCCAAATTGAGGACGCAGACACGTTGAGCATTGATTGAAGGGGAAAAGTTAGTCATAAAATTGAAAAGTTTACAGACAGATGCTTTCATGCCTTTTAAGTCTGTTATCAGACTTAGATGGATGCTATTTCTTCTGAACCAAATAGCAACGTCCTAAGTGACCAACACCCTTTGCTGATTGAACGGATGGAGAGCCATGGTGATAGTGAGCACATAATTGACATAACAAGAAATGATGATGCTTCATCACACTCATCTCATTATGATCAGCCTCCTGAAGTGGACTTACCACAACGTGAAGAGAGATCATCAAGTGCAAGTGGCCCTACTCATCAAACTTCTTCATCTCCCTTAAATCGATTAAGCTCTAGGAATCCAACATTTGCAAGGAGAGGTGATGGGTATGATCATCGGCACAGGAGTCCTTTGAACTCCGGGCTATGGATTTCCATTGAGCTACTTGTCACTGTGGGTCAGATTATAGCTTCTGTTGTTGTTTTGTCGTTGTCTAGAGATGAAAACCCACAAGCCCCGTTATTTGCATGGGTTGTGGGTTATGCATCTGGTTGTGTTGCAACACTTCCCATTCTTTACTGGCGTTTTCGTAACCGCAACCAGAGTGCCCAGCAAGATTCCGTTCAGTCGCTACAAGGCACTTCCCAGAACAATCCTCCCGGCTCTACATCTTATACAGCCATTTCTGTTATGCATGCTTCAGATGAGGAAAACTTTCGTTCCTCGGATGCAACAATAAATGATCAAGCAGCACAACCCTTTGCTGCACGGTAATGCCTTTTTGATTTATAATTTTCAGCCTCTCATTTCTTTATATGAATAATTCTTTGATTCCTGTTTCCTAATTACTGTGTGGTATCGAATGTGAAAGTGATGGTGGAGTGAATTGAGTGATAAAAAGGGAAAATACTTCATTTTAGTAAAGTTTGAGATTTTTCTTTTCCCCAATTTGCAGACAAGTTACTCAATTAAGCTCTTTTGGCTTGTGATAGAAATACTCAGAAACCAAATTTTAATAGTTATATACTGCATAGAGATGTAACTTTGATCCAGAGAAAGCTTCACAAAGAGAGGTACTTTTTATTCCTTGCCAACCTAGGAATCATGTCAAGTACAAAAGTAGGCAAATGTTTGGTATCCGTACTTCTCAGAGATGAACTGAAAGAGGCAGGTTGCTGTCTAACAGCCATGCCCTGCCCTTAAGTTAATCAGGTACAAGGATTCTCCTCATGGGCTCTCATCCTTGCAATCTCAGGGAAGTGCCTGTTGATCCCAATGGATGTTATTTGCATCATTTTAATGCCTTTTAGTCTGTAAAACAGCATGGGTTGTTGCCCATGCACTAGACAAACTTGGGTTACAATTTGGTCAAATTACCTGAAGCCTCTCACTGCGCTCGAAAATCTGGCATTTATGAAGAACGATGTCACTATTTAAAAAAAAAAACAGAATTGATAAATTTTCAGTAATCTCTGGGAATAGAATGTATCATTTTTAATTACTAATCAACATATTGCAACACTTACTATGATTATATTATTGAATGAGGCGAGTTTGTGAGATTTGGGAAGACTGTTTTTAGCACTGAACTCATTAGGATGCACCATTGGAAGTCATAAAACTAAGTTTATTTGATTGATTTAGCTATATTGATTAATGTGGTTTTTATAGTTTACGAACTTTGTATTATAAAATTGAAGCAGAAAATCATTTTAGATTGTTCCCAAAATGGAAAATGGAGTGCACTTTAATTTACTTTGGCAGAGTTCAAATAATTCCATCTGTAGATTATAATGTAATCATGCTATTGTCCCTGTGTTTGCAGGCTCAATGGACTAATGGACAATTTCAAGATGGCCCTAGATTGCTTCTTTGCAGTGTGGTTTGTTGTGGGCAATGTGTGGATTTTTGGAGGTCATTCTACTCCCACTGATGCCCCCAAATTGTACAAGTACGATCTGCTGATATTTATTCTTTTGCATCCTATTTGATTTTACCTTGGTGGAGTTCCTTACTTTTTGTTGGCTTCCTTGCAGATTATGTATAGTGTTCCTTACTTTTAGCTGTATAGGATATGCCATGCCATTTATACTATGTGCAACAATTTGTTGCTGCTTGCCTTGCATAATCTCTCTCCTAGGCTTCCGGGAGGATTTTTCTCACACTAGAGGCGCCACTACAGAATCCATCAATAGTTTGCCAACCTACAAGTTCAAGTTACAGAAGTGTGAAAATGAAGATGATCATGACAACTCAGGGAATAGTGAGGGTGGAGTATTGGCTGCAGGGACAGAAAACGAGCGTGAAATATCAGGAGAAGATGCGGTAAGTTCAATGGCTGGAATATAATGACTTTACTTTTTGAATAGCAATAATTCCTTCTATTTCGTGATTTTTTTTGAGGAATCAAGTTCGATGCATGGCTTCAATTTCATAGTAAACTAGCTCTACTATATAGTCTATATTGAGTAAAACCTTAGCAGAATTGCAATCAATAACTTTTTGTCTATTTTTACTCCAGTGTACTTTAAATTATTAATTATTTTATTACTAAGTTGATGTTAGATAATGTTCTTATGCTAACCAAAGAAAAAGTCGGTGTTGGTAGAAAAATTAGAAGGGCTTGCAGTGGTACTTGTGGTTTCCTTATTTTCATCCAAGCTGGAGAAGACAAACTTAAATGCTCAAAAGTATAATTCATTATGAAATTGAAGTTTCACATATTTTCTTTTCCTTGAAATTGAACAAAGAAAAATGAAAAAGGATATGGTTTTTTTACATTAAGATAACACCATTATCATGTTCATTACAAGGTGAGAGCAATAAAAATATTACTTATGAGCAATTGCTTTAAAACTAATATGCTCATTTTCCTACCAATCTGGTACAGATTTGCTGCATTTGCTTGAACAAATACATCGACAATGAAGAACTGAGGGAGCTACCCTGCTCCCATGTCTTCCATGTGGAATGTGTCGATAAGTGGTTGAAGATTAATGCATCATGTCCCCTCTGTAAAAGTGAGCTTGGTGACAGCAGTGGTCCTCTGCCATCGGCAGGAGACTCGACATAGCAGTAGAGCAAGTGAGAATGATGGGTAACGGATCAGCTGAATTTATTACATGGGATTTGTTGTCTCAAGCCCTGGGGTAGATACTGATGAAGCGCACTCATCCCCAAGCAAACTAAATTTTGTTTTAGAGTAATGTAAATGGCAACTGCAGGTTGTTGTTTTGGCCTTAGCATTAGCTTTTAAATCTATCTGAAAGTTTGTAATTGCATGATACAAGACAAGTAAGCATCTCGCTTTTCGCCCCACCCCCTCCCTACTTCCATGGAAATAACAAAGATGTTATCTGTCTTCTTTTTATGTTTCTTTTTTACAGAATATTCTTGTCTTTTGAAGTGAAGCTAACATCGGAATCTTTCAGTTTCATGGCTTGAACCATTGAGTCAATAGTATGCCTATGGACGTGTAAGTTTGGTATTCTATCAGCTCGCATATTACAGTACAAATATAGTTTGTTGCCAATAATTACGAAAACTAAAACAAAATATCTACGACAGTTTGCCATAACATTGTTCACATTCATAGTCTGATTGTTCAAACAAGGATGCATAACGTTGGATGACTTGCTGATTTCTCAACTCAAAGATGGGGCGTCTTTATAGCTCTTAAAGATATGTAGTCAGTAATTTTTGAAATAATTTAGAAAGCGAAATTCAATTTTAGAGTTTATTTCACACAATTTAAAATAATAGAGATGAACGATACGTAGAATTTTGAAGACCTTGTACGAAACATGAACACATGATTCCAATTTGACCGGATGGAGTTGAAAAAGGACTTGGAAGCATACTTTCCACGTACCAAAAGCATCAGAAGCATATTCATAAAGAAAAAAAAGGGAAATTTGGCTCTCTGAATGTCCAAAACAAGCAGCAAAACTGAACATGCTATTATATGAATCTTGTAGCAAAATTTTTCAGTATAGTGTTTAACTGTTTATACAATAAAAGCATTAAATAGAATTGGGCAAAAAGTACAACAAGCTCTGAAGATCAGCTCTACAAGAAATTGTTCTATGCTGACCGTATGTAAGACCAGTACTTGGAAAAAAAGAAAAAAACTCTAGTGCTCCCCTTACCTAAAATGATTGACCTCAAAGTATTGGTGAAAACCCAAAAGAACCACCCTTGTCTAGATCTCACCTAGTAGTGAGTTAATTAAAAGGAAAAAAAAAAAATCAAACCCTAAAAAGATAATAGGAGTATGTTATACACATTTGCAAATGAATGCATCGAACAATTGGGCCAGTAGAACAGCTAAAAGTAGAAAATTTCAACTGAGAGCAGTAGAGGGGATTGACACCATTTGCACATAACCCCAAAATGATCTTCCACTGTCAGCAGAAGCAAATCCAATATCCTAAAAATGTAGTTTCCTGCCGTTGTTTGGTTATATGCTCTACCCATTAAATCTTAGCACAATTGTGCGTTAGATGCTGCATGCATTCAACATGACTTTCAGATGGTGAGATCCTTAAAAGCGTCTAGTTTTCCATTTGATGCAATAGAATCTGCAATTTTTCCAACTCCGGGATGACTTGCACTCCCATTCTCAGGGTTTTTGCCTGTTAGATTGTACACAGAGTTGGGCATGGCAGAGCTGCAGCTGCCTTCAAAATATGTAGAGTACGGGAAGTACTCAGCACAACGCACCTTCCACCCTGCAAAAATGAAAATTTAATATCTAGAGCCAAAAAGATGTTTCCCTATTTTCAAATGTTTATCTAGATCAAGTGAAGATTGCAAAAATGATTTCCTACTATCCATTTTCACTTATCTAGCAATGCAGTTATAATGCGTTATTCTGAAAACATTTGGGGTCTATTTACATCCAAAGCATTTTTTACTTGCTTAATTCCAATATTTTATAATTTGGCACTTTTACAGTCATTCAAATATCCATAGAATGAAAGTTATGAGACATTTGATGATGCATGATTAGGTTTTGTCTATATTTTAAGAGGGTGTGTATCCATGGCCACAGCAATTCTGATTAGGGTACAAGATTTGCAACAGTTCATGGTGGTTATGGCGGAGCATGAGATAATCTTTCAAGGAACAGATACAAGCATGACTGGCAAGTTTGCTATATCAAAGAACTATAAGAGCAAGGTGGACAATTTATGGATTCGCAAGGTTCATGTCAGTGGCAAAGTTCTACATAAAGTTTCATTTGTGGGTTGGGAGAGGCCACTGCTGGTTGAATTCAGTTCAACACTGACTGTCCCCAGGTCAACCCTGGTGAAATTGAGTGGTGGGGTTATGTGAGATTCTTGCTATGGTTTGTGTGGGGGATTTGTGGTCCATCTGGACATTGTTTGTGCACTTTGGCAGAGATACGGTCAGTCATTGTTGGTTTATAGGTTGCTTGGAAAAGGGTTACAGGCAGGTCATTTTGAAGGTCAATTCTTAGGTGGCATCTCCTATGATGACAAGGGGTGGCAAAATTTCGCATGCATGTCTGCAGTTTTTCAGAAGCAGCTGGAGGTACAAGTTCAATTCCACTGAGAAGATAACAGAGCAACTAACTAGCTAGATAAATAACAGCTGCAGCATTGAGACATCCCTGAGAATGATATGGAGAAGGTGGCTTTTCCTAGAATAGTTTCTGGATAATTGGTTTTTCAAGCCCTCCAGCCTAGTGAATCTATATATATATATATATATACACAATTTTGATTCTTACTTGATGCAGCATCATGATCACTGAGAGCTGTTTCTAGCAGCTTGTGGACCGCGATGCAGTCTTTGAGTTTCCAGTCCTTGATCGTTCCAAATGCTCCACTTCTGAGTAAATAGATGAAATAGATTTATAAAAACATGAAAGAAAGGAAAAAAGATTCAGCGTTTTTAGTCCATAAAAAGATATGCACCTCAAGTACCAAACTAAAACACAGACAATTTAGAAAATAAGATTGCACATTAACAAGAATCATTACACTGGCACAAGGTTGTTGGTAGAATCTTCAATTAATTTAATAGCCTCAGATCTCTTATTAGGTTCTAAAACATATAACATTTCTGCAACTGCAGCTCTATGCATCAAAGAATCTGCAAAAACCAATAAAAAAGTCAGCACAAAAACACCATAGATGAATAGATGGCCATATACTTGTGCAAATAAGTTGCATAAAAGGTGGGGGATGACCTTTATGTTTTTCAAGGAAAACTTTGTTGGCATCAATCAGAGATTTCTCATGCAATTGACTATAAACAAACAGAAAAAGGATTAGCATCTAGTGCACAATCAAAATTATCCCAGGAGAAATAAATCTAATAATATTATTCTATACACACAAGGGGGAAGAAGAAATTCAAAGAGAACCTGATTGATGGGCGCTCTGCTTCCAAGACACTCCAAATAAGTTTCTCCGCATCTGTTACTGGAGCAGCCAATGAGCCCACTTTATGGAAGAATCTTATCTGCAGCACATAAAGCTCACAATCAACACTGGTTAAAATGCCTGCTACTATGATTGCCATTACATCCATCACACAAATGAATAACATGAACCTGAACAACATATAAATTCAAAAATGACAAAGATGAGTTAATAGATTTGTTGTATAAAATATGTACGCACCAAACAGCGATGAGAATCTGGGTGTTCAGCATCCAACCTAAGCAACTGTTTCACAGCCTACAGAAAAGGTATAAAAATATGATAGCAAACCAAGGAAACATTACTTCTACACATTCGATGCACATGACATTGTAAAACCAGTTGACATCGCTAGTGGCAAGAGTGTTATCAACTATGGAAGAAAAAAGTACCTGCAGTGCAAGCAAAATTTTCTGCTTCCTCATATTTACTTCAAATGAAAGCAGGTGAGTCTCCAAAGAGTCAGGTGAGCTTTTCTTAAGCAGCTTCAAGTACTTTGTAGCTTCCGACAATGGATCTTCAACCTGAATAATTCATCCACATCAGACAGTACAATTCATCAGGAACAAAAAGAAATCAACAGGAACAAGAAGGAACCTGCAGTAATTTTTCACCAATTGGATCAGGATCTACAGGCTTAACATGTCGTTTTCCTGACTTGGATACACCACCAGCACTTGATTCTTCATTCTTTACCTCTGCCTCCTGAAAAAAGAAAAATATATAATAAAAAATGAAAATCATTCAACAGAATGATGCCTTAGATGCCACAGACTACAAGTAACATACTCTCTTAGCTCGAGCTTCCGCCTTCTTTTGTTTCTGTCTCATCTTCTTTTTTTGAGAAGGCGGCAACTTTGACATTTCATCATCTTCTTCAGTTGTCGACTTGGAAGGAGAATCATACAATTTTATGTAACATCTGCACCATAAAATTTATGGACGTGTCAATAAAGATATTCTTAAATGCAAAACTTCAAGAAGTTGATTCAAAGGAAAGGAGAATGTTTTAACCAAAACGAAAAAGAAAAACATGTCAATAAGGCAAAACAACAAATTGCTGCAGCAGTTAAAAGCATTATCCACTACAAAAAAAAACTAAAATGGTACATGGACAGCTCAATTCCAATGCAAAACAAAGTTTGAGCATCAAGCTATTGAAGAAGCATCACATGCAAAGGCAATGTGTGAGACATGAATCTCAATCTAATTTCAGACTGACAAATAAATATGGTATTCTGACTACTCTATTAAATCTCGCATGAAATGGAGTCTCTTTCAATACAAAGAGTTCAGATAGAGAAGCACTATTCCAGAACCAGGTTCAGTTACCATCAAATTCTTGCATGCCTCCTTTCAAATCTAATGTTCCTCAGACCCTATTAGAATAGTATACAATCATTTGACTTCTAATTCAAGCCTCTAATTCCTCCTTTGACACAGCAATAATTTATTGCAAAAAGGAAAAGGAGTCTAACCAAAACCTCAGTTTTCACCTAGTAGGGATCAAGGTTCCCACCTCAACCCTCATGTACAAGGCAATCAACTCAAGACACGAGGATGTAGTTTAAAGAGGGCAACTGACACAAACACAACCCCACTAGACAGCTGCCCCAGGGCACCACAATTCACAGTCAATGGAAGCCACTGGCCCAGGCATGTGTCATAGAACAATCTATTAGAAGTATAAATAACAAGCAACTAAAAAAGCACATCCTCTGCTCGGCTGCTCCAAACATCTAGGCAACACTGCTGGACATAACCAAAACAGCACATAAGTTGAAGCAGTTGTTCAACTGGAAATCAAATAAAGACTTGCCCATATTCATATACTTTCATCCTGTGAACAAACATTTTCAACCATTTTGCATTACGAGGTAACAATAACATTATCTGATATTACATTTTGAACTGATTGGCAATTTGGCAGAGGCACAATCAACTAATCTGAGAAAAGGAATAAAACACTGCATGCAGTATGAAATGTGAAATGTTTGTAAAGAATCCCTTCCCACTCAACCATACTTCATATCCACAAATCGATGGAGGAAAAATTAACAGAACAGATATAAAAATCTACTTCATGGTTATGAAAGATGTGTGGTACCTTATAGCTCCAGCTGCTGCTTTGTGAAAGTATGCATGCGAATGCAACCTATCTTGAAATTTAAGCATTGCTACATAGGCACGTAAAGTCATTTTTCTTAAGCAATAGGAATGGAAGTCAAATTGGTCTTCAGTGATATCAGCATAGTGTTTCTCCACAGCTAAAAATTTCTTCAGCGCCCGTCCAACATCACCTTGGCGGAAATAACTTTCACCAGAAGCAAGTTCGTACCTTTCACCACAGAATATCATTGAACACCAAGTATATACAGAATAAATTATCAAACTCAAAATAAATCAATGTCAGGAGTAAAGGGAGACAGACCACATGCACTGCATGTCATGAAGGTTATTATGCTGATCCCCATCTTTAGTGAATAATACAGCTGTTTTTTCAGCCAAAGCCACCTTCAGGGGGGAAAAAGGATCCAATATAAAACACAAGAACACATAAACAAGCTCCATAGGACAAAGCACAAAAAACAAACAACAACATGTGGGAATTAAAATCTAAGGTAAATATCAGCTTCAAAACCTGATCAGCCTGCAGCATACGTTTGACACATTCACTGTTTATGTAGCGATCAGCAAGATCCATGCATCTTGCTTCATCTGCCAATGCTGCAGCAGCTGCCAAATCACCAGCATGCTTCAGAATCCGACTCTGATCAAACACACAGAAGATTTAGATATTAGGGCACCAGCGGAAACTTCTCTTTGGTGCACCTTCAGTGAATATTGCTTACTAAAGAAAATCCTACGTCAGTATTTCCTAAATTAGCACTTTTGGACAACAAAAGTAAAAATCTTCACATCTCTGTATTTTTTTTCTTAAATGAACATCAAAAGCAACATAAGATTGACAGTGAAATCAATGTGAGAAAAGGAAAGAGAAATGGGCAACGATAGACCCTAAAAGAGAAAAGGAAAGAGAGAAATAGATACAAAGGAAGGTCTAAGATTGATTGGATGAGACTTGCAGACAAAGATTTACAGTTGGGTGGATGGAGAAAACAAACCTTGACTGAGTACAAATCAATGACTGTTGGAGTGTGCACTATAGCCTCATCAATTTTAGTAAGAGCAAGGTCATATTGTCCCCGTCTGTCATAATGCTGCATTGTAAAAAAAAAATAAAGAAAATTTTAGAAAAAATACGATGACAGATAATGATTTATGCATGCTATGAGACTGAACCTGAGCCAAGAAAAATAAAGTCCACATAAGTGTCGAAGGAGGTTCTTTTTCTGCCCTGCACTCCATACAAAAGGAAGGCACCAGGATTTCAATGAGACTTCGAAGACACAAGAAGCAAGACATTATTACAAAACAGTAGAAAAATTAATTATCAATGTGCATCAAATATTCTCTAATTAAGATCCAATCAGGATTTGATTCACAGTTTTCACAATGGCAGCTAATTTTGAGTCCTCACAAATGCATAAACATGCTAGAAAATGAATAACAGGGAAATTCTAACTGCGACATGATTCGCTTTGTAACCACTTCCTTGTTTGCACTCATTACTTCAAATCTATGACACAACAATATTAAGGATTGAAAGTTTCACATACCAAAAATTGATTAATCTTATTTAATTTTAGAAACAGTTCTTTGAAAACCAGAAATGACAACAACAATTGCCATCCAATGAACATCAAAGCCATTACAGGTAATCAGGATAAAATCACAGAACAGCTAATAAGCATAAGTAGGCTAATATGGAAGTCTGAGCAAAAGAACCATAAGCCCAATGCAGTATAACCTGAGGATTTTTCCTTCTGTTTTTTGAATTTAGGTTTTCAACGCCAGATGCAATAAAATACATGCAGAAATTACCTCCCAGGGTATTTCCCAGTCATTCTAATTGAATGCTCCAACTCAAGCACAAGTTTTTCCAGTATGTCTGCCTGTATCACCGCAGCAAAATGTTTCTAACCAAACTAACCAATGATTTTAAAACCTCCAAATAACTAAGATGCCAAAAAAATAGTAATAATAATAAAACTTTACCTTGCCAGCATGATCATACAAGGGAGAAAGATCTGAGAATAATGAAGGAACACCCTGAAAGCACCAAAAAAATAAAACATTACCCCAGAAATAGAAAACGAGAATAGTTCAAAACATAACTATCAGTACCTTGGTAAGGAGGGGCCTAATATAATTGTCTGCAGCTTCACGAAATCTGTCTCCTTGGAGAAAATCGAGTGGTATTCTCTAAAATATGGAGGGGGAGAGAGAGACACAAAGATAGACACAGGATAGAGTAAGCCACATGCAAATGTACAAAAAAAATATCCAAAACGATAAGTTGGGGAGGGGATGAGGATAAAAAACCATGTCATGATAAACTTCCAACACCAGATATCCATACTAACATAATCGCACAGATAAACATTTCTCAAATATACAAACCATACAGCATCAAGGGTGGGTGAGGAATAGAAGGCCTCAGGCTCCGAATAACCAGAAAAACAAGAGAAAAGAAGTGTCTTTCCGCTGCTTTTTGTCCCCAACCCCGGAATTTTTCTTTTTTTTTTCAGGAAGAAAATACTAAGGGGTTGGATTATGCATCCAGCAGTGCAAAGGGGTAGGAATGAATTTCATGCAGTGATGTATATGTTTCTCTATTTCAATTAATCTTTCCCCTAGCCACCGCCAGAACATCTTCAACTTTATTTGCCTGACACCACATAAATTCTACATATGGACTTGAGCCTTAGGGCAAGGTGCATTACAATGGAAACAAAGTTCAAAAAAAAAAAAGAGTAAGGAAATAGATTTTAAAAACTAACAAGCCAAAAATAAATTTTCTACTCTAGACAAAAGAACAACAAATATCACTTCAAACAATGTCAGAACATGTGCCACCTTAACAGCAGATGACCAAGTATACTGCTGACCAAGTGATTTGTACAATTCATCCAACTTAACAATTTCATCAGCAGAATTGTGGCCATTTTCTGAATACAGCCCAACACATTTTTGTAGACCTTCATAGTATCTGGACAGAGGAAAAGAATGCACCAAGATTAGATTCCATCTAAAAGGTAGAGGTAGAAACTAGTAACCAAAATTCAGAGAAATCCACACCAGAGAGAGAGAGAGAGAGAGAGAGAGAGAGAGAGAGAGAGAGAGAGAGAGAGAGAGAAGAGAGAGAGAGAGAGAGAGAGGGAGAGAGAGAAGAGAGAGAAGAGAGAAGAGAGAGAGTCTTCTAAGCCAACTAATAATACAACTCAACTTTTGTAGCATTAGGATTCTTATTCTCAGATGCATTTTTATTTTCCTATCCAAGTTTCAACACCTAATAATTTTCATACTATGCTAAGCTCTAATTACGAAAATATACAAAATCTTACCAATCAAAGAAGTTCAAGTCCAGCAGGCTTGCAATATTCTTTCAAAAATCAGAGGACAATTTTTTGTAAACAATCACTCGTTTTGATTGAGAAGAGAGAGAGAGAGAGAGAGAGAGAGAGAGTCTTTTAAGCCAACTAATAACTTATCAACTCAACTTTTGTAGATTAGGATTCTTATTCTCAGATGCATTTTATTTTCCTATCCAAGTTCAACACCTAATATTTTCATCACTATGCTAAGCTCTAATTACGAAATATACAAAATCTTACAATCCAAAGAAGTCAAGTCCAGCAGGCTTGGCAATATTCTTCAAAATCAGAGGACAAATTTTTGTAAACAATCACTCGTTTTGATGAGAAAATTCTAGATGATGATGAAATAAGAGAAACGCAATATTAACAAAAAAAAAAAAAATTAGGAGAACTATATGCATATCACAGGACAGCAAGAGTAGGAAATGATGATTAAAATTGTCTGCAGCAATGAGGCTTTTATGGGTCTCATGCAAAAGGTGCCATACAGCCTCATCACTGGCTTACCTACCAATCATCTAACTAGCAATCTATAACTATTAATTTCTAGCACTTCTGTTGTTACTTTCCTCTTTCTGTTTGCCCTTCTTGCATTAAATTTTAAGCAGGAGAAAAAACTGCAAAAAGAAGTCATTTGCTATTGACAAATAGAATGCAACAATTGGCCCATGCATCAATGACATGTATGTCCTTTTGCAACATCACTATTAAAATTTATATAACATTATGATGTCAGAAAAATAATCAAGTTTACCAATTAAGGCACCTAAAGGATTATCGAAAGACTAAAAAAAGATTTCTATTCTCACAATAGACATCTCTGCTAGAGTTAATGTTGTTTTCTAAGAGAAAAAAGACATCTTCATCCAGAAAACATCTATTCTGCAGTCTATTAACCTGAATTTTCATGCATCTGTAGCATGCGATATAGGTATTTATTTTCCAGATGGCGAAAGATTACAAAATTACCTGTAATTGTCAGGATTCATGGCCAGTAACACCCTGTATAATTCAGCACCCTCTTCAAGGCGACCAAGCTTCACCAGTAGAGAGACCTCTTGTTCCTTGTATGTCAATTTGTCAACCTAAATCCACATCAAGCCAGTAAATGTCAGCCATCTGCTCATAGTTCATTAAGGTTTGCCACGCAGCCACCTATTTACATTGTACACTTACAATTTTTGACTCTTTCTTGTGCAACTCCTCAAGAGCTCTGTCAATAAAATCACATTCCTCTAATAAAGAGATCTGGAGGTAAAAGAACATGGTAAAAATCACCGTCAATATACTTCTGAGACTTCTGTTTAACACCAAATATGCAACCCAAAAAAGGGAAATTCAAACACACTGCTAACTCATATAGTCAGTCCTGACAAGAAAAGTCAACAACTCAATAATTTTCAGAAGAAAAATAAACCTATAATTTTTGAGTTATGTGTGACAATTTACAAGAGACTTGCAAAAGCATCAGGATAAACAAGTCTGTTAAAAAGAAAAAATGACTTCAACAAAATTTTTCCAATTTTGTGTTCAAATATATGCAGGAAAGAATATGTGCATTATAAATATAGTTTCCAATTCAAACTTCCATTTCTAATCTACACAATTTTTCTTCTGCCAGCACAGCCAAGGCTTTGGCACAGCTCCAACTCATCAAACCTATTCAAACCAAGTCATCCTAGACATGGGATGCTGTGTCACATTATCTGCCAGCTAACATAACCAAGTCTGTTTTTTTTAAGTTCTTCATTACATGTCATTTTGAAAATTGAATAACCATCCTACTAGTAAAGAGAATATCAGACTGTTCAAACTAACATGCTTGAAGTTGCTGTTCCAAAATCATATAGTGAGAATCATCAAGAAAATTAAAAGCTTCAAGCAACGTATACTGAAAGTTAAACTGTTTTAGAGAACAGGAGCTTTTTCAAAAGTACTTTTCAACCTCGATGCCAAAGAGAAAATAAATAATCCATTTTGTATTTTAGCACAGAAAATAGAAGAAATTGACAGCAGATTCTACTCTGACACACTAAACAAATTAAAGAACACACTGAGTGCATATGAGCTGTACATACGAAATCCATTATAATACCTTGTACAGAAGCATTTCCCCATGCTCACATCGTTCATTATCAGGAGGATAATCATCCTCCAGTGTCCCTTCATATGCTTCCAGAATTTCAACTGCTTTTGTAGCACTAACAAAGAAAATAGTATCTTTTCAGGAAAACAGCAAGGAGAAGACTCTAAATCAAAAGTCAAGATAACATATATCCTTGCACTAGGGGGGAAGGGACTACATTATGATTGAGCAGGGAAAGAAATACTAACTGCAAATACAAGTGGGAATTTGTCAAAAAAATAATTTAATAATCCATTTTCCTAGAATTCTGAATATCTAGAAAAACATGGTACAAAGTTAAGTACAAGATTCAACTATTTCTTATAATGAATAAGAAAATAATTAACAAACTTCTTGAATACAAAGATCAAACTGTACTTTGAGTTTAAATGGTGAGCAACAGCAAAGCCGATCCAATTCATTCGATGATTTGGTTTCAAGGTCAGAAGCTGTTGTCTAGTCTCAACAAATCCAGACAAATCCCGCATTTGTGCCTGCAACATACAAAAAGAAAGGAAAAAGAAAAATCTATTATTATGTTGAAGCAAACCAGTAAGAATGCGTGACAAACTTGGTACAAATGTTATGTTAGCATGTACAGACGAAGGGTTAGGATGTGCGACAGCTAGGCAGAATAAAATGCAGTCCAAAATGGAGTTATTAAAATTTCTTGCACAAGAGATGATGAACTTTTCATGCAGATTCAGCTTGGGCCACACTTTCTCCCTGATATCCTCCTCAAATAACCTTAATACTTAAGCAATAATAAGTAAATATTAGTATATAGGTACCTGCAAGAGTGACAAGTCCCTCAGTATTTCAATATTGTCTGGATCTATTTTCAAAGCATTTCTATAGCATTTGATAGCCTCCCTGTACTCTCTGTCAGACCGATAAAGGAGACCATAAACATGCCAGCAAACATGACTTTTGAGGTCATTCTGCATAAAACACAAACACAAACCCCAAAACCATGTCAGCAAATAACTATACATGAGAAAATAGACAAAGTGAAAATGCTGTAATAATCAGATAGAATATCTCAACCTTTAGGCCAAGCCGGACAAGTTCATATGCTTCAGATTTACGATCCATACAATTTAATGTCAAACCCTTCATTGATAAAGTTTCTAGTAGAAAAGAAAAACCAAAATCAATAAAAACTAATATGAGACGAACAAATGTGGTGACTTCAAAAAAAAAAAAAAGAAATACTAAAAAAAAGGTGGGCAATTTATGTGAAATTTCAAACTATAAAGACATGAAGCATGGAATTTCCATGTTACTCGTATTCACCAAAACTATCACAGAGACAAACGTACAGCCATAAAATATAATTTAAGAAAGAGACCTAGGAAATTCTCATAACCACCACATTTGACAAACATACAGCCACAAAATATAATTTAAGAAAATCTGAGGAAAACTCAACCATTACCATTTTTGTCAACAGCAACATCGTCCATAACCACACCACATTCTATGACTAACCAGTAAATCTCATATTATTTTGTGAATTTGACAATAATTCAATCTCAAATTATGTGGCGTCATTCTTTAGTAAGAGACTCAAACTATGTGCAGATAAAAGGAATACTTGAAAATTAGAAGCTGATTGCAAACAATTGTTACTTTGACTTTCACCTACTATATCACCAATTACCCTGAAAGTTACTAAAACATATTGCCATTTGGCTTTGCCTAATTTTCCGACTTAGAAAGATGCATTTACAGTTGCCATGCCAAAATAACTTGTTGAAATGCTTAAAGTTATATTCAAGATTGAATTCAATTAAATTATATCTCCACCACTAAAAACTTATTCTTTTACAGTATATAACATCATCTTCGATTTTTGACTCAGCAAGCATCAATTCCTTCTGCTCATGAGATTGTTAAACCTTCAGAAATGAACAGAAAATTTTGAATTCAAAAACAGAATTTCACCAGGTGAATCCTGAATAATGGCTTCATATATTCTTGGGAGCCATTTGTGATACAGACGAAAAAAAATTACCTAATAACATTAAGCTTCATTTTGCCGACAATAAGTAAAATTTATTTCAAAAGTCGAATAAAATACCTCCATGATCTGGAAACTTTTTCAATATAGCATCTGCTGCCTTCAATCCCTTCTTATACTGTTTAGTTTCATATGATTTCTGCAATGATTAAGTGAGATGCAAAGTCATTATTCAATGAATGGTAATTACAAAAAGCCCTCCAGATTCATGAAGCACATAACTTTTGTCAACAAAATAATTTTGAAGATAGAACTAGACTTAACACATACTATGAAATTATGGATGCATTAGCACAGTTCACATGATAATACCAAATGCTTAACCAATGGTAATAATAATAGATTTAGGCTCCAATTGTTTCGTGGAAGATAATATTTTGAAAAACATTTGCTGCATATCTAGTGTTTGGCAAACCCAAGAGAATAAGCCAACGTTAAGTATTTTCCTAATCAAAAGAAAACTAAGACATTTTTAAGAAAAATACTTCCCTTTTTCAAAAAGGAGAGTTATTTTCCAAACCTCGGTGGACTCATTATAATGAAAGAAAAACATATAAACACATGTTATCAATCAATTAATTATTCATAATCACTAGTCATCATTGCCATCACCATCCGTGGCCGCCAACAACCTGCCCGCGATAACTACAAGGTACCATTTTTTATGTGTTCTTTTCTCATATTCAACAATAAATTAAATAAAATATTAAATTTTTAAAAGTCTAAATATTCTTAGGATATAAATAAAAATCGTTAGTATCTTCCAACAAATTTTCAATATTGTGAACAAAAAATGTATGTTCTTTGGAAAAAATTTTCCAAGGAAAACATTTTTTTTGGAAAAATACAGGGATAGGTTATTTTCAGCTAAACAAATGAAGTCTTAGTACGGTAATAATTGACAATTGCTCTTAGAAAGTAACACTAAATGGGTTTTGGCAATACACCTCACAAAACTGACTGTTTGTACTTTTAGGTGCTGTGCATCTATGTCCATGAATGCATGTTTAGAATATAATTCACCTAACAAAATTATGTATAAATAGGAACATCCCATCTCCCTTATAAAAAAGAGGCTATCACTGCCAGTACGCAAATTGTCATTTCTTCCGCTTCTAAAAATTAAACCCATTTCTTCAAGTCAAACCCTTCCATATCTATTCAATGGATCCAAAAGACCCACTAAAACTTCCAATTGACAGACACTCACTCCACAAAACCCTAAGTAAATACCAGCTTACAGTAAACAAAATTGCTATAGCCCCAACATTTTCCAATTTGAAAAATAAAAAATCCATCCATTAAATTTATCTGATTCCAGAGCAAACCAAACAGGCCGCAATCAAAACTAAGCAAGAACTGAAGAATCAGCAGCTATCACTGCACTACGATCGTATCGTTATTCATATTAGCAGATACTAAACTGAACCTACAGATACACCGATAAGAAAAGATAGAGAGACAGAGGGAATCGTGACTTACGACGATGAGCTTGAAGAGGTTGGCCTCTTTGGGAGGCAGAGAAGCCCCCATTGTTAATCAATAAGTGTTCGAGAGAGAAAGATAGGGTTTTAGAGAGAAAATTTGAAGAGAGTGTTTTAGAGGGCTTTTGACGTATCAGAGGGCTGCGAAATAAAAAAAAAGGGGAGGTGAGAAGAGAGTGTTGGCGTTTATCTGCTGCAACCCTACTGTGATGTGAGCAACAAGAGGAAAAATGAGTAGGCAGTAAACGAATCTAATAGTCCGGTTACTGTAGATGTTTCTCTCTCTTCTTCTGGAGCGCGTGAGCACGTGAGCGCGTGTCAGTATAAGAAAAGTGAAGGCTTTAACTTTGCTGATTTTCCAAGTAAACACATCGTTCTTGTTTTTTTTTTTTTTTTTTTTTTTTTAAGTGAAGGCTTTTAACTTTGCCTGATTTTCCAAGTAAAACACATCGGTTCTTGTTTTTTTTTTTTTGTTTTTTCCTTTTTTTTTTTTTTTTTTTTTTTTTTCCAAATGTTTTTATTAGTTTTCTTTCACCCTTTTCTGGTCACTTACTAGGAAATGGCAATGCAATGGTGTTTTCTGTTTTCTATATAATGAAATTTATTAAATAAATATTTTTTATTTCTAAAAATGCAAATATTTTATTTTTAGGTTTTGGATTTCGTTCTTCTTTTCATATTCACTTGCATTGTGCAAGTACGTTATCAAATCTATTTTATTTCAATATTGATTCCTACACCAAAATTTATTATCAATTCATCAAAAATAGATAGTCTTGAAAATAAATGTTCTCAACTCCAAACAAATTACCGTTAAATTTTATTGATTTTGAAATAAAACCCTAAAAAGAAGATAGTAAAAGGTTGCACGCAATGAATTCATACAATGACAAGAGTGACTTGAAAATTGGTAGAGACAAAAAAAAAAAAAAATTGAAGTTAGTTAAAAAAGTTCACCATTCGATAAAATAAATAAAAATATATATAATAGTTTGAAATTGTCCGGCTCCTCTTGCTTCAAAGTCAATGATCAAATTATATAATTCTTAAAATAATCATGTCCGTTTTAAAATATATATATATAAGTATATATTATATAATATACATTTTCGTTTTATTATTCTTGCCATTTATTCTATTAAGATTTTATTTAAATAATGAAAGTGTATATATACATTTTTCGTTTATTTATTCTGCCATTTATTCTATAAGATTTTATTTAAATAATGAAAGCTTAGACAAAATTATTTTTCAATTTCTATCTAAAATAATTTATATTGGAACATTTTAAAGTTAAACAAAATTTTGTTAAATTTTCCTTAATAATATTGTAATTTATAATTTTTTATCACATTCGGATTGGGTAAGCATTTATCTTGAAAAAAAAAAAGTAGTGTTCGAAAATTCCAAAGCTTTCTTGTTTTTTTTCCCTTCACCAGATGAATTGTCTATAGGGTTGACCTGAAGCTCTTAAAGCCGTCAATCATGACATGTTTTTTATCTTTTACAAATCTTAAGTTTTTCTGAACGACTTTGCCCAATTACTGAGTTATATTTAACATTTTAATTTTTACAGTAACCTAAAATCATAAGTACAAAATATCATTCCCTGAAAATAAAAGGCATATGCTTAAAAAGCAGTAAACAACTTACAACGAAATCAAATTTTAAGCTAAGAAAAAGTATTATTTGTATTGGGGTGTTATACTTCGCAGGGCATATGATCAAGACTCAAGAGTTAAACAAAAAAAGGGAGGACAGATGCAACTTGTAAAAGTTCAACAAAACTCTCAAATACAAGAAAGAAATGCTGTGGTCCTACCCTATGGATGAATACACCAGTAATACCAAAAATGAAAATAGTAAATTTATTAATTGAAAATAATAAGAAAAACTTTGAAAAACACCTCGCAAGACATCTAAACCCAGAAACACCCTGTTAACTGTACAAAAATGGATGTAAATTTCTGTTTGGGAAAATATTTCTTTGAATTTCTTCAACTTCTACCAGCAAAAATTGACAAAAATAACTATTCTGAGATGAAGCTTTCATGAGAATTGCTTATGATTTGCAAATCTTAGTGACCACATTATTGTACGCAAGGTCAATTTCCTCCTCTGTCATTTCAATTGTTTCATCACTGTCATAATTTGTAGCAACACCAGAGATGTCATTATTAGGTCTCCCATTGCTAGCCCTCTCACTTTCATCAGTCTTCAACTTTCTCTTCTTTAACTTAGAATCATCATTTGCATTAGAAAGTTGTGCCTCGTAAATTTGCTTCCATTCCTTGGCCTTTCTGCAAAGATCTTCCTTTGAAAGAGAAGCTGAACTTTTTCCAGCATCTAGAAGCTTTATCAACTCCTCAATTGCACGAGGGACAACATTCCACTGCTCTGCTATTTGCCGCACATCCTGAGCAGATTAAGCAAAAAATAAATTTCAGAATAAAATTTCTAAAACAATCCATCTAGATAATGTGGTTGTCTGGTTTTCATACAAAACAATTAGAGTTATCCAATTTCTGGTAGTTTGGATGTTCAAGTCAACATTGATTATCCATCATACAAGCATCATACAAGCCCAGCGAAGTAGATGTAATTGGCTTTAACACATCATGCTCCAACTTGAGTGGAACAGGACAAAGAACGTTCATTATTAGGGTGTAGGGTGAAAGTGTCACTATGCCCAAATCTTCATCTAGTTAAGGCAGCCGCATCAGTATATAAGAATGAATAAGAAAAACTGAAGGACAAAATCTAATTCAATGTTTTGCAAAAGCTAAGAAAAAGTTAATTATCTGCAAAAGTGATAGTGCTTTTAAATATACTCTCTATTTTCTTCTAATCTTCTCTTTCTAAAAAGGTCGTAAGTAATTAATAATCAGGATTCTTTTAGTATCAAGAACCTAAGAATCAAATCTCTCTGAATGATCTGAAAAAGCTTTTTAAAAGTCAATCATCCATCAAGAGAGAGGTGTTCACAATAGTGAGATGCTCCTAAACACTCTCTCTCCTGATGTTATCTACAAAAAGATAAGAAATTTTAACAATTTCAGATAGGAAGAACAAAGTAAAAAGGCAAAATACATTTTCCAGTTGCAGTAAACAACTAAATAATCAATTAATCAGATTTACCTTAAGTAAATATTTCCATTCATTAAACCTTCCTCAAGTACTTTCCATGGAAAGAGATATAAATCAGATAAAATATAACTCCCTGCATATTTGAAGGGCAACTGTTCTGTAAACCGTATAAGCAAGCATATACCTGATTCTGCTCAAGGGAATCTATGGCATCTTGTAAACAAATTATGATCCCTCCAGAAGCTATTTGTTTTATTTCACTTGGCTCAGGCTGTTTACAAGAAACAAGAAATGAATAAAATAAGGTTCATACAATAGATGCTGGCATTTCATGCACAACAAAGCAAGATAGGCAATAGGGTTTTACATCTTTTGGCTTGCTAATAAAGCAAAAATTCTCATATGGAAAAATATTGCTGATCATCATAGTAACGTACATAACATGCATTGTTGTTGCTGATCCCATATAGAAATATATCATTCCAGAGCATGTAACATAATCTCCAAATATCACCAGTAAGATTTCTATGGAAGATAGAAAGACATGGCATCAACCGTCAAATAAGCACATATTATCCTGGATAATTTTCCTATGTACATAGGAGGATTGAAAGAATAACAGTCCACAACAATGAGAATTAATAAGGATCAGAGTGTCAGACATATGTTAATTAACAGGTGCCACTTACCTTTTCCTCTTGACTCTCCAGCCATGAGATGGTTCTATTCAGATCATCAATAGCCCATTCCTTTATTTTAGATGGAGAGAAGTGATCTTTGGCAGGAGTAGAGGCAATCTATGAAAAATATGGCACAGGAAATAAATCACTATGGAAAGATGTAGGAATTACAGCAAAAGAATAAAAAATACTTTGTATAAGTATGCATAGTTTTTAGTCACTTATCATGGGATGATGGAATAGCACTATTGAATAAATTTCCAGTGTAATGCTATGGAAAAACACTATCTGCAATCATTTGTACACTAATCATCCAAAATAACCTTATTGTATGAAGAGGCAGTTGGTTTTGAATGTGATCCTCTTTCAACTTGTTTCTCAGATTTCATAGGTGGCGATGACTTTTTATCTGCAAGCATTCTTTGTGCTCAGAAGAAAAGAGCTTTTACCAAGACTAAAAGGAAACAGAAAAAATAGATATATAATACATGTATTCAAATAATCAAACTAAACTACTTTGTACCAATTAGTGGTCAAGAAGCAGAAGAACATGCAACTAAGAAAGAATAAATTTCTCCAAACCTCAATAAGAAATTGTGAAAATCCAGACACCAAGCTAAATTTCAAAAGTGTCATAAATCATCAGCAAAAGAGTTAATTATCAAATGTCACCAACGTTTAGGCACTAAACTTTTTGAGTTGTGATTCTCATGAACTAACATGGCATCTATTATCAACATTGATATTGTAGAGCATGTAACCAAATTAATTGCTTTGACCATGAGCATATCACTCACAAAACCTTTCAAAAACATCCTTGGAATTTTGAAAGCCAAAAACTAATTCCACCTGCCAGATGACAGAAGGTATGTCTCTCTTACTCACAATTCATGTCAAAGAAATATAGGAGAGCAGTAGGATCATTGTGCAGAATCCAAAACATAAGGTGATGTAATTGTAGGCAGTGATGAAACCGCGTTGTAGAGAAGGGGGCAAGGACCTGCTATTTGAACCAAGGACTAATTTCACTTATCCTTTCATCCTTTACACCCACTCCCCCCCCCCCCCCCCGCTATTGAACCAAGGACTAATTTCACTTATCCTTCATTCCTTTACAACCCACCTCCCCCCCCCCCCCCGGGCTCTCTCGCCTCTTTCTCTCTCTCTCCTCTCCCTCTCCCCTGATTTAGGTGTTCAAAGGTTTTCTCCCTCCCCTCTCTCTCTCTCTCTCTCTCTCTCTCCCCTGATTTAGGTGTTCAAAGGTTTGCCCCCCTTGGTTTAAATTACTGCCTTCACCCCTAACTGTAGAAGAAGAAAATGCTACCTAATTTTTCCATTAATCTTATTATGCTATCAATTAGCAAGCTAGTAATGCAATACAGTCTAATTCCATTCACAACATTCAGAAACAGTGTTATAACTGGTGAAAAGTAAAAGAAGCTAATTCATCTTTGTCAAGGCAATGAAAGCGCGTGGGATGGAAGCATGCTTGGTCTTAAACATGATATCCAGATAAGCATATACACTCACATGGAGAGAAGGGTAAACATGGTTTTAAAAAATGGCCATTTCACTATGTTTCAGCTGTTTCATAGCAGAATGTTAGTCCACCGTTACGTCATTTCCATTTCTCTACTGATGATTCACCAATCACCTAGAAATAGTAGAAGAAACATGACAAAAGACCATTTCTCATGTTTTGTCCAATTATTAACTTAATATCTTGCATGTTTTATTACTTCTATTTTTTCACTTATATTTTATTCAATTATTTTTTATTGTTAATTTGGATGATTGGCCTTAAACTTCATGTCCATGGAAGCGAATTCAGAATGATTCAATCTGATTCAGACTGATTCCACAACACCGTTTCCATTTACATTACTGTTCCCAATTTCATTATTTAAAACCTTGGGGGTAAATCCAAGAAATAAGTACAAGATAATGTGATTTTTATTATAAGCGAAGATAATAGCATTTTGCAGATGGATAAAAATTAACCAAAAAAAAAAAAAGGAATAACAACTCATTACCACTGCTACTCTCTGTAGTAACATTGGTTTTCCGCCATGGCTTCCCAGCGTGCATCATGTAGCTATCAATTTCAACAAGCTTCTTCTGGCTGTAACAATCTATTATCCATTCCTGAGGAAGACAAACTAAACATCATAAGATTATCTCTACACATATATTGACATTCAGAACCAGTTGTAACAGCATGAAAGCTCGGAATGGTATTTGATTCTAGGGTATTGGAACTTAAAACCAGAGGCATAATATTGTCAGAACAAAATACTAACAAAACAACATGCTGACTCAAACAATAATAAGCTATAAAGCAGAGAAGTGCAAAGACTCTTTATCTGCTTCACTTTTGGAGCAACTCTAGACTTGTCTACTTCAATAACCAGAATGTTAAATAGTTAAGGCTGGCAGGAAGAACAACAGAGGCAAGGGAATTAAAAAACATACTAACACTTTATGATATTCAGGCTTGTCAAACAAGTGTAAGCATCAGTATAAGCAGCAACTATAATCACTTCTAGCTGCGTTTGAGAAGTCTTCATTTATCCTATGAGCTGAAAAATATTCCTGATGTGCAATCAACCTTGATATAAAATTATTAACCTTTTAATTGACAATCTAAAATGACAAAGAAATATGACCTGTAAATTATGTTAAAAAATTTTCCTTTAATTCTTTTGTTTTATGAAAAAACTATAAATAATAAAATTAGACCTTCTTAACAATCGTTCCACGATCTGCTTCCACCTGTCGAAACTTGGGAGTATTTGAATATGCACAAACCAAGAGTGTGCACTCGGAGCTCCAATCTGGTCGATATTCTGCTCCCATTTCCAGAGCCCGTGATCGCAATGTTGCACGCTCTGGATTAACAAACCCAGACAACACAAATACTACACCTTCCTGTTCAATTTAAAACTCATACTATCACCACCAACCAATGGAAAACCTCATACGAGATATAGATATATTAGATTGAACAACAAATTGTAATACCAAAAGTTTAGAAAAGTTTGAAGAAGTTGAATTGGGACCCGTAGATTTTCTGCTGCTGGTAGTTTCCTTGGAATTGTAATTGTCTTTGTGTTCTTTGCTTTCTTCATTTTTATCAGAGCTAGTTAGCTTCTTTTCACTAGATTTACTTCCAGTGTCCCTTGAATTCATCCAAGAAGGAAGATTCCTCTTTGTATCACCCTTTTCTTTACTTGACTTTGAATCAGACATATCAAAACACTCCCACAAAAAAGAAAAAGCTTCAAGCCAAAAACCTTCTTCAACTGAATGTGTTGCACAAATGCAATCTACAATCTGAACAGACAATAAGGAAAGCTTAATCAAAACTCACAACAGGGCATGTTAAATCAAAAAATAAAATGATAATATCAAATTACTACAATGTCAATCAATCAAGAATGAACTATTTCTTCGTTCTTGAAACATGGAATTTTAGCAATTAGAAACCGAGAAAAGCACAAAATTCGATTTTGAGTTTCAATTCAAAATTCCAAATACTAACCGAAGAAGAAATGATTACCGGTAATTAATATGCAATTAAAAGCTTGCATTATCAAGTTTAAAGGCAAAACTTCCAGCACCTGAAGTGATCGCGAATCCGTCAACAAGACCAAATTGAATACTAAAAAAATACCTTGTTACCTAAACTCCTCCTAGCTCTTCTTCTTCCGTTTTTCCTTCTACATACCCATGCAAGTGCTTATTGATGAACTAAAAACACTTCGGTGAAATTGACCCGAGAACAAACTAACGAAATAGAATCGAGATTTTATGCTCTTGGGTCAGGTAATGCCGGGTTTTCTAATGCCCGTAGCATCCGGATCATTGACGGATCGGATCGAGTCGATCCAAGTCGACACTGAATGAATTGGTTAAAAAGAAGAAGGAAAAGAAAAGGATTCGGATCGAACTGCTGTAGTATCCATATTCATCCTAAGAATCAAATTTTACCAGTTTCATTTGATCGGGTTCGAGTGGTACTCGACGAAGCGGGGGAAAAGTCTAGGCAAGCCTCTAATTCTAAATCCAATCCATCTGTCAGGCCCAATTACGTAGTTTTGGACTTGTCGATTATCGGGTTGACTAAAAGTCATGTTGGCTCAACTATATTTGATACAGCGGGAGAATCACGCAACCTTTTTCAACAGTGAAAGAATTATCAAACTTAAATGAAAATCAAATTGCCATAACTAATATATAATAAATAATATATAAATTCTCACCTTTTTAGTCTTTTTATATCATTGATAAATGCTTTTAAAAAATAGATTCTATTTTTGCATAAGTAAATTCACATTATGGTTTTGTACTTATTTATAAATGAATTCGCAAACATTTTTTATATTTAAAATAAATTTAGAATTGAAAATTTATTTGTTTTTATTTTTCAAAATATTTTTGACATAATAATTTTAAAATATTAAAAGATGGATAGTTTTATAATTAAAATTTAAATTGTTTAATTTTGTGAAAACCATTAAGAAATTCCATCATAACATTAATCATTAAATACGTAAAATTAAAATTTTTCTTTGTTTTATTTTCTTAGATTTATAAATGAATTTCATAAAATTATTCCAATGAGAATTAATAATTACTTTATTTTTAGTTTTATGACTATTTTTCTTTTTGACAAAACGATATTGCCATTGTGAAATAAAAAACACTATACTATACTATATATTTTTATCTTTTTGACAAAACGAATATTGCCATGTGAAATAAAAAACACTATACTTAGCTAATATATATATATATTTATATATAATATAAGTGGGAATAGAGAGAAAAATAATGAAATTTCCTATATCACCTTTAATGAAATTTAAAATATTCTAAAGTACCTTTAATGATAATCAATTAAAAAATATAGTTCATTAATGGATTGGATATAATTTATAAAAAAATTATTTTTTCATTCAATTATGTGTGGTCTGATTATCTTCTCATTTATGTAAGGAATGAGAGATCTCGAGTCTAAATTATCTCGACCACAAGTATTTTCACCAATTTGATATTGTATAGCCTACAATGTTATTTTGGCTCATCAGGCCTTCTAGTAAATAAAAAAATTATTTTTTAAATAAATACATATAAATAACTAATCATTTCAATATTAAATTTTATTTTTATTAAATATATTTTTAATGTTTTTAATGAATATATATGATAATGAGATATTTGAAAATTTTTTATACTTTATTTATTAAATATTTAATTCTCTTAGGAAATAAATATAAAAAAAGAAAGAAAATATTTTTTTTCTTTTTGTTTATATGATATGATTTGATATATTTAAAAATAAATAAATTTTCAAATACAATATATTTTATTTTATTTAGGAGAGAGAAAAAAAAAAAAGAAAAAGGTATATTATTTTTATTTAATATTTTTGTTTTTTATGTTTGGAAGATTTGATTGGATAAATTTTTTAAAAGTAAAATTTTCAAATATAATTTACATAATTATACCTAGATGGTAAATAATTGAAAATTTTAACTTTAAAAAAATAATATTTTATTGATCTATTTATATATCTATATACATTGAAATGTTTTTTTATGTGAATTACCAATTTGATTGTTATATAGCCCGCAGTATTATTTCACCATCAGGCCTTCTAATGAATCGAAAAAAATAAATTTTAAAAGAAATACATATATATCATTCAGTATTTTAAAGTTTTAATTTTTATATTTACTAAATTTATTTTTAATGAATGTATATGATAATGAGATATTTGAAAATTTTTTATATTTCATTTATTCAATGTTTGATTCTTTTAAGATATGGATAAAAAAAAAGAAAATATACTTTTTTTATTGATATATATTTTTTATATTTGTATGACGTGATTGGATATATTTAAAAAACTAAAATTTCAAATATAATATATATAATATATATATAATGATAATTTTTATGTTAAATGAAGAGAGATAAAAAAGAAGAAAAATTATATTATTTTTATACTTTAATTGTTTTTTGTCATATTTGATCGGATATAATTTTGTAAAAAGAAGGTTGGGGGTTAATTTTTCAAATAGAAAATTTACATAAATTAAACAATGAAGGTAAATGTTGGAAATTTTAAATTTTAAAAATATATAAAATATTTTATTGTTAATATTTAATATTTTTATATATCATTGCAATTTTTTTTTTTTTTTTGTTAGGCGAGTTTTTGAAAAGAGTTTTATTTTTATTCTTAATAATAATTTTTATTTTCTTTTTTTATTACTGAATAATTTGTAACTATTATCATTTTAATTTAATAAGAGATTTATATCTCACTTGAAATAAATAGATACCCTATTGATGGTTGAACATTTTTAATTTTCTTAATAGTTTTTTCTCTTATAAACTAAATCTGTCTGACTTAAAAGAACACAGTGTTTAGGAAACAAAAAAAAAAAAGAACTATATATTTATATTTTGGTCACTTTTTGGGTTTTAAGAATCTGAATGTATGTGCATATATTTATTTGTTCGATACACTAGTAAGTAATACTATCACTGTGGTCAAAATGATTTCTACTGTCAATTCAAATCATCTTCTCATTCTTTTCTTTGACCTAGCAGTAAAAATAATTTATTATTATTCTTCATTGTATTTGTATATAAATATTGGTTTGGGGTTGAAAGCAGAGGATCGGAGATTGAGTGGTAACTTGATTTTCTTTTTGAGCACCTACTAGAGTTTTAAAAAATTTACATTTATAAATTAGAGACGAAAGTATTAGGTTTAAGGATTATGTTGAACTTTATTTTAAGATCATTTCATTATATAAAAATAGAATTAAGTACATAATAAGTAACATTGCAAGTAATTTATAAAGCAAAGTGCAATACAAATTAACCAATTATATTTATTTTTTGCAATAACAAATTAACCAATTATATTTATTTTAATTTAAATAAACTTAATGATATATAAATATATATATAATATATATTAATATATAATTATATATTATATATATACTATATATATATAACGAGTATAGCCAACAATGGCCAATCCACGTCATACAAAAATACTAGTTAATACAGAAGGGTAGAAATGACAGAGTTTGAAAGAATCAAAATCTTTAACAATTATTAAATTTTTTATTCTTCAATTATATAATTAAAAAAAAATATTACTTTTTCCACAAGGAGCTTTTATCCTCATTATTTTTTTTTTTTTTTAAAGTATCAAACAAAAGAAATGTTGAACCATTATTACAACATTTTAATTCAAAATATATAACGAGTATAGCCAACATGCAATCCACGTCATACAAAATACTAGTTATACAGAAGGGTAGAAATGACAGAGTTTGAAGAACAAAAATATCTTTAACAATTATTAAATTTTTTTATTCTTCAAATTATATAATTATATTACTTATTTCACAAGGAGCTTTTATCCTCATCTATTTTTTTTTTTTTTAAGTATCAAACAAAAGATGTTGAACCATTATTACACATTTTATCATCAGGATCAACTGCTAATTTATCAGCTCCTTGCAGTTCTTGTAACAGGAATCTACAAATCTCCCAACTTGTTCCAAGGCCCTGTAGCTTTCCAATTGTTTTTTATCTGCAACATCCGAAAAAAAAAATTATACGAAAGAAAAGAGTAAAAGACATATCAAATTTAAGCAAAACTATGAAAAGAACAGTAGATAGATTTATATACCATTAGAGGTGGTGGAATTTGCACAGTTGGAAACGAAATAATAGGGAGGTAGAGACTTTTTCAGGCATTTTAGCGCACATTTACTCATACAAAGGACAGGGAAGTGATGCGCAGTTGGATGACAGTCCTCTGCACATTCTACGCTACAAGAACAAAGAGAGTGTTTCCAATCATGGCTTGGTGCAGGTGGATCATCGTAGTCGGAATCTGGGGGTGGAGAGGCTTCATTTGATTCAGCCACCATAACCATAAGACTCGCTGCTATCAATATCATCAATACCACAACTTCCTTAAAACCTCTATCCATGGCTCCTATATCTGTATTTGATTCTTTATTGTAGTTTGTTGCCTCTTAGACTTGTATTTGCTATTTTGTACTTTCAAGCCTGCAATTTATAGGCATGAAATTATGAAACTTTTTCTTTTGCTTATACATTTGGTAAATGAATTATATCGAGATTTGTTTTATTCATTAAAGTTTTTATATTTTCTTTTTCATTAAAATACTATATTTCATCATTTATAAATATACTCAAATTAAATCTAGTAAATAAAGTGTGATACATGATATCTGATATTTTTACTAAGTTTGGGAGGCATATTGACGTATAGAGTGATATCTAATCTATTATATATATAGATAAAAAAAAATTAAAAAAGATACCTATTTAATAAAAAAATAGCTTCTTAGTTATTTTAATAAAAAATATCTAATAATAAGATACTACACTCAAAAAAGAATAGACATACTTTTATTTGCAATTAGGTTATTAATTGCAATTGAGGACGTTATTGTTACAAATGGTTAAAATTAGAGTGAAATTGAGAAAAAAAAAAGTAAAATTGTAAAACTTACAAAGTTGGGGTATATTTACGTTTTAGGCCTTTAAAGCTATGCACTCAGAGGAATTTTCGCTTTTAGCAGGAGTTACGGGCTCAGGGAACGGCCCAACGAGACAGTGCAAAAGCATCAAAATCAAAGAAACTTCTTTAAAAACGTCCTTCCCTCCCGCTTTTTTCCCCTTTTCGAATTCACTCTCTCTGCTGCTGATGACTTCTGGTCCATACGGATACAGTTGTTACCTACGCGAAAAGAAGCAAGAACTTAATAATGGCAAATCTAGCTGATCCGCTAGAAGGATATGGAGAACTGTCTCTCTTTCCTCGAACATTTGCATCTCTTCCTAATCCGTCTCGGCCTCTGAATTCCGACGATCCCCGCTCCATCCATGATTACCTCAAATCCCTGGTACCACTCTGACTCTCTGTTTCTTTCTCTATCCAGGTATTTTACTTTATTTTAAGCTCCATTTCATTGTTTACTCTGATTCCATTCAAAATTGTACGGAATCCTCAAAAAATTTTCAGGATTTCTATGATTTTTTTTTAATCTGAGCTTTTATTTTTTCTATCTGATTGCGCTGTACTGTGATTCAGTTATGTGTTTTGGATACTTATTTTAGTTACTTTATATGCTTTTAACTTCTTTGATTATTACTATTGTTGTTATTTTTAAATTAATGGCTTGTTTGGTTACCGCGAATGAAAGTAAGATTAGGGTTTGTTTTGAGTTGAACTGAAAATGGAAGTAAAATTTTCATTAAAGTTGATTCATTTAGTTTTTTGTACAGCTTTTCAGCTAATAACTAAATTTTTAGTTCGCTGCTTTACTTCCCTCTACGGCGGTCATTGATTTATTAGTTTTAGTGGGGTTTGTTTGGTGGGTGGAATGATGTTATTTCCATATGGAATTGAACCTTTGCTATCTCAGGTGTTAAATTTATGCGATTACTAAGGAAATGCAATGGAATTTGGAACACTAGGCTGTTTTTTTTTTTTCATTTGGGCATAACTCTAAAGGCCAGTTTTCGTTTCTTTTGAATTGGTTTTTCTCTCTTTGTTGACTTCATGCTATGTTTATTTTTCAGCCTGTAAAAAATCCTGATAGGCTTATACAGCAGGCAAAAAGTATTTTAGAAAACACTGCAGAAGCTCCGGAAACTGAAATGACCAATATTGCAGCCACAGAAGACAAAGATGTTGTCACAGAAAAAGCTGTGCAATATCCATGGGGACAAAGGCCAGGGTTAAATCGTAAGCGTCCTCGATTTTCTTTGCTTCCCAATATAAGGTAAAGCGTACATAATTGTCACAAGATAAAATAGAAAGTATAATTAATGGAGATATACAGAATATAAGTGTACTATTTGACCTCTTCATTTGACAGTCAACCTACAGTCGATTTGGAACCAACTTTGGACTTTGATAAGTTAAAAGACCCTGAAGAATTCTTCTCCGCATATGAAAGGCTTGAAAGTGAGTTATAGTTATTATTATCTATAAGAATAACGTGGCAACCAGTTTTATTAACATTAGCTTTGTGTTGTAATTGTTTTTCAGATGCTAAAAAAGAAATAGCCAAACAAACTGGCCGTGCTTTTACGGATTCTGATCAGTACAATGTATTCAAGGTTCCAAGGTCTCAACGACCTGGAATTCCAGGGTATGATAATTGTTTCTGGTTATCTACTTTCTGATATTACATACATTCGATAAGAAATAACTTTTGTTTTTAACTTTTGCTGTGTTTGTTTTACCTTCTTAATATCATATATCTCCATATCTCAGGAGATCAACTGCGAAATACAAACATCTCTATCCAACCATGTCCTCTCAAGAAATGTCTGGAGTGGACATTCTCCCTAATTGTGGCTCACAACAAGAAGGAGTGTATCCTGATCTTGCATCCCAACAAACAGAACCAGTAAATGTTTCACCACAACAGTTGGGACTAACAAATGATGCTTCACAACAAACAGAACCAGCAAATGTTGCATCAGAAGAAATGGAACTAACTGGTGAGTGGATGCTGATAAAGGAACAGTAAGAGAGTTTCTCCGTGAAGATCTAGCCTACTTTTGAAAAAGCTTTGAAGTCCTGTTCTCTGTTAAATGCCTGACAAGATAAATAACTATTTTCATATAGGTTCGCTACTCAAGGCTGAGAACAGGGTTGGTAAGCTTCTTGATGAATTGCTTGGTAATGATCTTGAAGAACTAGATGAGGATGGAACAACCAACCTATTGCAGGAGCTGTTGCAGATCAAACCTCTTCACATTGAGAAGTTAAACCTTCCCGAGGTGCAGGATATTCAAGAGGTAGATTGTAAGGCTTCTGGAGTAAACTTGCTGAAGCCTAGGAAAGTATTGTCAGACATGAACACTTTGTTGAAAGCAACAAGGAATGTAACTCCACTGAAGCTAAAGAATATAGAAAGTCTTCTTTCTGGTTTTGGTTCACCTACTCCACCAAAAAGTCCATTGGCTTCATTGTCATTATTGAAGAAACATATATTTCAGTCAAATCCATCCAGCGATCCATTTTCAGCTGTTGATATTGATGATTCCCCAGCGAGAATTACTCCTGTTGGAAACATTAATAAACGTTCTGATCCAGTTGATGTGGAAAATGCTTTGCGCTCTGTTGAACTGGATCCTGTAACAAGTGAAGAAAATGATGGTGTAGTTATAACTAGGAGTTCAACTAAAGTGGCAATTGAAGGTTTTTCCAGTTCCCACGAGAAAGGTGTCAATGAAAATTTGAGTAATCTTGTTTCTGGCAGTGAGATTGGCCCCAGGGAATGTGGTCCTGAGTTGGATGATAACAATATTGGAATGGATGTTGAAGTCATAAATGGGAAAAGTTGGGCTGATGTTGATGCAGACATTCAGACAAATGAAAACAATGAACTAGATATGGTGAGTTTTCTGTTGCGTTGTTTGCATTTTAGCATTTGCATTATTTTGGACGTATCCATCTGTAATGTTACATTGTGAGGTTCTGGTACAATACAGACGGAAGATGTGCAGCAGGAAGCTATGGCTTCTGCACAGCCTGATGGAAAATCAGATGAGTTCCCTGTGCAAACATCAAATAGCATTCAGAATAAGCTCAGTATGGATATTTTTCTCTCTTTACTTAAGGGGACATAATTCTTAGTTATAATTTCAAAAATTTAACTGCTGTTGGCATCAGTTACTAATCTATCTGGCAGCTTGGAATATTTTGGTGAGATAATTTTACTTGCAGAGAACCACAATATTCCCTTCTTCTTTTCATATCCAGAAATTGTTCACTTATTCTAGAATATATAGGCCTGGTAGACTGATACCTTCTAATCCGAGCACACGCTTTACATCTTGAATGGGTAGCTGAGTTGGGGATGCCAGAAAATTACCTTTCATAAATCATAATCCAGGAATGTTTTGTGTAAACAAACACATTCTTGAAAGAATAAATGATCAATGTAAAATAACACACTAAAATTAAAGGCGACAGGTGATAATTAAGTTGGAAGCAGATATCTGGGAAAAGTTCTGCTGTTGGTGAGTTTTCTAATAGAGGCTAAAGGTAGAATAAGGTCGTCCATTAGTTTATCTCCACCTTTGTTTTTACAATTTGCTGTCCAAGGCAGCATGAGGAGGTCCGAATACCCTGAGAATTTATCAAATTTACATCCACTAGTAGACTTGTGAAGAAATTGAACCGTCTGGTGAGTGGATGCCCATTCAGTAACAAGGTTGCCCAACTCCTTAGATCTTTTGTCTCTGTCTGTCTGTCTTTTATCCTGCTATAAAAAGTCTTAGTTCCTTTATCTTGATAAATGCCTTAAAACACAAGCATGTTTGAAGGTTGGTTTGTAGACAAGGCCTAGATTAGGGTGATAAACTTTTGGGTGGGGAATACTTCCTCATGATTATAAGGAAGGTGGAGGTGGAGGTGGAGGTGTAGCAATCACTTCATTACATGACCAGTTGCAGATCAAACCTTTGGCATGGACAATAAGTTTAACATGCATGCAATCAATATCCACCTGCTTTAGTTCTCAATACATTATTAACTCCTATTTCTGTAAAGTAACATTTTTCTTGAAATCGGAGATTATGTTTTCAATGATGACTTAACAAGCTTCTAATAGAACTTTGGGAGGTTATTGTTGATTAAGATGTGTTGGCACCAGATACTTTGCTTATGGACTGGGAACTTTTTATTTACATGGTCTTTCTGTTTTGGTAATTTCAATTATAGTCTGATTTATTTAATTATTTTTCCCTGCTAGGTCAATCAGATACTGGATCCAGTGGTGAACACACAACAGATGGAGACCATGGAATTCAAGATGGTGCCCCAGAACAAACTAAAGACACTGCTCCAGAACAGCAAAACGAGGTGTGTACTTATTCTTGCTCATTCTTTTACTTAATTTGATGTTTATGTCTGGTTAAAATTTTGGTTTCACATCTCTAGATGAGATTCATCAGATATGTATTTTATCAGGGCAGGATGAGGTCTTCAATTTTTTCGCCATTATTTTTCTTGCTTAGTTAATTGTTTTGATGTCCTTTAGACTTTCAGGTCAATATTTGCACTATATATTTTGTTTAGAGAACTTGTGTTACACCTCATCCAAGTTAATCCCAACTAATGCAACTTTCCATCTTGAACTTCTCCATTTTCAATTCCTCTAACAACTGCCATTAGCCAACTTTTACTGCAGTACAACTTATCCAAATGAGGGGTTCCACCCTGAGTGATGATGCTTGTTCAATACATCCTACTCCACCTAGCCTGTAATGGAAGTTATTTAAAACATATTTAGTACTTCTGGCTGATATTAGCTTATAATGAAGTTGACTGTTGACACATTGTAGTAAAGAGTTTAAATTGTGTGCTCTGATAACTGAAGCTTGAAGGCATTGTCTAAACTGATGAGGGTTCGATTTTATGATTATTTTCTTTTATATTATTATGTGCATGATAACTCTAATCCAGCCTGGCTTTGTTCAAACATGGAATTAAGCAATTAAACGCTGCAAAATCTCACAAGCGAAATAGTCTGATATTTAGCCGCCAGGATGAAAAAAACACCATGCATATTGTTGTATCACTAGGTCAAAATATACCCTCACATTTGCTTTTTACTCATAAACTTCTCTGGTAGTTTCAGTTTAATTTGTAAATATAGTATCAATTCTTATCTGATGCAAGATTATGTGCTCTATGTTCAAGTAACACAACAAGCATCAGAAAAATAGAGGTAATAGTAGAAGAAATTGTTAGGTTTTCCCTGCTGGCTGCATCAATAAAGAAAATAAAAAAATATTCTAGTTAATTAGTTTATTTACTGGAAAAGGAAGTATTTGCTGTTTTTGGTAGCTTTCTTCTATACAGTACATTGTTCTGTTATGTCCAACAGAAAATTCAGGAACCTAAAGTCAAATCCAAGAAGAAACAACACAAAGTGAAGTCAAGTTCTACACGAAGACAAGATAATAAAGCTATCTCCAAAGGGCAAAGTCTTGCAGGTGCTTACTGTTTCATTTAGTCTTCAATCCTGTATTGTTATTGTTAACCTGAACTTGCCAACCCAACTTGATTGTGTCCTATATGTTTTGCCTTGCATTAAAGAACTTATGCCGAAAAGTACTTTTGCACTCAAAGAAACGCAAGTATTTGCCAAACAAACTGTAATTCCTTCAGTTATTAACCAATAATGACCTATAATGTTTAAAATGACATCAAATTTGTATGGGTTTATTTCAGTTATTAACATATAATGATTTATAATCTTTTCCATTGGTGTGATTTCCATTTCCATTTCTTTTTCTGTGACAGATTCTACAGTGCTTGAAGACCAACCAATGGATTTGTGCCTTGAATGCCAGGACAATGCCCTTGATCAAACCCAAGACACAGCTTCAGAAAATAACAATAAGGTCCACTTTTCTTCTTGTTCATTTCTTTTAATTTGGTGTTTAGTGTCTACTTATTTTAGGAGTTTTAGTTACCCTTTGATTTAAACTATGGCTTCACACTTGTAGGAGAGGTCTTTAATTCCTTTACTTTAGTTACGCCCTGTGAAGTATTTATATTTCCTTTTGTTCTTCCAAATACTGGTATCTCTATTTTATTTAGATTTTTCATTATGTTTATCATTCCTTTTTATTGCCATAAGTAGCTTTTGTACTGTGACTCTAACAGATGTAGGACATCTGTTTTATCAGATAGTTCCTTTAATGGTGAACTACCTCCAATGCATATAAACAAAAGAAATGATGATAATATAATAGGTAATCAACATCGAGGTCTGATTGCTAATTTTCAAACTGAAATCATGTAGTTCAAAATATTGATACCTCCTGTAATTGTGATTTCTACCCTCTTGGTGCTTTTCCCTCTGGCCGCCCCTACCTAATACATGCTTCATGAATCAAAGGAAGGGAAAAAAAAATGCAAAGAGCTAGCAAACACCTTTACTTATGAAAGAGAAATGACTTTTTGTTGTAAGCTTCTCTTTCGTATGATGGTATATGGTTCTGTATGACATTTGTTTCTACTGTCTTTTGCGCACCAGAAAAATCAGGAATCTATTGCAGTGTCAATGGATGAGAGAACCAAAGCAAATTCATGCCCAAGCAAAAAAAACAAGTGTACAACTCGCTCTAGAGGGAAAAGCCTTGCAGGTTCTTACTGTTGCCTGTAACTGTACATCAGTTACTGTGCTGCTACCACCACTACTCTCTGCAATTGTGTGATTGCATATTTGTTTTTAAGTTATTGAGCTGGAAGATTTTATTATTGTAGGTTGTGGTATGTCATGGGAAGCTGGGTTAAGAAGAAGCACCAGGATCAGGTCAAGACCTTTGGAGTATTGGAAAGGGGAGAGATTTTTGTACGGTCGCGTTCATGAAAGTGAGTCCTTTGTGCTGTGAATCAATCACAACAAATAATTCAATTGTTTTATGATTCTATCCTATTTAATTGGAGTGCTTTGAAATCTTTCTACTCCATTTATCTTAATACTGGTTTTCTCTAGCATTTCTATTTGGTCGATTGATTTATGGCTTTTGTTTCTGTACCTCTAGAAGTCCCATTCTAATAAGATGTTTAAAGACTTGTAACATGTTTACTGTGCTATTTTTTAACATTTTCAAAAGAAGCCTTACTATCAAATTCATTTGTAAGATAAAAAAAAAAAAAAAAAAAAATCCACTATTTAATTGGGGGAAAAGTTTGGCCCCCTTTGAAAAAAATCCCTTTTCTACTCCATTTTAAATCTTAAATACTGGTTTCCTCCTAGCATTTCTATTTGGTCGATTTGATTTATGGCTTTTTGTTTCTGTACCTCTAGAAGTCCCAAATTTCTAAATAAGATGTTTAAAGACTTGTAACATGTTTACCTGGCTATTTTTTTAACATTTTCAAAAAGAAGCCTTACTATCAAAATTATTTGTAAGATAAAAAAAAAAAAAAAAAAAAAAGGTCAACAATAGATTCTGAACTTCTTTTGTCACAAGTCTGCAAGGTGAAAAACTTGAACTAATTCTTCAAAAATGATAAAATATTATTTACAGCTGCAATTACTTGAACCATAAACTCTTAGTTATATTTCAAGACTTCATTTATGAGTGCTGGTGCTCCAAGAATTCAGATTTAGATTCATAACTTTTCCTTTCTTGTATAAGCCGCTGTGGATATTCTGCTGTGATTAAATTTCTCAAATAGATTAAGTTCAATCGAATTGAATTTGTTTCGCAGGTTTGGCAACTATAATTGGGATAAAGTACGAGTCTCCAGGAAAAGATAAAGGGGGCCCCACAATGAAGGTGAAATCTTTTGTTTCTGATAAGTACAAGAATTTGGTTGAACAAGCTGCTCTGTATTGAAGTGTAGCTAGGTTGAATTCTTCATGTTCATGTTACTTTTGTGGCTTTGTGAACTCAGCTTGAGTTCAGGAATCATGACTATCGTAACCATGTAATTAATTAATTTCGAAGGAAGGATAAGTGTTTGGTTGCCTAAATTTAATGCAAAAAGTAATTTAATTAACTAAAATTATGATGTTTAATTAGTATATAGAAATCAGACACTACTGCTTAACCAATGGCACAAATAATCTACACTGAATTTCTTTACTCAATTAGGAATATTTGTAGACTAATGTTCTATGAGGGCAAAATAAACTAATATAAAAGGAAGAACTTACCTGTATGATTTTAGAAGTTCATTGGAATCTAAATTTGTGTCATTACTAAATTTATATTATCATTTTAGCTCTGCAAATGGTTCTAATACTTGTGAGCCACAACTCAACTTTATTATGCGTAGAAGGCAACTTGCTTCAACAATTTAAAACTCGTAAGCCATGCCTAGTTTAAGTAATTGCTTGCGAGGAATGAAAATAACTTCATCAGGTTGTATCACATTCCTGCTTAACCAATTGTAGAGATAATCTACAATCAATTTCTTAAACCAACTATACCCATTTTCAGCCACAACTTCTCTTTCGCCCATCAAATAAACAATACAATCTCTTAAAGCTTTATCAACCAAAGCCATTTCCCTTTGCTGCATTTCTTCTCCACCATTGTTGCTATTATCTTCTTGAATAAATTCCCTCAAATGATTAGCAAACATTTCCTCGAATTTAGCCCCTTGATCCTTTCTTGAATCTGCATATCCATATCTCACAACACATCGAAATATTAATTCTCCAGGCTTTACTCTTTGAACAAAAACCTTTCCTCTGCAGGAACTTTACCGATAGGCAAAGACTTGATTGATACAAATACAACAACTGAATGTAAAGCCGGAACGCTCGACACATAACGAGGGAATATAGGAGATATGTGTTGAACAAGCTGAGTATAGAATAAACCAAGACCATCAATGCGATGGATTCTTGTATTGGAGATCATATCTGTAAACTTTTCTACTCCAGTTTTATTTTCAAGCTCGTACATGTACTTTTTCCTGTAGCCATAATTCCATACTAACATAACAGAGACCACAACGAAGGCAAAGAGTAAAGGAAGGTATCCTCCATCAACAAACTTGTACAGTGTAGAACTCAAAAATAGCAACTCTATTGAACCTATTGTTAATATATAGATGATTATGATAATTATATTTGTCTTCCATATCATAATCATAATTAGAACAAGTAATGCTGATGTAATTACGAAGACAAATGTCACAGCAATTCCTGTTAGAAGAAAATTAAAGAATTAGTCAATGTAAGTTAATTAATTAAAATAATCAAAATTATATCTTTAACTATAATTACCATTTCCATCAAAAAAGAAAAAAAAAAAAAAAACTATAATTACCGTATGCATTGCCTATTTGAATTGTGTTTTGAAGCCAAGAGTGACTAGTACACACGCAATCATTAGAAGAGTGTTGATTTCAGGAACATAAACTTGTCCCTCATGTTCTGTACATGTGTGCACAACCTTGACTCGGGGGAAACAACCGAGTGCTACTGATTGTTGGACAATAGAGAAGGAAGCAGAGATTAATGATTGACTAGCAATAATGGCTGCCAATATAGCTAGAACAAACTGTGGCCAATATAATTCTTCTGCACCAAAAAAACAAACTCTAATGATGATTAAAAAATCAAAAACGACAATCCATAACATAACAATAACAAGGAAAGAAAACAATACTGACTTGGAATTGAGCTATAAAAGGCGGTGGCAACATCAGAACTATGTTTGCGAAGATAGGAACATTGGCCAAGATAAGCAAGCAATATGGAGGGAACCAGCACAAGGCTACTGCTTAATTGTATTGAGCAAATATTGAAATGGCCCAAATCAGCGAACAACGCTTCTGAACCTGTAAGGCACAAAACAACACCTCCAAGAGAAATCCAGGCGTCTTTTTTATTCCTTTGAACATACTGTATAATGTAGCATGGATTAAGAGCTCTGATTACACCAGGATCATACTTCAAGAAGTTGAAAACCCCAATAATTGCAATCAAAACAAACCATAGTACAAGAATTGGAGCAAAACTATACCCAACTTTATGAGTTCCAAATCTTTGAATTTGGAATAAGAAAATCAAAATCACCACTGAAATCCACATTATTGCATCTTCTGTAAGGCTAGGTACAGCCACTTTTAGACCTCCCACTGGCCACTGCCGATAGTACTGCACCCACAAATTCAAATCCTTTTATAATTTTATTTTCACGATATGATTATGGTTCAGAAATATACATATAAATATAGTTTGGTTACCAGATATATACAAGGTGTAAGAATTCCATCTCCAAGAAGCATCGACACGCCAATTATTGTTGTCAACAAAAGAACATACTTCATTACATTGCTATTTTCTAGCCATGATTTTGCATATAAAGGCATTTTTACTCGGCGCCGAGTTGGTAAATCCAACTTGTAAGTGGAAATTTCTTCATCCTCCGTCTGCTGAGTTGGTATCAAACTCACTCTCGCATGTCTGCATATTAAAGAATACAGTGCAAAGGTTCCTCCTGCAATTGACAAAAGTTCAATAAGATGATATATATGTATGTATAACCTTTTATTTCTTTTTTACTTTGTCCTTGATAAAATTACTATTAGTTTAAATAATATAGTATGAAGCTCACCATCCCCATTGTCGTTTGCAGATAAAACGATGAACACATGCTTAATCAAGCTGATAATAATAATGGAGTAAAAGATCAAAGATAAAACACCAAGAAGATCATCACTGTGCTCTATCCCATTCTGGAAAACTCCAGGTAACACGTACAATGGAGAAGGACCCAAATCGCCATAAACTACTCCAATGCATTGGAATGCAAGCTTCAAAACAGTTGTCCAATCTGCCTGCATACCCACCAATTGTAATATTTTTAAAATTAAACTAACTATAAAAATAAAAACGCAAAGATTATGACATTTATAGTGTAGTATTTTTTTATTATTTGGCTATAGAGCAAACAGCAAACTCAAATTTCAAGTATTTTCCATTTTGCATTTTTATACATTAAGCAAATCTGGAAAAGTTTCAGTAACAGATATTCAATCCCAATCTATATGGAATACTGAGGAAACATTAAGAATAGAATGCTTTTTTTTTGTTAATTACTCCAACTTAACGTTGATTAATTATATTATAGCACTATTAATGAGGACCTCAAGATTAGATCAGGAGAAGTAGAATACATTCTTAAATGAATCTTGTAATACATTTCTTAAGCATATAATTAAACACTTAAATGCTTTGCTAAACTTCCACAGAGAATGGTACATAGGAAAATAAGTTTGTCTCCATTTGCTTAATTGGTCATTGAGTAATTTCATACTCTTTCTGAAAACGAAATTGATCTCATTTCATTGTTTCTGTTTTTCCCTAATGGAAGAAGGAATTAATGGATGGAGACCGTGGCCTCTAAATTCCAAAAAAAAAAAAAAAAAAAAAATGAGTAATTTCATACTCTTCTGAAACGAAATTGATCTCATTTCATTGGTTTCTGTTTTTCCCTATGGAAGAAGGAATTAATGGAATGGAGACGTGGGCACTCTAAATTCCAAAAAAAAAAAAAAAAAAATAAATATATAAAAAAAAAAAAAAAAAAAAAAATTTGTCCTTTAATTTTTGGAAAACTTTTTTTGACCCACTTAATTTGGAGTCTCAGTCCATCACTTTTTTATAAATATATCAGGATTCATGGCTATTTCTCTTTAGAATTATTATTATTTTTAGGATCCAACCCTAATATTGCAGATTGCAGATAAAATCTGCATTCATGGAACTATTTAGTTGCACCGACATTTCATTTGTTGTAATATTTGAATTACGAAAGTTCCATAGGAGTAGGACACCGACCGACTCTTCAATGTAAGTTGAAGAAAGTATTGGACCGACAAAATTATATATATTGAAGATCTGAATCATAGTTTTATAGTATGAAACCTTGAACCTTCTACAAACAACAATACAAATTTTAGAAGAAAGCTTCCATTTGAATTTTCAAACTCTTTTAATTTTTTTTTTTTTTGAAATTCTTGTCTTTGAAAATTGTTCATCAGTTAGATTCTCGACATGTTCTTTTATGGGCAGCTACCTTTATGCCAAAAGTAATATGGAATTCCAAAAATTTTTTTGTCGGAAAGGAAAATCTAGTATTTTTTTTTTTTTTAAATTGCTTAATTTTGAAAGTTTGACTCTTTTGAGAATGGCATTCTTCATGCCAGCTTCTTGCCATGCATTTTAAATGGAGCTGGAAAAATTGAATTTGTCAACTTTATACTATACATATATGTACGTTTGTGTGTATGTATATATTCTCTTTGGTTTTTCAAATATAATTTGTTGTCCGTTTTAATATTCTTTGTCTTTGACAAGAAATTAAGAATGGGAATCGAATCAATTGACCATATGTTAATCAATTTTACTTTAGAGAATAAAAAACTGTGAAGTACTATATAGTTTCAGATTTTGAATTCAATATTCAAATGAAAACACTCGTTTTTCTTTTTTTTTTTTTTATTTTTTGGCACATCAATGTTTCTTAAAGGAAAGCAAATAATATAAATTGGAAAAGTTGAATGAGTACTAGAATTAACAAAAATTATAGATTTCAAATGCTTTTAATATATAAAAATTTTGACCAAAAAAAAAAAAAGTTTCAACATTTGAATTTGGCGAAAGCAATGATGGTAAACTTGCTCCAGTCATTGATGATGCTAATCACGGACATATGTAATGTTTAACATTTTAGAAACTAAGAATTTTTGTTCTTTTTAATGTTTATTAATTATTAGTAATATTGGATGTCTACTTTTTTTTTTTTTTTTTTTTTTTTTTTTTGATGTGTTTGAAAAGAAATCAAAAGACAACTGTTTTTTTTTTTTTTTTTTTTTTTGATGTGTTGAAAAGATCAAAGACAACTGTTTAAAGGATGATTAGCATTAACTAGTTGTAATTAAAAATAATAATTTTCTCATAGCAAAGCAGATCCCAGAAAATCTTTTTTTTTTTTTTTAAATTAATATACGATGTAACTATTCTATATTAAATAAATTCGATATTCATCATAATACTTCCCTCATAACGTACACTTGCTCTTTACAGACTTGATGGCAAATAATGGATACTACAAACTCTTCACTGAGAATTTGTTAATCTATTAATAATGGAATTTATAATTTTTTCGAGCATAAAAATTTTTTCCCTTTTTTATAAAATATACTCACTTCTCAACGATCGAATTTATATTTTCAATTCACGAAAATTAAATTGTGTTACACTTAGAATCGTGTAACATGATGTCGACACGATGTTGGTGTAAGTCAGCTTTCGATTTGCTGTATTTATGTTCCAAACTTTAAGAGTATGGAAACAAGGAACTCCTGCTAATGCATGAACTGCCTTACGCGGCATAAGACAAGCATTTTACTATTCTTGTGCCACTGATTTGGGGAAATCAGTCTAATCGGAGGAGACTTTCTAGAATGTTTTGACACCAACTCAATAATTAATTTTTACACTCCCTTTTAAAATAAGTTTTGTTTTTTTAACTCGACACATAAATTAGGGAATATAATTATTTTATAAAAATTAATTTATAAAATATCTATTTTATATTTTAATTAAATTAGAAAATAATTGAGAGATAACTATATTATAAGTAGAATATTAAATAAAAAAAGGTAAATTATTTTTAAAAAAATTAATCTAATCTTGAAATTATACAAACGATACATATTTTTGAATAAAAAATAACACTTATTGCGAGATTGAGGGAGTATTAATTTAAATTAATTATAAATCTTTTTATATATACAAAATTTTAGTTTTTTTTAGTAATTGGCACAATTTTAAATTTAGAGGTTAACGACAAATTTTAATTTATTTTAGTATAATTTATTTTAATTAAATCCTCAAATATATGTAACCATATTGATTATTTTCTGATACAGTGGAAAGATATGATGATGCATGCAATTGTTGTGTTAAATTTGGATTTTGTGAAAATGTACGAACCATCATTATCAAAATTATTTTTAATCTAGATATTCTTTGTCTCAAATCACATATTACATATATATAAATAGAATCATCTTCCTTTAATTAACAACCTCTTGTTCTTCTTCTAGAAACTTTCTATGATTCTAACTTTCTAAGGACATGGCCCTAATAACGTGATTAGGGTTTAGTCATTATTAGAAGTATAACTAATTTTAGGCCATTAATTAATTATGTTTCGTAATGTAATGGAAGAGCTATTTAATTTAAGATTGATGTTTTTATCAAACGCCTCTGATGTATAAACTACTGTAATATTTTATTATAGACTTGCATGTCAAATTAACTAACCTCATGTGCTGCCATAACTGAAATTGCGACCTTTTTATCTCTAATATTCTTCCAATTAAATCACAAAAACTAATCATTTGACTTTTCCTTTTTTCAATGTTTAGTTTTGTCATTATTGCTTTTCATAACGGATAATCTTCTGTCTAAATTATTTATTTAAATTTTTTTTTTAAAACCATTAATTCAACAAATTTTTTTTTTGTACGTTCCACTTTTAGATATTAATACAAATATTATTCATTGAATAATAAATAATATTTTAGTGTGAGCAAAATATTAGACATTACTTCAAAATCGTACGCCAACACGAAAATTATGTTTCTGTCGTTTTGTTGACTTCCCACTTTTCCGTCTTTCCTGAAATTTAAATATTAAAGAATAAAAAGATTGCTCTTTTTTATTTGGCGAAGTAAAAGATATAACTAATTTTAATAGCTGTGGAGACGCCGACTGCCACCTCATTATAGGGACACACTACAGCTTCCAAGGGAATGATTTCATGATATTTGACTTTCCGTAAAATGTGACCATTTTCCAAAAAATTAAATGGAGCAATTATACACATATATGTATACAGATGTATACATATAAAAAAGAATAAAAAAATAATTATGTCCCGAAAAATATTCTAATTGATTTTTTCACATTTATAATAAATATATTTTGAATTTTTTTATTAAATTAAGAATAATATAAAAATTACAAACATGAAATTTAAATTCCATAAATTATTTAAACGTAAGTCTTAGTAGTTGGACTAAAAAGTAAAAACGATGGAAGTAACTAAAAAACAATTGTTTAGAGCTATTTGGGTCCCAAAGGGCATAATTTTAGCCTCTAAGCACAATGAAAGGATGGAGTCCATGCAATACTGCAAGTTGTAACCCAATAATTTCCTTTCCAATACGTTGGATTGAGACGTGGATAAGATAAGAATTATCTAAACAACAAGATTAGGAATCATAGCTCTTTTTACAAGTCTTTGTTTTATTGTTATTGTCACAGTCAAATTGCCACTACTTACCAAATGTGTCAAGAAGAAGAAGAAAATAATGCAAATTATCATCGAAGGCCCATATTGCAACACGTGTAACCTGATAAAGAAGCACTAGCAAAACTGTCACTTCAATTTGCCAAATGCCTAACTGCTGTTGCTAACCTTTAATTACGTTGTTGGATTGATACTCGTTGATCTTGACTTTCCAAATCCAATCAATCATGGAACTATGGAAGCAAGTATAAATGTACAATCTATTGTACACCTACGAATTTTATAATACCCATATTCAATACATTTAATTATGATAAACAAAAAGAAAGTAGTTTTGTTACGCCCGACTCTAATCACCAGATAAATTATCTGCTTTGGTCACGTGGTTGTGCCCCGGCCTAATCCGGCCAACACATACACCCGCCCTCACGGTTTTGTCCCGCAGGTGAAATGAAAAACTTCCCATGAGGTCACCCATCCTAGAATTTCCGTTAAGCGAGCACGCTTAACCCTGGAATTCTTCCAACTCTCCAGCCATTCCACAAAAAAACGCCTCTAATGAGCTAATTACATGATTAAGTTATAATTCAAATAACACAATCTCCGAAAATATAATACTTATACATGCCATAATTTTTAATTATATAAATTTAAATCTACTATGTTCTGAGTTCTTCATGAGAGTTGTTGATTGCCCTGTGTCTTGAGGCTTCCCTGATGGATTTGGTTAATTTGATGTTGGGTGATAGGAAAATATTTAAATAAACATGGACTAGTCTGCTGGAATTGGGTTTAGACTATTGGTCTTGTGTTCCTTAACTTCTGTTTACCCATCTACACATTGATCTGGGGTATGGTCCCCTTTCATGAACATTTGCTAGAATTTTTATTTGCTCCTTAGCTTTTCTAATGAATCTATAATTTCGCTTCCAATTTGGAAAAGACCTATTAACTCAAGTGATGTCTTAAAAACACAGCAAATGTCCAAAGTTATTTTAATGATAACATTTGTAGAATTTTGTCTTAGCTTTCTAATGAATCTAATTTCGTTCAATTTGGAGACCTATAACTCAAGTGATGTCTTAAAAACACAGCAAATGTCAAAGTTATTTTAATGCTGAAAATTTCCGATGCCTTGAATCATGGGTTTATTTGAATAAATGTATGTATGAATCATGTGTGATGAGGTTCTCTTCATTATTTGTATGTTTGAGGATTGATTTGATCAAAAAAAGATATAAGTTTGAAAAGTGTTGTGTAAATGGATATAAATGGGCAAAATTGTTGAAAATTTTGGGATAAAGTGTAGAATTAGTTTAGATAATGCATGATAATGATAGCAATGGATACCTTGGAAATAGAAAACTTCTCAGAAGATCACTTATCTTAAGATTTCCGTTAAGCGAGCATGCTTACCCCTGGAGTTCTTCTAACTCTCCAGCCATTCCACCAAAAGGCGCCTCTAATGATTAGTTTTCCCTTTTTCGATATATGATTCGATTTCTTCTTGTGTCCCGCATTCCACTGCCCTAGCTAGCCTGCCATCCTAAGATTGCTTTACCAGGTCGGGGTGTCACAAGTTTCTTGTTGCTAAATAAAAGAAATCATAAATTTTATATTTAACAAAAAAAAAAGAGTAAAAATAACAAATTATTAAATAGTATATTTTAACAAATATGAGAGTATGTTTTAATTCATACGTCAAAATGATTTAAAATACGAATTATTTTTATTCAAAAGTTTACCGTGTAGGCCAAGGGTCGTCGACTAATTAACTGTACTAATATCACGGTTTATAAATTACATAATAAGGAGCAATTCTCCACCGTTGAATATATAATAAAGAAACAATTATTTTATTATAATAATTTTTTATTAAATTAAATTAATAATTCGTATTGAAATGGTAAACAGCGGCTGTAATCCTACGGTTATAAACTTTTCACACTGTTTAAGGGAACTTGAAGACTGCTAAACTATTGGCTGAAAAAGTGTACTAAACGGTAGTGTTTGGGATAAATTAATGCAGAATCTTCTTCTTCTTCTTTTTTTTTCAGACAAATTTTAGTTAAAAAAGCTTATTGATAAATAAGTTTTTATGCTTAGACTTTAGACAAATCATAAAATTTATTTTTATTTTTTCAAAGTAATATTGTTTATGATGCTACAAATTGAGGAACAAGCAATTCCAACCTGGGAGTTTTTGGTTCCGAAACCTCTTCCCATTAAATAAGTAGATTTATTTGAATTTAAATTTCATTATATTTATTAGTTTCCACTTATTTTCAATTTAAAATGAAGAATATAAAATGTAAAAATAAAAATCTGAATAGAAGAATATTAGTATTTTTCAAAAAAATAATAATTATTTTCAAATAGTAATTTTCCGTAATAATTCATGTTAATGATTCCATTCGTTCCACCAATTAAACATAATAATAATAATAATAATAACAATCCACTACAACATTAATGGGGGGCACATCATGTCATATAATAATAATAATAATAATAAAAATCCGAGGCAGACAGAAATAAGTTAATGGGATGTGTATGAAATCAGAAAGAAAGGCTGTTTCTTATGGTTTGTTTCTTTCTCCGTCTTTATTCCCATTAGTACCCCCGGGTTTTCTAGAACCCTACTATTAACAAAGCTTATCTTCAAAAACAGCTAGTCAGCATCTTGGTCACGCCTTCGCACCCCTCTATAAAAACAAACTTTCCTAATCTTTGTTTTCCATGAACCCCTTCTTCACACCGATTCAGCAAAATACCCCATTCAAAAATCAAATCTCTCTCTCTCTCTCTTTCTCTCTTTTTGATTCTTCTTCTTCATTACTTGTTCTTATGGAGCTGATTCCTGGTCTTCCTGATGATGTTGCTCGTGATTGTCTTGTTCGTGTTATGTACAAGCAGTTCCCCACCGTTGTATCAGTCTGCAAAGGATGGAGAAGTGAGCTTGAGTTGCCGGAATTTAGCCGCCGCAGGAAAAATACTTGTAGTAGTCAAAGGCTCATCGTTATGGCTCAAGCACGAATCGACCAAAAGGAGGGTTCTAGTGCTATGAAGTATGGGGCTAGCCCGATTTATAGGCTTACTCTTCTTGAACTGGATACTGGTGATTGGTGCGAGTTGCCTCTGATTCCTGAGGTTTCTAATGGCTTGCCGATGTTTTGTCGTGTGGTAAGCGTCGGATCCGAAATTGTGGTTTTGGGCGGTATGGATCCGACGAGTTGGGAAGTTTCGAATTCGGTTTTTGTTTTTGATTTCGTTTCGGCAACGTGGCGACGTGGAGCTGATATGCCAGGTGTAAGGCGATCATTTTTTGGGTGCGCGTCTGATTCTGATCGGACGGTGTTCGTTGTCGGTGGCCATGACGACGAGAAAAATGCGCTGAGATCCGGAATGGTTTATGACGTGGCAAAAGATGAGTGGGCTCCACTGCCTGACTTGGCAAGGGAACGTGATGAGTGCAAGGCACTTTTCCACGATGGCAAGCTCCACGTTATTGGCGGGTATTGTACTGAAATGCAAGGTCGATTTGAAAAAACTGCTGAGGTGTTCGATGTTGCTACTTGGAAGTGGAATGGTATGCAAGAGAACTTCTTAGCATATGCCATGTGTCCTAGAAGCTGCACAAGTGGCAATGATCAATTGTACACGTGTCATGGAACTGATGTGTTGGCATTTAAAGACACCACGTGGCAAGCTGTTGCCAAACTTCCTGCTGACGTGCACAATATTGCTCATGTGGAAGCATTGCAGGGTAAATTGTCTGTGATTGGCTCAGCAGGATTCGGAGAGCCATACGTGGGGTATGAGATGGATTTAAAGAAGTACACGTGGAGAAAAGTGCAGACACCTCAGCAATATTCCGGCCATGTTCAATCAGGTTGTTATTTAGAGATTTAAGAACGGATGTCGTTGCAAATGCAATTAAAATTAAGGTGACGTCGTTTTGAGTTGTTTTTGGTAGAAAAGGGCAGTACAATGTAAATAGAAGAATGAGTGGTATCGCTAAACTTCTTTTGTCATTACAATGTAATACAAGTTTTGGGTTTGCTATGACGATTTCCAATTCAAACAGTAAAGTCAATGGGATGTACTAAGATGGCAAATTTGCAATTGATCTTTCTGAATTGGTGAAGATGGTAATTTGATAGATAAATGAATACATTGTTATGTGTTTGGGATATTTTTAAAATAAATTTCTAATTTAAATATTCCACCATGAAATTAATATTTAATTTAGAGTGATTAAACACGTATGTCATGTAAAACATTTTCCTCTTAAAGAACTTGTATACCTAGGTAACCGGCTAACCGGCAAATCACATGCCTAGTGAAGTTTTTTTCTATTAAAATAAAGGCATGAGGGCTAAAGTTTGTTGTTTTGTGGAGTTTATATTGGGAAATTATTGTCCAAACGCCGGCCAAAGAAGTTTATAACATAATATAAATTTATCATTTCGCTAGAGCTCATCACAACTGATGAATTTCTACTTTAGATATTGTGTTTTCATTCTAAATTTAAAAAACAAATTACTTTCTATTGTATATTTATAATACTGTTTCAGCCATTTGATTTTTCCAATAAATTAAAAAATTTATTAGTTCAAACAATAAATTTAATAAATGAGTGAAAGACACAGTTAAATCCATGAATCAAGTAAAATTAAGAGGAAAATTTTTTATTAGAGGAACAAAATGAGATGGATTTTGATAGCTAACAGCTATTAAAATAATTAATTTAATGAATAAATTCAATTAATAAATTACAGGCTATGAGTCAATTTTTGTCCGCATTATTAATTCACCTTATCTTTTCTTTTTTTTGTAAGTTTTGGTCAATCATATATGATACACATCACTATTAAATAGTTTAAAAGAAAAAAAAAATTATCAATAAAATATGTTCTTGTTGGTTTAGAAGATCACAATAATTTTCAGCAATCTGATCAGCTAAAAAGAGAATTAATACAGCGAAAAATGTTATTTCAACACATTATAAATAAAAAAAAAGAATAAAAATATCAAATGGATTCAATTTTTTAATTAATCATAAAAATAAAAAATAAATTAAATTTAATAAAGTCAATATCAATATATTATTAAAAAGAGAAGAGGTAAACTTATCCCTATTTGAATTTTTGTTCCTTTGTGCTTTAATGATGATTTTTGTCCTATAATCTTGAATTGTTATTATTGCTTTGCTGATTTTACAGGCGGACCAGTTAAGCTGCTTATTAGTGGAAAATTGTTAATGCAACTTTGTGTTAAATTTTCCACACATGTGTTTGGCATGTCGGGGTGTGACACTCTCTTGCAAATCCTTGAAAGATCTTTTTTTTTTTTTTTTTTTTTTTTTTTTTTTGTTATTATTTGCTTTGCTGATTTTACAGCGGACCAGTTAAGCTGCCTTATTAAGTGGAAAATATGTTAATGCAACTTTGGTTAAATTTTTCTCCACACATGTGGTTTGGCATGTCGGGGTCTGTGACACTTTCTCTTTCAAATCCTTGATGAAAGATCTTTTTTTTTGTTTTTTTTTTTTTTTTTTTTTTTTTTTTTTTAATTGGGATGTCACTTTCCTCGCGATTTGATTGGCCAACACTACATCTCTCCATCTTTAACTTCTTAGCGTAACTGTTAATGGGAAGATGCCAGAGTTTGCCATTGAGAATTTTTTTTTTTTTTTTTTTTTTTTTTTTTTTAATTGGGATGTCACTTTCGGATTGATGCCAATCACTACATCTCCTCCATCTTTAACTTCTAGCTAACTGTTAATGGAAGATGCAGAGTGCCATTGTAGAATTATTTGTTCCTAATAAATAGTTATGAAGTAATAGACACGTTCTATCATAGTTGTGTTGAAATTTTATGTAGCCATCCAAGTTGGAATTGAATTTCGCAGTTTAATAACATCATTGTCTAACTGGATAGATCAGCTATTTTTCTCTATATGATAAAATAATAAAAGAAAAGATGAAAAATATTTAAATAAAAACACAATAATAAATCAAACATATTATTTAATTATTCTTCAAAAAGTAAATTATTTAAACATATTTGATCCAATTTTATCTTGTGAAGTAAATTAAACATATTATTTAATTTTTCTTCAAAAAGTAAATTATTTTTGGAAAAAAAAAAAAACAAGAAGAATATATTTCCGCTGGAATTCTATTGTATTTCCCGGTTCATATACACACATCACCTGTGTAGTTATAAGTTAATATCGTGCTTGGGCCTAAATGGTCCAATATAGTCATCCCAGTCAAAGTAGCTTGCGCCAGGCGAGGCGAATATGGGAATTGGACATAAAAATAGTAAATAATTCAAAAATTAATATTTATCATGAAAGCTGTTTCCTTTCATCTACTGCTGACATTTCCAATCACAGTCCCGAAACATTGGCAATCAACTATCTTCAACACTTGAATCTCTGAAGCATACTGAATCCAAATTAGTTTTGATGCTGAATAATCTTCTGTTTCAACCTGTAGAAGATTCTTAAAAGTTTTCTGCATGGAAGATGGTGACACTGTTGTAGCTGTACATTTTATGATGGACATGGTTGTGCATTTCAACAAAGAACTTAATGATGTTTCAAAAATACCATCATTCCTTATTGTGACTCTAAGTTCTTCTAAATTTACCAAATTGTTCAATTCGCCAACCAAACATTCATTCCCCTCATACAAATATGTTATCTTCACTGTTTTGGTCCTTAGAACCACACATGTACATATTCAGAAACAATAATTTTTTTAACTTCTGAATTATGTAAAGCCCAATCGGCTGAAGGTACTTGATATGACTTAAATCTAAGAAATTTAAATTGTTATCCTCTTTAAAATCTTCATTTAACTCTATTATGTTTGACTTGGATAGGTTAAGATATTGCAGAGTATTGATGTCAACAATACCTTTAGGAAGCTGAGTAGCACGACACCCGAATAGGTTAGAACTTTGAGACAAGGCATTGAGTGAAAGAAGTCACCTGAAATATCTTTCCATTTGTTGTTCTTGACTATCAGTGTTGAGAGTTTGGTGCAGTCGATTTTGGCCAACTTCTTAATAAAAACATCTTCCAAAGTTATTCGTTTCAAATTTCGCTCAGCTATATCTTTTGGTAATTCATCCCCTTTTTCAACGGTTGCCACAAAATGCTTGCCCTCAGCAGAACCAATCCATTTCGCCATTTGGCCAGTACTTTCGTGCATATTCTCAACAGATTGATAAAAAGGGGATGAGAATCGGAGACGATAAATATTATTTGTTTTCAAAAATCATAACCTCTCGGAATTAAGAGACAATTTTAAAATGGTCCCTTTTTATGGTAATAAGACTCAAAGGGGATAATATTATGATATCCTATTCATTTTTTAATTAGAAATTGAAATAATAATTGCCGCAATAATAAAAGACAATTTACGTCTCTCTGATACTAGGGGCCTCTGATAGTAGGGACAAGTACTACCCTTAATTTTGAGAACGACTGATGTCATATATATGGGAGATGGGATAATTTATGTCTCTATTACTAATGACAAGTATTATCATAAATTTTGGGATAGCTGATGTCACTTATGAAGGGGATAATTTATGTCTCCTATACTAATAACAAGTATGACATATATTAAAAAGGGGAAAACTAATTATTAATTACATTATTTGGTGAAATGGTTTATAGAGTAACAAAAATTCTTGAGTTAAACATGCTTGCTTAAAAGAAATTCCAAAATGAGTGACCTTTTAAAAAAAATTTTATTTTATTCACGAAACAATTTTGGATACAATTGACGTCACATACGGAGGGGATAAATATTTTCCACATATTTGGGTAAGTTTCTATGTCATTGTCTTCAAAAGACAATTATAGTCCAACATTATGGTTGACCAAAAAAAGGGACGATTTATTAAATAAGCAAGCTGAAAGATATAGAATTCGATAACTTTCTTTTTGGTTCTTTTAACAAGATTATCGAAGGCGATGACCTTTTAGGGGTTCTTATATTGGGATTTGATCAAACACAGCCGGAGAAGGAAACAAAGGAATGGGGTTTGAGTATGCAGAAGCCCGTTAGTGAAAACTGGGCTTAGTAAAGAGGCCAAAACTACATTATATGAGCTGGTAAAGAAGCCCCTGTTTATCCTACATGTTTAGTGGAGATTATGTACGAATTGGTGTTTCTAGACAACTGACACTTCCTAACCCCTTGTCTGAAATAATTTAGTTACAGACTCATAGAACTTGATTTCATTATTATTGAATTTTGTAAGATTTAGTTATTAGGTGTAAAACAATTATTTTCATATATACCAAACACAACCTAAATTCCTTGGAAATCAACATTACAAACAATTAGCACTTCGAAATCACTGCCATCTATTTTCTGCGAGTGATTCAATGCAATGCAAGGAAGAATTATATGTACAACAAAGAGAACATCCTCATGGACAAACTTCAGAGCTCCATATTCAAAGCAAAATGACTGCAGCCTACAACTTCTAATCAAATTTCATTCCTTGTAATTTGATAAATTGCCGCCTTCTTAAATCTATTGGACAAGGTGAAGCTTCCTTCAAATTGAAAACCAATTAAAGAATTGGGTCTGGTTAACAGCAGATGTTATTTGACTCTCATGCATTTGTATAGAACATCTACGAATTTCTTGTACATTTGCCGCTTCAAGTACATTCTTTCTACATTTTTCCTTCCGTTCATCCCCATTTGCTCCCTTACAGATGGATTTTTCAGCAAATATCGCATATTTTGAGCAAGAACACGAGTTCCCAGACGCCCAACTGGATGAAGAAGTCCCGTTACATTGTGCTCAACGATTTCTTTTGTGCCTCCAGCATCTGTTCCGAGCACCTGCAATGTGTAATGCATAAGACGAAAATGCAATTGTGGTGTCACCTTCGCAAAAAATTCTATTTGCTGACATTACTTATTTAAAGAAAGATTTAGCATTCCATTGGACCGTCAGAATGAAAGAGGAATACACAACAAACAAAAAAAAAAAAATTTACAATCATACAAGAGCTCAACTCAATATCAAGTTCCAGTAAAACCATGAGCATTCCAAAAGTGATACAACGATGAAGATCAAGTAGTTTTACTAGGCAAAATCAGGTAACTTATCTTTAGTTTCAGAATTGTTCTAAAACTCTGTTTGCACTTTGCAGGCAATAATCCTTGCTACACTACACATTCCTTACTCTTTGTTTCTCATGTGCAATGGATGAATGGCCCTCCTCTTAGAACATTAATATATATTTGCACCTTTGCAGCAATATCCCTTTGCATACACTACACATTCCTTACTCTTTGTTTTCTCATGTGCAATGGATCGAATGGCCCTCCTCTCTTAGAACATAATATATATATATAATATATATATTATATATATATATATAAAATCTGAAACAGGGAAAAGGGATAATTCTTGATACACGTATCTCGACTCTTATTCCAAAACTTGGTATTAACCACCTGTTATGTTCACTTTTAAGACCCAAGGTTAGAACTTAAGAATCACATATAACGTTACAAGCAGGCTGTTTGGCTTTCGTGATATTTTGATTGCCCAGAAATTATTTTCCATATATAAAATCTTAACAGGGAAAAGGATAATTCTTGATACACGTATCTCACTCTTATTCCAAAACTTGTATTAACCACTGTTTGTTCACTTTTAAGACCCAAGGTTAGACTTAGAATCACATATAAGTACAAGCAGGCTGTTGGCTTTCGTGATATTTGATTGCAGAAATTATTTTTCCGGAAGGCAGCTGGGTATGTAACTTGGAATAAGCTATAATATACAAAATTATTTTTGTTTAGAGTGACCAAACTGATGTACCATATTTAATGCCATTTCCTTTAAGGTACTTGACAGGCAAATACTCATGCATGAGATGCAAGATTCATCCCTTCTACACTTGTCTAAAACTTAACCAATGAAACACATTGAAGAGCAATTTCCAGTGTAAGCATGGAATAAAGAAACAATGTGATTCCTGAAATATATGGGAAAAGTGAGACAGAGAGGTTGACAAGATTGTACAAGCTATGATTCTTGTTGAGAAGAAAATGATTAAAAACAAAATGTTAAACACGCTTTGTGTTTGGCCAGATAGACACCAGTTAATAAAGCATAAAAAGAAGATGAAAATTAGAACTCAATTAATCAACTAAGAAACCTTAATAGTTGCAAGGGAGATGGCATGCTCTCAAGTTTTATTGTAAAAGAGCCTGTATAAAAATATAATGAGTTGACACTCATTTTCAGAATCAGAAGTGGCTCAACTATACATGGAATGCATGATTCCAGTAACAGCAGGCCAGCAGAAAATTTTCATTGAAAAGAGTTGAAAAATGCCAATGCCATGGTATGCATTATTACAAATTAAATATTTCCATGAGTTGGGAATCAAGTTTAGCAGTGATAACAAAAATTAATATTTGTTAAGAATTGCTTACCGGAAGACCGAATGCCATTGCTTCAATTGTCACTCTCCCAAAGGTTTCTCCAACACCCTGTGAATGAACCCAAAATAATACGTGATTTATGATATCACTACAGAATAATTTCATGGGTTATTAATAAGCAAACACCATAAATTAAATTTTAAAAAACAATAACAATTAGTGCAACTGAACTGCACAAGTAATCTGGCATGAAATTGATATATATAATCTTCTTTAGTTTTTTCCAAAAATTGAACATAGCTGCAATAATAATAAAAGACTGCTACGACTAAATACTGTTTGGAAATAATGAACATCAGAAATGCTGGGGAAGCATAGCTATATGTATTCATGACTCTTGAAGAAAACAAAATCTAAAATGATGAACACAACCAATCACTTCTTGTTCAAGAAGAAAAGCCATGAAAGAATATTGCTGAACCTAACATAGATGAAATCTTCAAAGGTGATTATGAATGAAACCAGAACTTAGAATGCTGTTGTGAAGTTCTCAATAAATTCAACATTATTAAGCATAATGCAGAAAATTTTGGCAAGTGAAGTTCTCAGTGAACCACAGAATGTAATACACTATTTTATGAGTTTTGGACTTTGAAAAGCTTTCTTCTGCATGTCAACCCAACATTAACTCCAGGTCCTTTTCCTAGTAGCTTATGAGACTACATGTCAACAAAGGACAAAAATATTAAAAAGATAAGTTGCTTAAACTAAACAAAGAAGCTACAAAAGCAACACTAATATCATATTTCCCTTTTAATACTTGAGTTACTGCATCTTTAGTGGGTGATAGAAATAAACTACTTCACTGCTTGGAGAACTCTAGTAGAACAAAAAATCATTCTCAGATGCATGCTACCCCTGTTTTAAGGGGCAAATTATAGTTACAAAATGAGCAGAATAACCTTTCTCACATGGAGGCTTACTCTTATTTTATGATTAATAAAAGAAACCTTAAACAACAAAGGGAAATGAAAAATCGTAATCACATTAGCCATGTCAAAGAAATCCATCGGCACCATAAGATGCACATTTATTAATCTAAACTTACATCCTCACATTGGCGTGTTTGATGGCAAACATGCAGTGGTTGTGCATGCAACCATAAATTAGTAAAAGGCTATGTGTTTGAAATACCTGGGAGTTTATAACATAAACATCTGCTGCAGAGTAAAGTGAAGCAACACGTGTAGTTGCTGGAGTCCAAAGCACTGACTTTGACAAGTTTGAATTCTCAGACATGTATCTAAGCATTTCCTTGACATAGAGCACCTTATTACTCTTAGATCCAACAGAACCAATAAGAATTTTAAGATGCTGTTCTGGTGCTTCAAAATTAGACAGCACTTTCCTCTTTTTGCGCCTCCTGTTAAACAGTCGGCCTAGATGTGAGACTTTCTTCTTAGGAGCTTTCAACCTCATAGGAGACTTGCTGGGGTGATCTAAACTATTTGGAAATTCATCTGTCTTTTCTGAGTCCTGTAACAAGGCCCTTAAGTGATGTTTTGCAGCTAAGGTAGATCCTTCATCTATATCCATCGAAGTTGTTACTTTCTGCAAAGGGTTTGGTTCAATCAACAATTGTGCTGATTCAAGAAGTAGGAGTTGACCTTTTCCAGGGTTTATACTGCTGAGGGACATGACAAGCACATCATTATCTGTCAATCCCATTTCTTTTCTAACAGTATCTCGTAGCAACTGCCTCTTCTCCAGCATCTTCTGAGTGGTAGTTGATGGAGTATTTAATGAACAAGCAATGCCAGCAGCAAAAGCTAGTTCATCATTAATAGAAAGTTGAACTATTGCAGGTGGAGATCTCAACTTAATGTTTTCTTCGTTGCACCAAGATAGCCATTGTTTCGACTGAGATTCAGACAGAAAGACCAGCATCTTTACTCTGTTAAGGACAACCTTTGACCGATCAAAGTACTCTCGCCGATTTTCCATAATCCACCAAACAATTTGACTGCCGCCAGCTGGGAAGCGAGCAATATATTGATCTGAAACCAAAATACAGCAAGGTTACAGAAACTTCAGCATTTGCAAAAAGTTTCAATACAGACCAGCTATCCTAGCTCAGTTCCAGAAGAAGACTCATCAATGGTAAAAAGTATTCTTTTCAAAACCTAACTAATGTAGAAGAAAAATCTTGGTGGTAAAGAAGAAAGACTTGAAATTAACTGTAACAACAATTTTATTCAGTGAGGCAAAAGATAAAGCACTGCAAAAGCTAACATATGATTTAGAGTCATCATAACATGAGATTCCAGACTCACCACATTTTCTTATAGAACCAAATCTGTTTCAGCACAAAACAGGCTCAATTGTTCTGTCATTTCGATAAAAGGCACTTGCCTAACTCTATGTCTACTATTACATAAAAGTTAATATATCCAATCAAATGCAGACAAGGAACTCAGATCATCCAGATCATCAGCAGAGACTTGATTCAATATACTGATAAACAACACGTAAACAATAGAATTCTACCAAGAACAATAGAATTCCATCTATCTTCCACCAACAGTAAAAGATAATTTTGACATAAATAATTATGGCACATGCACATCTGATCAACCACAGTCAGCTCAGCCCATTTACAGAGGGAGAGAAGTGGGTATACGGAAGACAGTATATTTTTACTGAATAAAATCCCATTTTTTATGTACTCTGAACTTGTTATCATTAGCAAAAAATGTGTAAGCATGGAAATCAAACATAAAATTCACTTGGCAATCATTATGCTAATGCTAAGCATGGCCAAAACATGTTTGTGACAACACAGTCTGAGTTCCACTAGAGACATTGGAAATTATATAAACATAGGTTCAAGATTTATTATCAAAAGATTTTAGATTTTTAGTTGGAGTACAAGGATTTCTTTATACATCCTATGACTGGTTAGTCAATAAGGCATCACAAAGATATATTTCACAATTCAATCTTTGCATTTTGTTCCAAGATCTCTAAAAGGTAGCGTACAAATAATCAATGGCAGAAAAGGGTTTCATACCTATCCATGATGCGCATACTGCAGATCCTGCAATCACAAGATCTGCTTTCATGGCAGTTTTGAAGCTGAGGTCAGCTTTGTCCTCAAGCACTTTGATCCTTCTCCTGGCAAGCTCTGGCATCAAACCACCCTTTTTGCTTAGAACTACAGCTGAAACTGTGGCTCCACAGCTCAGAAACTCTGTTGCTAACTCCATCATTGACAGTGGAGCGCCAGTCATTGAGAGCTCATGGAATATGAGTACAAATTTTCTAGACCACACAAGGCGTGCAAAGTCACCCTTCCTGTCACAAGTTCCTGTTCGCTTCTCAGGACTCCATTCCAAAACTCTATCCTCTGTTGACCCAAATGGACCAAAAAGAAAACCATAAGAAGTATTTGTCTGGGGAATGTCTGGTTCCTGTACTTCTACGTCATTGTTTTCGACCTTTACTGTTGCCTTATGTTTGTCACGTCCTTTACTGCGTAACCTGCGGCCTGCTCTCCTACTCCTCTTCTTTGAGGAAGAAACTTTGTTCTGATCAGAAGAAACATTTTTTCCCCTTTTAGTCAAAATCACTCCTATCCTTCTACCATCCGCTTCTTGAATCTCAATGGTCCCATTATTTTTTACAGCTACAGAACTATCATTGGCAAGCAAATCTCGTCGTTTATTCTGTTCAGTGTCTGAAATCTCATTTCCAGGTTTACCTCCAAACCCCAGAAACTCATCCTTGTTATCACCATGAGCCCACCTTGACTGGACATAAAACCCAAGATAGGCCCATAGAGTAATCAGAAGTAACCAATACACTAATCGATTGCTCCGAAACCACTGTGAACCTCCGATACTTCTGCCCTCTCTTCGTGGAGTTCGGCTGGAATTCAACCTCCGAAATGTGGGGGAATTCTTAGGTGTTGATCTTCCTGACAGTGTGGACTTAATGCTGCCACCAGACCTTAATGATGATTGCCTAACAACATTTACATGCAAATCTCCTCTGACCATTCCTTCCTCCATTTGCTTCTTCAACTATATTCCAACGGAGAAAAGCTTAATCGACATTGCTTGTTTGATATTTATTGACCAAAATCAGCAAAATTAAAAACATTCACTTAAACTTAGAAGTGGCCCGGCAGATTTACCTGAAAAAAATCGAAAGAAAAATAATAAGTTCCTTTTCCTCCTACAAAACAACAGATGAAGACAAAGTATAAAGCTTTATTTACTTTCTGAAGATATTTTCTCAAATTTTCTGTTATTTTTCAATATTTTATTTCCTTCTCTCAGCAACCAATCAGAGGTCTAAGTGACAAAGAATTACATTGAAAAAGAAGAAAATTAAAAGCTACAAAACATTCCGCCTTAATGCTGAATAAAAAGTGGGGAAAAAGATCTCTACATCAGTGAAATTTTAGTTGTCTAAGGTCTAATCAATAAAAGTCAAGCTCAACGTTTCATTTCTTTTTTTTTTTTTTTTTTTTTAAGCTACAAAAACATTCCGCCTTTAATGCTAATAAAAGTGGGGAAAAAGATTCTCTACAATCAGTGAAATTTTAGTTCTGTTTCTAAGGTCTAATCAATAAAAGTCAAGCTCAACGTTTCATTTCTTTTTGTTTTTTTTTTTTTTTTTTTTTTTTTTTTTTTTTTTTTCTCTTTTGTTCTTTTTCCTACACTTCTTTTTGCCCAAAAAGAAAGCTTAACCAAACAAAGAACTTTATATTTCTAGATACTTCTGAACCGAAATTCTCAGTTTATCTGACAGAAAATCTCCCCACGTTCTTCCATTTTCCTACACTTTCTAAGCAACCAAATAGAGCCATAATAACAAACTTTAAAGATCCATTTCTTGATTAAGCAACACTATTAGAATCTTAGGCTGTCGTTTGTTCATCATTTATCAACATGTAAAGCTACGATCATTAACCAAACTTAGTGTTCCAAGAAAGCAAAGTTACTCAGTGAGTTCCAATCTATAAACATATTTAGAAATCAATTCTTCCCTACAATATCCTACATTTTCTCAGCAACTAAACACGACATATAGTATCTCAGAACACTTCAAAGCTACTCAAGGCACCCAATAAGAAACGAATTGGCAATCTTTGGAAGTTACTTTGTTCTTTGAAGTGTCCAATGTATCAAACCCTAAATGATCAAATTTATTAAGAAAAAGACTGTAAAAGAACTGCTAATGTTCAAGATTCAGTAACAAACTAAGTTGATGTCGAAGCTAAAAGAGACAGTTAAAGAATAAAACACATTACTTCGATCTTTAGAGTAAGAAACTGAAGATCTCTGTTCTTGATTCTTCTTCGGATTCGGAGAGCTATTAGAGAGAGAAAGAGTAGAGAATTGCAGAGTCTGCAAGTAGAGAGGATTTAGGGAGACAGATTTGTCTTAGCAGTGAAATATGAAAATCATTTTGCGAAAGATGGATCGTACGTGCGAGTCAACACGTGTCATTCATGAGTTGGCAGTGGTAGCCTACAGCAATACTGTAGGATTAATCGTGTTCGTTGTATACGTGGCTTGCAAGTACGTTGTTGTTTACTACAATCGAGGGGGTCGAGGGCTATGATATGTGGAGATTTTCTACTGTGTTGATTCTGGGCCCATTATGTTTGTCGGCGTGACATTAAGGTTGATCTTGGCCGTTGATTCCTCCAAGAGTCCACTTGCAATTCAAATGATTGTAGCCGTTAGATTTGATAATGTGATTATGTACACTATATATACTAGTAGTAATTAAAAGGCAGCAATACAAGCATTGATGTTGCAGCTCATAGACGACGACTTTTTTTTATTAATTAATTGTTTACACTCCTATATTAAAATATAAATTTTTTATAAAAATTATAAAAAAAACTTAATTCTTCTAAATTATAATAATAAAATCTATGAATCATTTGATTAAATTACCTTTTATTTCAAAATTAAAACTAACTTGTAAAAATAACTATTGTATTTAATATAAATAAGAATGATATTGAAAAAACATAATTTAATTTTATATTTTAAAATAAGATAATTACTCTAAAGTGACTTATATCTTGAGTTGGAGGTTTTAACTTTTTTAAACTAATAAATTCTTTTTAAGAAAAGCATGAACAACAAACAAATAACATGAATGGCAATACTTGTACTTATATTACTTATAAAATCTTTCAAAACATATACTATAGGTTAAAATAATATATTGTTCTTTAATGTAGTATAAATAAAATAAATAAAATCACTTATAGTTTATTAAATACTCCCTCCGTATAAAAAAAATAGTTCATATATATTTTTTTTAAATAGTCCACTTTTATTTTTTGCATTATAATTAATTCTTAAATTATCTATTATACATTTATTAAAAATTATATGAATAAAATTGTCTTTTATCTTTTTAGAACAAAGAAAGTATATCATCCAAATTGCCAGTTTTCAAAACTTTAATTACGAAATATATCATTTTATTGACAGGAAGGATGGAATTGTTTTATGATAAGCTTAAATAATAGAAATTATTAGTGTATCATTTCCCCACCTCATCGGGAATAACATTTTGTTTTTATATAATTATTTATTAAAGTAGTTGTAATGAAAGCTATGTTACTATAAGTATAATATATATACCACCTCAAATTAAATTTTTAGGTTTTAATCTCCCTTCTCCAACGCTCAAAACAAATAAACATGCTCTAAAGTTAAGAATGGCATACTTTTGAATAAGCAGACGCTAGGACCATTTGAACTGATAGAAACTCCCCAGAGTCCCACTCCCAAATGAAACGTTTGCCTGCTAAAATTTTCATTAACCCTAAAAACCCCATAAACAAAGTTTAAACGAATTCTCTTAGACAATAAAGGTAATCGGGATTTTAATTCTTACCTAAAGATTAAAAAAATAAAATAAAATAAAAAGAGTAAACTTCTCCAAAGGCGTTAGGTGTGCTAGATAGAGCTGCATCTATTTTAAAATCCAAGTGCCGAGATTTTATCAGATTCAGAACTTTATAACCCAGCAACTCAAAATTGGTACATCACAAAGTTAATAGGTCACCATCAAACTCAAAAAAAAATCAAAACTAAAAAAATATATATATTTCTCGCAGGAAACTTATTGTCATAGTTAATCAGAACATGAACAGGAGGAATATATATAGATCATAGCCACATTCCATAGCTTTTGAGTAACTTCTGTCAACACAATACATGCCCACTGGACAAATAAATTTTCTACCCTGCAGTATCTCAGCAAGTACTCAAGTCCTCGTCTAAATAAAAATCCCACATAAAAACGTTACTCTCGAAACCAGACTCAACCACAAAGTTAAGGTCATCAAAGTCCAACTGGAAAACTCAAACACCATCTACTTAGATAAATAGGAACACTCAACTTCACCGAGAAAACTGCTTCTGCACAATAGTTCTTGTTCTTTTTCAAATTTTTTTTAGTATAATAGTTTTTGGAGAAGCCCGCATATAATTTTTCTCAAGCTTCATTAAAAACCCAAGCCACAAGAAAACCTGTAAGCAACAAATGAGGCAAAATATCAATTTTATCCAAAGTGCCCCATGAAGCTAATAAATCAAAGGGATCATTTTGTGATGTTCATACCTCACATTTAAACAAGAAACTACCACCCGTCAAGCCACAATTATGTTCTCAAATTGACTGCAGCATGAGCAGGTGTTCGTTAAATATAACTGCAACATTCAAACAAAGAAAGAGAGGTAGAGTTCAAATACCAAGGCATGAATAAAAAGATACTTACTACAAGGCTAAAAGGGTGCTCATGCAATTCATCAATACATATCATAAATTTTTTACTTTTTAGTTTCTGGTTTATCCTCCTCAGTTATGACAATTTAAACAAGCGAGTTAAAAAAAAAAGTAACAGATTCTTCAATGAAGTCTACCTTTGTAATTTAAGAAAAAAAAAGTGGCAAATTTCTTCAGGTAGACAAGCGGACAGAAAGAATTTACCTAAAATATCCTGGAACTTAATGCGACCCAGAGCATTCCAGAACATAAGCTAGAGAAAACAAAGGGCCTGATCAAGGGCCTGCATCACCACAAAACTACAATTAAGAATTTTGCAACCTTTAAACAATATAAAAGATTGATTAAGCAAACTTAACCTTAATCTGCTTATTACTCAAATATGGTCCCTCTTATCTAAGTACTTGTACTTGGCTGCTTAAAATCCATCTCAGAGTATCTGAAAAAGAAAAGGAAAATAATCCAAAAACATTAAACTAGGGAATCACATGCCTAAGAAGAAAACAAGCAAGTCCCTTGGCAAGGCCATATTCTACTTGCCTGCGAGGCTTTTGCCGTTGTCCAAACTCCTCATTCATAAGCTCTGCAAAGGGAACAAGTTAGCTTCTATATAAAACAATAATAATGACAAGGCATGACGTGATCTAGCTCAACAAGTATGAAATACAAAAGGATGAAAGATAAGATCAAGTCTTACCAGGTCTTTGGGAAGGTTTCCATTCATTGGACTTGCTAGTATTATTTTCCTTGCTGGAAAAAATAAAAAAGAAGGCACCATCAAGCTTCAGCAAATCATATGTCAATAAAACCTCTACTTCAGCCAGGACTAATATGGCAACATGTATATGCAAGTGAAAAGTAAACACATGCTAACAAAAAGGTCATAGAAACATCAAGGAAAATACTTTTGCATGGGACATGAAAACTCAGGTCTTCACATATGACAAATGGAATGCTTCTTCAGACAAACAATACTTGTAACTAATAAAAGCAAACACAAGAAGTGAATTAGGAAAGCAAAATCTAAAAAATTTTAGACCAGGCAGTCACAAAAACACATTTCAACGCATCAAAAACTGATGGAGAGCCGCTAGACAAGTATCATCCAATATATAAGTCAAATTTGCATGATGATGTCCCATCTCTGCAGCTTCGAGAATATGAAGAACAATAAATCAATGAATTGCCTTTCAGAGTTCAACTACTCACACTGGCATGTGCATAATTAAGCACATCTTAAGCTGAAGACTTGACAAAAGACATGCATAACACAAAATGACAAATGGTTTCACCTACATCCACATATATTTTTCGTGTAGCATTTTATTTCATATACATACTTATGCACGCAAGCATCCACATCTACATTTCATCATGATTAAGTTTAGGACAAAAAGTAAACATATGAATTTCAATAAACACAATCTCACCTAAGCGAAAGCATAATGAACAAAAGAGGTACCGTTCCCAAAAAAGCAAATGACAATTTCAATGGAAAAGACAGGCTGCAAACCTTGAAGAACTCGCAGAAGATGTCTGTCCGGATGGGCGAGTATGATAAGCATCTTCAACAGCAATATAAGGTGAACAATAAGTAGCCCCTAAAGCTCCAGCAGCACCAGCTAAAACTGGTAGCCTAAACATCATTAAGATCATGGCCACTATTACTACTCTTAAAATACAACTTCTAAAAATACAAAATGAAAACTTAAAGAAGGTTAATAATAACAAGTTTGATAACGACAGTAGGAAAGAAAACAAACAAAAAAAAAAAAAAAAAAACCACTATTACTACTTCTTAAAATACAACTTCTAAAAATACAAATGAAAACTTAAGAAAGGTTAATAATAACAAGTTTGGATAACGAGACAGTAGGGAAAGAAACAAACAAAAAAATAAAAAAAAAAAAAAAAAAAAAAAAAAAGAGAGAGAGAGAGAAAATCAGTTGTTCTCTTATAACTAATGAAAGACATTATTACCGTCATAAAGAATACAAAAGATCTAAAATCCAAAAATCCTTAGATGAGCAGTGTACCACTCGAAAGAAAAAAAACCATTATACCATGTCATTTCTGAATTTCCTAAACCAAGTTGAGGTTGAGCAACATATCCAGGAAATGCCATGCCAACTGCAGGAACTCCAATACCACCAGGATGCTGGCCCCCAAATTGCATAACTGCAAGCCAATCATCCAAATCACGTATACAACACTTTCAATCTTTTGTTTCTTAAGGAACACAATGAGGGAACTAACCATTAGTAAGCAATGGTAAATATCTTTTCCAGGCCATAAAATAAACAGAATAAAAAATAAGAAGCTTTAAAGTTTTAACAATATAATAAGACAAGAAAAACAACAAAAAATTTAATTAAAAAAATCAATTTAAAAAAAAAAAAAAAAGAAACCAGCTTGGGTGAATGCTATATGTGAAACTCCCAATCTTCCAAATATTTTTAGAATTCCTGTTTCTCCGAGATATCAGAAAATGTGATCCAAAAATCTATACCTGGCAAGAAGGCTGGAGCTGCAGGGAAGTTTTGATCACCATGACCAACACCCATATTTCCTGCGCCTCCCATTACCTGTGCTCCACCATACAGAAAAGAGCCTCTTCCGCTCCCCTGAATACTTCCTTTTCCCTTTCCGACTAATGCACCTCTAGATTTACTTGATTCTGAAGTGGTTTCTGCCTCTCCAGAATCATAAGAACTTATTGACATAGCTGTTTTGGGTGGCGAAGAAGCTTGAGATCCACTACCAGAACGCTGGCCCAACTGCTGAAGAGGAGCTTGAACTGTAGGTTGGGCACGATTCTGAGCAGGACTTCGCTGAACAGGATGGGGCTGCATTGAAGATGATACTCTGCCAACTTGGTTCTGCAAAGGGGCTGGCTGATGATAAGTCATCTGTCCTGAAAGAGCCACACCCCTTCCTTGAGTTCTAGAATGAGAGGATTGCATGTTATTGACCAATGAAGATCTAGATGGTGGAATTTGTATAGTGTTCAAGGGCTTGCCAGCAGTTGAAGTAACAGGATCATCAATGCAAAGCTTGTCAATACCAACAGAATCGGCTACATTCTTTCCCCTCATCAATGCACCAGCTTGCTGCATAGAGAAACTTTCATCTACAACAGAATTTCGAAGATTCCTGCTTGTACCTCCAGGTTGGACATCCCTTTTCTGAGTCAGAGTGATCTCATTATTTGAAGAACCAGAAGGATAAAAAGGAGGAGAGGCAGAACTCAAGCTTGAATGTTTTCTAGCAGGAGGCACTTGATCAGATTCTGTATTTGACATTGGTGTGAAAACTCTCCCAGAACTACCATGTGAAATTTTCTCAAACGGCTTTTCTGGCTGTTTGTTTTTTGTTGGAGGTGCCTGACTACTGCTCTTCCACGTAGGTTCATACTTTCTAGGCCCTCTACCTCTCACACCTTTTGGTGCCTGGTTCTGATTGGTACCATTGCTGAACACCTTAGATTTGTTCCTACGGGCATATCCACGGTCTGGAACTCGATTTTTTGCACCACGACCTCGAAAATTACCTTTAGAACCTCTCCTTCCCTGAAATTATTTTTAAAGGGCACTTTCAAAAAGAGAGAACAAAACGAGAGATGGAAGAAATAAGATTCTCATCCATTGTTGATATAAAATTTTCACCTGTTCATAATGCCTTTCCTGCAAATTCATCTCCTCAAATTTGTCATGACCCCATTTCTTATCATCTTTGGACTCCCACAACTTCCTTCCACCATATGTTCGCCTAACCCAAGTATGATATCATTTTAAATTACTCATTGATAGCAGGTAAAATGAGATGGGAGCATTAACAACACGAAAATACAAAATATGAAAGTTATGGACCAAAAAGAACAGGCTTGATCAAGCATAGATACAAAGCTAGACTCAAACAAAATTTACATCTTCATATTGTTGCCTAATTGTCCATCCATTGCAAAGTCAAAAGAGTTAGCCATTGCGATAATGTAGTTTCTAATGCCAACATCCAAGCAAAATAAATGTTATACCAGGGGATCAAGAAAGCAGAATCTTTCTCAGCTCAAAAGCAAAGTATGTACAAAAACACAAACATAAAAATGATGCAGCACCAAAACCTTAATAAACCCTGACTGCACCATTTGGGCTTATGCACGTAATGTAATTGTAATGATACTATCATCCAGGTCAAAACGAAGATCTAACTAGGGATATTCAGATTCAAACAGTACCGTTGTCATTCAGAAAACAAAAAGAGAAAAAAAAATCCATTGCTTAAATTAAAAAAAAAAATGTTTCTTCTTGAGGAAATCCCACAAGTACTTAAAAACCATGACAAAGAGATATGTAACTCAAATAATGTATTAAGGCAATGCTTAAAATTCTAGGATAACTGCAATTTAAGGAGAATATGTATGGATATACTATACCAACTACCATGAACATAAGCTCCAAGAGCCATCAAAATCTAAACAGGCAAACCAAATGTACAAGTTCAAGCATGAGAATTTATTTTTATCATCTAGCAGTGAGGCACCGACTCTAAATTAGATAATAGGTTATAAACATTTCACTACATCAAATTGCATGCAAATTCTTTTTATCTCTCTCTTTAAAAAAAAAAAAATATATATATATATATATATCCCTTAATTCTAACCAGTCTTATGCATAGTCACGCAGAGAAATTTGGAGATAAATATAAAATTGGTTCTCAGATATTATATTACTAGTTGAAAATTTTACACCATAACACAGTCAATGAAAAGTTTAGGTTATCCCTAAAAACATAAATTAGTGCATCAAAAAAATCATTATTAACCCCCAGCCCAATATTTAATAACTGTTCACTTCATGATTTTACATACCAAAAATGCCAAAAACAACAGAAACAAAAAAAGGAAACGTTGCCAATAGTTAACTACGAACCAATTATAGACTTATAGTCAAAGATGTCAAATAATACCTGTGTCTACCACCAGCATTGTCCCTAAACCGGTCATCATGCATGTAAAAAGCCCCAGCAGTAGGTACTGCAAATGGTTCATTCTCTTTTTTCCCCTCTTCATCCTCCTCCCCTTGGACATGATCATCCTCTGCTTTAACCTCTACCCCGTCTTCCTCCACCACCTTCCTCACATCCACTTCTTTCTTGTTAATCTCCACCACACCATCACCGGTACTCCCTCCTCTCTCCTCATGCCTTTCTTTCCCTTCCTCAAACCTATCAATGTCATCTTCCTCATCCTCATAAACTTCTTCCTCTTCATCTTCATAAACCTCTTCTTCCTCATCTTCTTCTTCCCCCTCTAATTCCTCTTCATCATCATCATCATATTCTGCAGCCCCACCCTGACCGTCAGATTCATCAGAGTGAATGGGAGCCCTCCGATCCATCCTGGGTTTCTCTTCTCCCTCGCCTTCCTCATCGTCGCTTGCCGCTTTACGCCTCCTCATTCCCAGAAGGCGCTTTTCCTCCTCGGGATCGCTCTCATATTCAACGTCCTCCTCGCCTACCTTCGACATAAAAACAAAGCCTAGAAGTCGCGAGCTTTAACACCAATTTAGAGACAATTAAAAGCCAATAAAAAAACTAAGTGAAAAAACTAACTTCCTCAGAGACTAAATGTTAATTAATAGTATAAACTCCAAAGTCAATTCGAACTAAAAAACGGCCCTTAAACAGACACAGATTAGTGAGAACCTTATGCAATCAAAGGCCCCAAAACCGTAACTTTCTCACAAGCCAAAAAGCCAAATTAAGAAATTCAGGTCAACCAAAACCAGAAAAACCCTAAAATTCTAAATTCTCGAATACACCAGACACCAATTCGAGATAATGAGAATAAATCGAAACCCCAAAATCCTAAAATGGAAGAAAATTAGGGTTCAAGTGCTTCCGGATCTAGTAGGACAAATCCCTGCGAACCCTAGATTTTGCTAGATAGATTTTGAGAATTTTTTTTTATTATTCTTCGGTGTTTGCGTCATAAATAGAAGAGGAAGAGGGAAAGAAAAGGAAGAGACAATTTATCCGAGAAGGAGAAGAGAAGTCATACGAGGGTATATAATGAATTTAAAAAATTATAGAAGGATATTTTTGTAAATGTATGGTTCCCCTGGGGACGACACGTGATATGGGTATTAGCTGTTATTGCACTCGAACACGTAAGAGGTGCTTACGTAGTAAATCACATGTCTCTGTTGGTTGTGTTGCTAAGGTGAATCTCTTGTCTAACTGTAGTATTTAGACCAACGGGGTGGTGCCACGTTATTATGCGAGAAATTTAGGTCCACCCTTTAAATGCTTATGCTAGTTCTAGTAGTACTAAACTACTGATGGAAGAACGGAGGGGCCTGTCATTGCAAGTGCAACTCTTGGTTCCTTTTGTTATTTTTGCCATTTGCGATCTGCTGTAGAACCTTCTTGTTATCCATTGCGATATTCAATCACGGGGTTGAGCACGGTTTGGTTTAATAAGGTTTGAAAAAATTTTCGAACCAAACTGTAAATTATAGTTTATAGATTTTTTTAATCCAAATTAAATCATTTAATCAATGAAATTAAATTAAATTCAATCACAAAAAGCGGTTTGGTACAGTCTGATTTGCGGTTTGATATCATTAAAATAATTTAATAATTATTTTAATTGTAATTGAATAATATAATGAATTCATATATGATATATAATATATAACATAAGAAAAAAAATATAAGTAGCAAAAAAATAATCGGTTGTTTGATAATATAAAACAATTTTTACAATTTAAATTTACAAAATAATAAGATTATATGTAATTAATATTCATGATCCACCAATGTGTAACCTACCAATAAGAATTTATTTATAAACAAATAAATTTCTTTCAGTATTATAACATTAAGAATATAAGAAATAATATCATTAAAAAGAAATTGTCATGTTCATAAGGTGTATTTTTAAAGTTTCAAATTAGATAAAATATATAACAGTTAAATTAATAACACAATGATATCATAGAATATTAATGCAATTTGATTTGATTTTAAATGGTTTAATAAAATAAAAATCAAATTAAATTGTTTTCAAAGCGGTTTATTAAATTATAAACCGCATCAAACCGTTTAAAATGATAAACTATTTAAACGCGATGGTTTGTTACAGTTTAGTTTGATTTTACGGTTTAAACTATTTAATGCTCACCCTATTCAACCATATAAATAAAAATAGTCTAATTTGGGATCAACGAGAATTTTACTTCAGTTGATCGAAATGTGCAAAATATCCTCTTTGTATAATGCGAGCAAAATTCATCGTATCAAACATACTGAGAGCATTATAGACACGTCGATCTTTACAATAAAAATTGTACCAATCCCAAATTGAGTCATTTAACATGATTCTAACAAAATATGGTTAATGTTTTTTTTATATAAATAGAAAAATAAAACAAATCCTACACATTTGAATAATTTGACACAAATTTTTTCAAAAAAATATATATATATATATATATGTCGACATATATTTCTTTTTTATATATAAAATTATTGGTGGAACACTTATTGTTTTTTTTTTCGAGGATATTGAATTTTTTTCAATATTTTCCTAGCCCTAATATATCATGTACATTTTCCCTTTTACTTGGTTAAATATATATATTTTTATGTATCTCAACAAGGTCTTTTCAATTATAGAAATTAACAATTCTTTGAAAAAAAAAAAAAGGAAGATTTACTTCCTTTATAATAATTTATTATTTTTTTCTAGAACCAAAATATGATTCTTTTTTTATTAAATTAACAAAAAAACAATGGTGACATTTTAATAATTTCTAAATTACCAAAAAAGTAAGGCAAGTATGGCTAAAATTAATTATTTTAATAGCTATTATCAACAAAAAAAAAAAGTTTCATAATTTGCTCTATTTGATAAATTATAAAACGTTAACAACTAATAAAATAATTAATTTAAATTCTAAAATAAAAAATTTGTTGAATAAGTCAAATTTGCAACATTAGTATGAATGCTCCAACATTAAATAATATTCTTACTTTAGTGACAATTCTAAACTTAAAATTAAAAGTTATTGTTGAAAAGGGGTCTATGTTATTAAATATTTTAATTTATCTATTTTTAAAAAATTTAAAACACTAGAAAACTTTAAGTTAGCAATTTTTTTTTTCAAATGATGACTTTCCTAAAATAAAAAAGTCAATATTAAAAAATGAATAAAGAAAGTTCAAAAATTTTTTGAGGAGTTCCAATTTCGACATCATTTTCCAAAATTTCAAATAAATGATAAAATTATAACTGAACTTTCTACCCAAAAAAAAAAAAAAAAAAAAAAAAAAAAAAAAAAAAAATTTTTTTTTTTCAAATGGATGACTTTCCAAAATAAAAAATCAATATAAAAAATGAATTAAAGAAAGGTTCAAAATTTTTTTGAGGGAGTTCAATTCTCGACATCATTTTCCAAATTTTCAAATAAATTGATAAAATATATAACTGAACTTTCTACCCAAAAAAAAAAAAAAAAAAAAAAAAAAAAAAAAAAAAAAAACAGCGAACCACGATGATCCAGAATTTAAATTATGTTAATTTCCATTTTTTAAATTTATATTTTTAACAACTTAAATGGAGTTGATTTAGTAAAGTAAGATTGGAGTGTGAGAAAATTAAATTTTTATTAAAAACAATAATTTAAAAATAAAAAAAAAAAAAAAAAAAAAAAAAAAAAAAAAAAAAACAGAACCACGATGATCCAGAATTAAATTATGTAATTCCATTTAAAATTATATTTTTAACAACCTTAAATGAGTGATTTAGGAAAGTAAGATTGGAGTGTGAGAAAATTAAATTCTTATAAAAACAATAATAAAATTATATTAATATTCTTAATTGCCTTCTTTAAAGAAAATAGAAGACGATTATTGCTGTCCAGTGTGATAATTTAATATTCTTTAAATTATTTTTCTAAAAGTTTCCTAAAAAATGTAATTTTCTTTAGGAAAGTTGAATCTTAGTAACTAGATGCTCCGTAGTTCACACGTAAAGATGAATAACAAGTATTTTAGTTTAGGTTAATATTAATTATTAATCAAGAAAACAAAATCATTTCCCATGAGTTTATTAGATTTCGTATGATGAAAGTTGAAACAAATCATTCATTGATTTAATCGTATCCAACAAGATTCAATTTTAATTTAACGTCAAATTAGGATAAATTTTTATTTTGAGCCCTCTATAATGTCAATTTTAAAATAAATTTTAAATTGTTTTTAAAATTCAAAACGTTAAATATAAAAAAAAAAAAATGAGAACCGCTTTTTTTAGACATTTTTTATTCTAAAATATAAAAATATATTTACTTTTATGAAATTCGAATGATATTTTTTTAGTTAACAATAAATTGGGCTCGAATGATCTTAACATTAAACTATTGTCCTAATTTGCAATAAGCTTAAAATTACATTTAATTAAACATAATTGAGTCAATTATCAAATTAAACTTTGACTCGATTTTATTTTTTAATATAGAAATTGAAATGTATAATTTTCAAAATTAGATGTCATGGGTTAGCTTCACAGCCTACGACACCCGTTTAGCGCCTAGATTCCACTTATAATATAGGTCGGTCACGTATCTTCTAAGGGTTTTAGCATGTTATCCGACTATAAAGCCTCGGTTACATTCGATGATGAGTTCAAGCCCTTTGGACATACCAAGCGGCATAGAATTGTCTATGTCGAAATATTCACTTACGGATAAATGCACACTATAAATTTTTGACTATACAGTGTTCATAGAGTTTCTCCATAAAGAGACATTATGTTCTCATCTTTTACCTAATTAGTCTTTTTTTTTTAATTATACGAAGAGTGAAATTTTTTTCATCAATTCAGTGAGCGAATAGAATTACTAATCATTCTATTCTTATTTTGGAACTGACTTGTTATTTTGGTGTATTGGCTATTTTAAATATTTTAAAATTAGTATTTTTTTTTTGTTGAGAATTAAAATTAGTATAATTGATAAATAGATTATTATTAAATAATTTTTTAATTGTGATTTTCCTAATCTTAACAAGGACCTCAAGTAAAGCATGGACCGAGGGCACGATAAAAACAATTAAATTTTATTTTTATTTTTCCGCATAGTTTCTTCTGAGAACATAGCCACCTCCCATTAAAAACTTTGACTACTTCTTCATTCCTTTCTCGCCATTTCCGTCGCCTCGCCGCCACCTTCTTCTGCCTCACTACTTACATCGCCAATCGAGACGGAAGCCGCCACCACTAGCGTTACCGCCACTGATTAAGCAATTCAATTTATGTTGTAAAACAAGACGACATCTGAAGGAAGTCTTTAAAGTAAGGAGAGTCATCTGGAGCGACACTCACATCCGATCTACCTTTTGTGGCGGGAATAACTTACTGCGGAGTCACCGGCAGCAGGCAAAATGCTTTCTCTCTCTCTTGATTTTTTTTTTTTTATCTCCGTTTTTCTTTTTCTCTTGTTTTGTTGGTTTTCAAGTGCCTAAACCGTCAAATACAACCTATTTTTGAATTGTTTATTCCTTTGTATAAGTTAGCTAGTGCTTGTATAGGTTTAATAGCCATGAACTGGATTCAGCGCAAGATCTATCTCTATAATGTCACTTTTGGTCTCTTTATGTTGGATTGGTGGGAGCGTTACCTTTTCAGTATCCTTTTCCATCTGTTTGTTTCTCGGCATACTTGCATTTGGGTTTTAGATTTCTCTTTCAGAAGATGTTGAGTTTTGAAATATTGCGCATTTGAGTTCCTAAACTTGGGCAGACACTTTGGTGCTTGTGTTGATGTGGTTCATTTTCTACAACGGGTCACGCAATTTGGCTGAGCTCTGCAAGAGGTAGCAGTGTTACTTTAGTTTTACTAATTGGTGTAACTTGATTGTTATAACTCACAGTATATTTTACTAATTTCAGAGATTTGTTGCTAGGCATATAGATTGGGTTGTTCAATATAGGACTTGAACACCTGTGGCTCTCTTACATGTTATTAATGTCCTCTTTTTTGTTATTTGTTCAGTCATTTAGCTGAAGTTGGAATCGAGTTGCTGATTAGAATCTTAAATTCTGCAATTTTCTTGTTTGGGGTGTAATGCGGTGAAAGAATGAAATATTCCAATATTGTTATGCTTATATTCTGGAATGGAGGTAGGTAATAGAAAAATGATAAAACCACCCTTGGCTAGCTTTATCAGCAAATGAATAGTATAATAGGAAAAGTTCAATTAGACCTCATCTTTCCTTGTATATCTATATCAATTCTGACATTTGTTTTTCCCCATCAAAGGTATTGCTATCTTCCATATGAATGCTTTGGTGAGAAATTATGCAAGTAGCCAATATGCCTAAACTTTAGATAGTATTCCCTTTTTTTTTTTTTTTCTTTTTTTCTCTCATGGAGATTCACTTAAAAGGAGTATCATATCTTGCAAATTCGAATTTGTCCTTGTAGCAAAATCTCCACTCCGGGGCTCTAGCCTTTAGGCATTAAGCATTCCTTATAATTGCTTGGACTGGTCTGTTTAATTTGGGGCAATAGTAATGTACCTGCACATGGTTTTTCAGCATTAGAATTTCCCCTTTGCCTTAGTCCTCTCAACAACGCATGATTAATCTGTGTGCTCACTGAATATGGGCTTTTAGTTGTTCATATTGTTAAGCATTACTAGGATTATTGTTAAGCATTACTAGGATCAAGCGATCTCATTTGTTCTTAGAAGTGTTATTTACGATATCTTTTGTCACTATGTAGATTTAGCTGGTTCCATAATGTCCCTACTAATATGCTTCTTTTCTCTTTATATTTTGTTGCTGTCAAAAAGCTTCTTTCTCTTTTCTTTTTGCTCAAATTCGCAACAACTCTTTTTGGGACCTTCTACAGCTGCATAAACTGAAATTTGTCCATTATTATTTCTGGATCTTCAATTCCTATGTTTTGCACACAAGACAGTAGCAGCCATTCAAAAAGGGGATGCTACTTTATGCCCTTAATCTAATGTATTATTGTATGAGAAAAAATATTACGGCCTAATTTTTGTTTAATTTTCAGGCATCTATGGTGAAGCTCAGATATCAGCTCTAGTAGCAATTTGAATGATCACAGTTGTTATGGTGGTATAGAATATTTAAGTTGGCTTGAAGATATCCCATTTGATTCCATCTGGATGATACTGTACACCTTGTAATGGTCATCATACCTTATTATATTCTCTTTACCAATATCCTTGTCCTCACTTGAGACAATTTGTGTTGTAGTAAATTTTCAAACATTTCTACTCAATTGTGATTTGCAATATTTTGAAATTTCCACTTTTCTCTGGTTGCTGATAATGTCCTTGCATAACAATAAAACGCCTGGGGTAAAGAAAAAAAATGTCTTTATGGGAACGGTATCCATTCTTCAACGGTGTAAAGGAGACCAATGATGATCGTTGGTTGTAGTGGACTATGGACAGGTAATTGTTTCTGACATTTCTTTTATGTTGTATTTGAATTCATGAGTTTGGTTACAAGTTTGAAATTGCTCATTCTTTGGCTTAGCAAAATTTATACGGTCATTTTTTATAGCCTTAAACCAAAATGGCAAAAGGGAAACGGTAATTGCTCATAGGATTTGTTACTCGGTGGTTTTAGAAGAGCTAAAAAATAATTTTGCAAGCAAGGACACGTTTTTAAGCCAGCCAACTAGTAACAAGCCCCGACCCTTTAATGGCCATTTTGGTGACAGTCTCAGCTCCATACTCTGCTTGATTAAAAGCTGCTTGACCAATACTTAAGATGTAAAAGATTTTACAACTTTAAATGAATGATTATAACAAGATCATTGGAGATAACACATGTAAAACCAGATCGTAATATACAGTTCCTTTAGAAACTTGGCGCATTTCTTGAAAGAGTAGCTTCGCTGCTTCAGATTTATGGTTATCAATCGCAACAATAATTATAGGCCAATTGCACAATATAACTCTTTTTATTTCAGGTGAAAAACATTGTGGCATCTAATTTTTATTTTGATCTATTAAACATGTTGATTTATAAAATTGCATTTGTTAAATACTTCAATTTACAAAATTTTTCTATCATATATTTCAACTTATAAAATTAGATTGATTAAACATTTATAAATAATTAAAAATTGTGAAAATCATTATTTAAAAAATTATAGTAATTACATATTAAATTAATATTTTATATTTTACATATAAAAGTTAAATATATTAAAAAACTGTTGTTGCTAGTGAAGAGATGTAGAATGTTATTAAATTTCATAAATTTATGGATCAAAAAGATCCTCCTAAAATTTAGGATGCACAATATAAAATACGTCAGTGAATTTATATATTTAGTGGTAATTATAAAATTAAAAATTTATTTCTAGAATCTTTCTACGTGACTTTCCAAAGCTTTGATCCATATATCCTTATATGTAAAATGAATTAGATGGATGTATATATATATGTAAAAGAATTATATGGATGGATATTTGACTACGTTCCAAAAAATTAAAAGAACGTCCCTATCTTTTTCCTGTTAAGTTCATACGTGCTAAATGGTAAAGTTAGCCTTGAAAATACGTTCCTCTACTGTTTTAATGCTTTCCTCTAAAGCATTTATTTTCTATTTTAAAGTTCTGAACTTACTTTTCTTTTTATCAATTAAGGTCGGAGTGGACAATTTTTTTAATTGAATCCATTTTGCCAGGATGAACTTTTTATTGGAAAATTAAAATAAATAATTTTATTCAATAAAAACAATTTTTATCTTATAATGGGGAAAAATAAAAAAAAGAAAGGATGACTTTTTTAACAGGACAGGGATAAAATCACACAAAGAAAGTCTCTACCGGTTTTCAACCATCCAGAACAAATGAGCTATAATCTTACAATCTTTTTATAAATTGGAAAAAAATAATAAAATTTGAAGTTAATTTCACTGGCTGTCTCTGTCATATTTTATTATGTTTAAATTTCAATTTATCACTTAAAAATTATAAAATTCTATGTATGACTGATAGACGACATGTAAACCAATTTTATATAAATAAAATAAGCCTTTCTTTCTCTTTCAGCTTGACATATTCTCTATCACACCTTTTCCGATATAATAATGTGTAAAATTTATATTAAAAAAATTTGTTTATTTGTATTAAATTACATTAGATTACATACTCAAAAAAAAAAAAAAAAAAAAAACGATTATTAATAATGTGTAAAAATTTATATTTAAAAAAATTGGTTTATTTGTTATTAAAATTACATTAGATACAATACTCAAAAAAAAAAAAAAAAAAAAAGGAAAGGGTTACGGTGTTAAAAAAAAAAAAAAAAAAAAAAAAAGAAAGGGATTACGGTTTAATTAGATCTCGATAATCAATTACGGAGAGCGAGCCCATTTGCGGTGCCAATGTTAAAAGTTTAAACCAACTTATGAGATTAATCTTAACGCTTTTACTCGGCGAGTCCGCAAGCAGCCAGCCCAGCAGGGATAGCTACAGTAGCTCGAATCATTTATGCCTATAAGAAACAAGGAGAGGCACTGAGGCAGTATTGTTTCGTACAGTACTCAGTAACCAGTAATCTCTTTCAGGTGACTCTTAGCTCAATTATATTGAAACGGAAAAGGAACGCTGCACTCTGTCTGAGATCTTTGTAATTACGAGCACCACCGAAAATGGATACAGCCGGTCAGTCCCTCGACTCTTCTTTCTCTCATTTCATAGCTTTTCGAGCTAAATCCTAACCTTTGCTTGTATAGCGGTTATCCGATTTGTGTCTCTCTCAACAGTCAATTTATTTTCTCAAGTACTCTATCCTCTGTTTGGTTGCTTAGGAAATCCGAGAAAATAATTTATTTATATGAGCTTAACTTGTACAGCAGATGTTTATGAGATTCGATTTTTTTTTTAAATTTACAAATGAAAAAGTTAATAATGAATATAATAAACAGATTCAACCCGAAATCACTGGCCCTATTATATGTTATTGAATTTATATTATTCTTTACTAACCAGTAACTGTAACGGTAGATTGCCTAGATTGTAGTAAAAAGAAATGTAAATAATATGCTTAAGAAATGGCAGCTTTTTTTTTTTTTCTTTATTAGTTTTTGTTTAGCTTTCTTACTTTTCTGTTGAATTAATCTTAGCATTGTAATTGGAATAATTTCTCTTGGCTATCTTAGTTTTCAGCTTAAGAATTTTCATATTACATTGATTTGTTTATACTTCCACTTAATTGATCTCTCAAATGATAAAACAATCAGGAGGGAATCCTCAAGATGTTGTCGTGCCGCCAGTTGAAGGTGTTGCTGGTGGAGGAACAGCGTATGGATGGAACGATGGAGGCTTGCATGGTTCAAATCCACTGAGGGGATCAATTGACCCCTCAGAGGTTCCAACTGCTGATTTGGTGCATGTGTGGTGCATGCCAAGTACTGCGAATGTTGGATCACAAGAGATGCCTAGACATTTGGAGCCTGTAAGGCTGACTGTTACTTAGATTGTCACTTTTCTAATTTTGCATTGAGCATGTTCTTCAGCTATATTCTTGCTAATTTAAATAAGCAAGATCTTCACATAATGGATCATTGACATGCCCTAGAGATTTGGACTTAGATGCTTACACCAACTAATAGCTCATGTAGTAAGTTAGAGGTTCCTATAGATCAACACTCGTTCATTGTCTGCAAACCATGCAAATGTATAATTATGTGTATACCGTTTTCTGCATGCTTGATGTTTCATGCACATATTTTGATGGTCGTTAAATAATTAGATAGTTGGTTTTGGATGATATAGTTTTGGCTTCTGCGTTCTAATATCAGTTCTATTTGCAGGTAAATCTCCTTGCTGCTAGGAATGAGAGAGAAAGTGTTCAAATTGCTATACGCCCAAAAGTTTCTTGGAGTAGTTCTGGTAATGCAGGTATTGTGCAGGTTCAATGTACTGACTTAACCTCCACATCTGGTGATCGGTGAGCTTTTTGAAGCTATGCCTTCTTTTCACAGTTTGATTGTGTACTCTTCTTGTTCATATTTTATGACGTTGTCTGTTGGCAGGTTAGTTGTTGGACAATCAGTGGCATTAAGAAGAGTAGTTCCGATATTAGGTGTTCCAGATGCTCTTGTGCCTTTTGAACATCCAGTTGGTCAGCTAAACCTGCTTCCTGGGTATTGTCTCTTGTATTCATTTCATAGCACTTACTTCAATGTGATTTGACCGAATTCCAGTTAATTTCTTGTCATCTGAGAATGAGGTGGTTATTGTTACCTCTGCTGCAGAGAAACAAGTGCAGTTTGGGTTTCAATAGATGTTCCAAGTGTACAACCTCCAGGTCAATACGAAGGGGAGTTTGTCATTACTGCTATAAAATCCGAGGCAGAGTAATACCTGTTTCCTTTTTGCTAAAATTGCTAGATTTATGTGGTTGCATTTTTAGTCTATAAAGCTACACTAGCAATAGTGTTAACATGGAATTTTATGAGTCCAATTGTGAATATGATTCTGTTGGACATATAGTTGACGACCATAATTCATCGGTTCATAGTAGGTATAGATCACAGTGCTTGAGCAAAGCTGAGAAATATCGACTATACATGGAACTCAGGAACTGTCTTGACACGGTGGAGCCTATTGAAGGAAAATCATTGAATGAAGTGGTAAACATCTGAGCTGGTCTCTCTTCTTATTCATTTTTCCTCCTTATTCTCATTATTGTTTGGTCCAAAACACGGTAGTTAAAAGTTTCTCATGTAAGCATTTCTTTTTTAGGTAGAAAGTGTGAAATCTGCAACTTCATCTTTGAGAAGAGTTCTTCTGTCTCCCTCCTTTTCTGAGTTTGTTTCAGATAACGGGCCAGTCGATGTGATGGATGAAGATGCTATTTCAAGCCTCTCAGTTCGTATAAAGCTAAATTTAACCGTGTGGGACTTTATACTTCCTGCAACTCCGTCGCTTCCTGCTGTATTTGGAGTATCCTTAAATATTTGTAGAGGTTGAAATTGGTTATGTTCTTTGAAGGCTTTTAATACAAATTTGGTGGCATTTGGTAAAACTGAATTAAATTCTGCAAACTAAGAGCTGAATTTTAAGTGGTGAGTGATCCAAGTGCTGAAATTCTTAAATTTTTAAATTATTTAAAAGCCTACTGCCGTTTTGTTTTCACTTTAAATTTTAAGTTAATAATTTTGACTTCTCATTTTAAATGGGTTTAAACTTAGTTTAGACTTTTAATTTATATGGAAATAAACATTAATAGGGACATGGACTACTAGAGCTAGCAAAGTTACAAGTGTGTCGAACTGTTATTCTTGGCTGAAATTATGCTAGCTTATGATAGAAAGTGTGTTGAATATATCTGAAGTCAAAGGGCCAAGTTCATTTCATAGTGATGGAGGATGTTCCCTTTGATGTATTCTAGCATTTGATGCTTTTTAATGTACATAAGGATGATAACAACTGTAGCAAAAAAATGCATGAGAAAGAGATTAGTGGAAGCTATGTTTCAAGACTTAATATATGATGCATAATCTCTATGCATGATGTGTTACTTGCAGCTGGAATGCAAAAAAAATTGTCTGCTTCTTTAACCATACTTTAGATATCAGATACTGTAATTGAGGATCGTTTTGGTGTTGAACATGGAAGTGATGAATGGTATGAAGCCTTGGATCAGCATTTCAAGTGGCTTCTCCAGTTTAGAATCAGTCCATACTTTTGCAGATGGGGAGATAGCATGCGTGTTTTGACATACACCTGTCCATGGCCAGGTAACTGAATGAGGAAAACAAAGAGTTGCAGCATGGTTTTTATGAGGCTTCCAGAAATGCTTATGGTTCCTTGTTTTGGCATTTTAATGTGTATTTTCAATTGCGGAGTTAAATATCAAACAAATAGTTTCTGAATCTGTTCTTCTGTTTGATATTGCAGCTGATCATCCGAAATCAGACGAATTTTTGTCAGACTCAAGATTGGCAGCATATGCTGTACCATACATTCGAGCAGTCTCCGGGTATACAATCAGTTGTCCACGCTCGCTTGTCAGGTATATTAACATTTAAAACTGATGATCGTCCAACGGCTTTTTGATGTGCAACAGTAATGATGCAGCGAAGGATTACTTGCAGAAAGAGATTGAGTTATTGAGGACAAAATCTCATTGGAAGAAAGCCTATTTTTACTTATGGGATGAGGTAAAAATAATATTTGTAGTCCAATTGGGGTAAACAGTTTTTGTACATTCAAATATACCTATTTCTATCTTGATTGGCTTTTTTCTTTTTTCTAGTCAGTCATTTAAAAAATTAAATAGTATGAAAAAGAGTATCATTTCAAATTGGCAGAACAATTATGCTATTGTATTTCTTGATTATTATACTAGTTGAGAAAACAAGCTAATATGTAACTTAGTCTTGTATCTTTAATTTGCCTGTGGTACCTAGGGATATGCATCAATTCAATTTACGATTAACATTACCTGAAAAGAGTCATCTAAAGAATTTCTTTCATCAATCTTTGTGACTGTGATGGCGTGGAAGAATAAATGTTTCATTTTTTTTGCGACATCTTTGCAATAACATTACATAATTTTTAATCAATCTAATTGTTTACTGTGCATTACATTTCATTATGATGTTCGTCATAACTTATTTCCCTGACGGCAGCCTCTAAATTTGGAGCAATATGATTCAGTCCGCAACATGGCAAGCGAGATCCATGCTTACGCTCCTGATGCCCGTGTTTTAACTACTTATTACTGTGGTATGACTGTCTTCCTGCGTGCTTCATGTATTGGTGGTGTGCTCGACTGTTATTCTATTTTTGCATGGTTATTTTCTTCCATTAGCTTATTATGTTGTTGCTTTCACGCATTTCTTTTCTTTAATGTAGGCCCAAGTGATGCGCCACTTGCTCCAACCCCGTTTGAGGCTTTTGTAAAAGTTCCAAAATTCTTACGCCCTCACACTCAAATTTATTGTACAAGGTATTACTGTAATGCTGTTGATTGCTCTGTTGCATGCCACCTTTTTCTCTTTTTCTAATGTTCGGTCTTTTATTGTCTGCATTCTGGTGGTGTTGAAGAGGAGGATTTAATGCTCTAAATAAATTGTAGCTGTTCAGTTATTTACATAATAGCTCTTTAAATGACTTAATTCTCTTTAAATTTGGAGGAATGGACATTTTTCTAGCCTCATTTGTGCATAAGATTGCTAGTGGAACTGCCTAGTTATAGGTACCTTATTATTGGTTGATAAGTACGTCAGTTGAATTTTATTTTTTTTAGTTGCATAAGGTGATCTAAGAATGTCAATGCTCTTTCAATCAATCTGACACTTTGAAATGCTCTCAAAAATTCTTGTTTCATTCTTTATTTTTTTCCCAGTGAATGGGTGCTTGGTAATCGAGAAGATCTGGTCAAGGATATTATCTCTGAATTGCAACCAGAGAACGGCGAGGTAATAATATGTACTAAAGATTCTTGTCCCTTTTCTGAAGGAAGTTATTCATAATACAACCCTAGCTTTGTCCACAGTGATCCAATGACTGATGTGTTTTGATTATTACCATCTCCCAAAGTGGAGATTTTGATGGATTGTAAGACTACTAGATCTGTGGCGCTGTGTTCTATCATCAGCTCTTCACTTTTAGAGTCTGGTGCTAAGCTATCATAAGCTGATGTTTGTTTGAGCAAAATGATTCAGGTGCTCTAAAATCTTCAGAATTAACCACTATATTGATGATCTTGTTTTTTATATCTAGTGGTCAACAATCACTTTCAACTCTCTTCAGTATACTATTGGTCTTGGAGTTTAATATTTACTCAGTTCAGGAGTAAAATAATTGTTTAATCTAATATGGTGATGGATCCTAATAATTAGTATTGATGTTGGCAAGGACTTTTTTTTTTTTCGGTTTTATAGCTGGGAGTTTAGTTTCTCTAGTCTCATTTCATATTAATTGTGACTTGTGAGAGCTTTAATCCTATAATCCATTCTGATTAAAGTTCCTCAAGGGGAAGTCACATGGTTTAGATGTATTTATTGATTGTTAGCACCATTTATGATTATGCCAAGGGTAGTGAGCTTGCTCCTTTTGCAGGAATGGTGGACATATGTGTGCATGGGACCCTCTGATCCTCACCCTAATTGGCATCTTGGAATGCGAGGTACTCAGCACCGTGCTGTGATGTGGCGTGTATGGAAAGAAGGCGGGACTGGATTTTTATACTGGGGTGCCAACTGCTACGAGAAGGCTACAGTTCCTAGTGCAGAGGTTCTTGAATGGCACTTTTAAATCTCCATTTTTCTTTTTTGTTCTTTGTTTTGCTTTCCTGAAAGTGAATCCTGTGTATGAGCCAGATCAGATTTAGGCGTGGCTTACCCCCAGGTGATGGGGTTCTATTCTATCCTGGCGAGGTTTTCTCATCTTCCCATCAACCTGTTGCTTCACTTAGACTAGAGCGCATTCTCAGTGGCTTGCAGGTGAGGCAAATTATGTAGTCTTTCAATTAATTACAGCAAAACAGTGCATGGCTTGCTAATATTTTACAAGATCTGCTATGCTTAAAGTTCTCATGAAAATGCTGCATTTACACTTCATTTTGTGAAACTGATGCATTTACTCTTTATATGATGAGAACAATATAGTTGTCTTCTTTTTACCTTTCTTTTTACTGCATTTTTTGCCATTATCAACAAATTGTCACGCATCCATAGCTCTGATCTATGTCCATTATGCGCATTTCATATTTTGATGATCCTTACTCCCCGCTTTGCTCTCTTAGGACATTGAGTACCTGAAGCTCTATACTTCAAGATATGGAAGAGATGAAGGGCTTGCTCTGTTAGAGAAGACAGGTGTATATCTAGGTCCCGAACGTTACACTGTGGAGCACATGCCAATTGATGTTATGCGGGGTGAGATTTTCAACACATGCCGACGACCATGAATAATTAGTTACCTTCTCATTGATTCACTTGGTTTTGTAGTTGTATGTTCATGCATAGAAACTTTTTACTGAAAAGAGATAGGTTCATGTTCATGTAATACTTCAGTGAGGCAAAGTAAATGAGAAAAAATGATGGTATTTTCCGAGACTATGCACTTGTACATCTGGGATTTTGCGCTTCTTATGTGTTCAGGTTACACTCCTTTAGAATTCCCTTCTTATATAATGTTTTTGTATGTCGAATCTGAATACATAGTGGTGTGCTATACAGGCTTCTGTTGGATCAATACATCAGCTGAGCATATTCCTGACCAGTAGTCATTCATTAAGCAGCCTGATTTTTTTAAAAAACGAAATGAAATATCCCTTACAAGAGTTAAAATTACGAGGATTGTCTCTATAGATGATCTGGGAGCGGGTCATCGCACACGGCTCTTGTACTGCTATTTATTTTTTGTTACATAATTTACTTGGATTGAATTATTAATTTGAATCATCAGGATAGTTTTAACTTATCTTAGTTTTCACATAATTCATAACTTCTTTTTACAAAAAAATATCTAAGATGTATAAATATTAATTTATAAGGTTCAATTTGCCCCATGAACTTAGAAACAACAAAAATCAATTTGTTGTGCAATTTACCGTCTAAAGTTTGCATCAAAAGAATAAAAAGGCTCATTTTTTTAAAAAAATAATTTTTAATGTTTTAATTAATTGAACTTATTTAAAAATTTTAAAATAAAAAAAATTACAATGATCATAAAAAAAATGACGCTGCAATTAAACAAAATATTTCGTTTGAAAAAAGTTAGAAGATCATAAAAATATTTGATTATATTGAATACTTTGCTTGAAAAATATTTTTTACTTTGATAAAATTGGGTTTATTTTACAAAATGGTTTTTTTTTTTTTGTCCTTTTGATGCAAATTCAGGGAATAAATTATATAAAAAGTGAATTTTAGGATAAATTGTACATTGCTTTCAAGTTTAGGGGCAAATTGATACTTATTCTTATAATTGACTATGCAATCCAAATTCTTGATTTGAAAATAAATGGCTTAGGTCAAATGTCATCAAACTAGTTTTATGCAGCCACTTTTCTTTGCCTCGTTTCTGAAATTAGAAAACACATAACTTTATTGCTTTCAATTATTAATAATTAAGCCAGATTTCTCTGCTTTATAGATCTTCCACAGAAGAAAAATAACTATATCTGCTATAAAACTACACATTAGAATTAAATTAATATTGGTCAGAAAAAAAAAAAAAAGAACGAAAGAAATTAGTTAAGCTAGACAAAATGGAAGGAATTAAAGGTGTAAAAGTAACAGCAATTGGTATGGTTGTGATAATTTTAATGATTTTACCAGGGCAAGTAAAAGCAATTGATAAGTGCTTTCCAGGGTGTTTTTTTGGTTGCCTAACTGCTATAGAAAAGATAAATCCTGATGGTCTGATCAAGAATTTAATCCCTTGTGTCCAAACATGCCTGAAGGAGTGCCTTCTTCATTCTACTTCTTCTGGGTTTTACTATTGTAATCTGGGTTGCTCAATTGATTCTTGCATCACCAATGAAATTGGTGGTAAATATATATATATAATCTAATTTTAGCACCTTTTTTTTTTAAATTTTTTGTTATTTTGTTGAATAGAATTCCAGTGAATCTAATTAGAATTTTAATTTTGCAGATGTAGTGAAAATGGAAAGTTGTGTCAAAAACTGTTCGACCAATTCCTGCAATGGTTTCAAAGGAAAATAAGAAAACGAAGAAGAACGGGACATGGAATCATTGGCTTATGGAAGTCAGTATTTTAATGAAACATGTATCCTTAAGATAAATAAAGAAATAAAATATTTTTTACCATGCAAGTGTTTATTGCTTTTTAATTAGCCCCAATTTAACTTTTGTTTATTAAGCATTACACTATTTATACGGTTGTTATTCAAGAGCCGGTGTTGTTTATTTGAAGTTTATTATGTCTATTTTCATAAAATAACTTATAATAAAATATTTTCTAGTCAATGAGATCAGTAAAATTTAAATATTTAAGTATTTGATCCCTCAATTTAAACCTTAGTTTTACTCCTGTCACTAGCCACCGACTTTCATAATTTATCTATTTTTTTTACATTTTTCTTAAACTTAAAAATCAAAATTTTAAAATATAAAATTTAATTATTATAAATATTTTTATGTTTTTATTAATTAAATATTTTAATATTTTTAATATTGTAACCACAATGGGAAATTAAATTATTTGAAAAGATGATTATTTTTTAAAACAGTTTTTAAACATTTTCAAGTCTCCTTGCTATCGAGAGAACAAAAGATGATTAAAATGGGCGTCACAGGCTCGCGTGGAACGGATGTGAGATGGCCTTCTTATGCATATAATATATTAGGAGAATCAAATGGAGGCCCTCAAAAATGGATAACAAATATATCTTATTCAAGTCTTGAAGCAATCAGTTATACTAAGAACTTCTGATTCCGATTAAAAGTTGATCAACGATAGAAGGAGGGGGAACAGACTCCCAGACTCCAAGGAATGTGACCCAGTTGCCAGCAAATGAGCAACCGCATTCGCATACCTATACACAAAAGGCATTCAATATTGCCAATTTCATTAATTAATGAGCAAACGATTTTTTTTTTTATTCTACATATAGATTGATAATGCAACTTAATTTTGTAGCAACTCTCATTTCAATTCACTATCAAAATGTTGTATTTATAGATAAGTAGAAGAGTCCTAAGGTTAGCATATACCATTAGGATAACCACAAATTTAATAAAGCTTATGACTAAATTAGTTGTCTTCCCACTTAAAGATATGCTATTTAATTTTCAAACATATATTAATTGTTTAAAATAAGTAAGTTAATATTAAAATTTGGTATAATATTAATTGTTTTACAATTTGTAATTTAAAATTTAAATTTAAATACTCTCTCCGTCCTAAAATATAAGTCGATTAAGAAATCAATTAATTCTCCTAGATTATAATAAAACTAAAACTAAGTTATGTATAATTATTCTGGAAAAAAATACTATTACAAATAAATGAATAACTCTTTTAAGAGTTTAGAAAATCTCGAGATTCATTATCAATAGTTTTCGATACACTCAACCCAACCGGAGATAGTTAAATAAAAAAATCCGATACCGATAGAAAATGAATTTCTGCATTCAGCCATGCCAACTTAGATGCTAGTTTCAATGTCCTACTTATTACAACGATTGAGCAGTTGATGATCAAGGAGTGTTCCTAATTACAAGTAGAGCACTTGTCGAAGCTCACAGACAAATAAGAAGCGATTTAATCAAAAAATGATCAAATCCCAAAAGATCAATGTTTGTGAGAAACATCTCTTTTTTGCCTCTCTTGTTTTGAGTCTGTAGTCCTTTTAGCCTCCACTTGATGCCCAGTTCGCTCCCTACAATTCTAATGCTGTCAACTGAGCACATGTGTGTTCTCAATGCATTTTGTTGAATTTCAGAACTCCTTTCAATAAACATCTCATGATTTTTTTTTTTTTTTATTATTCTACATATAGACTGATAATACAACTTAATTTGTAGCTACTTTTGATTCAATTCATTGTCAAAATGTTGTATTTATAGATAAGTAGATGAGTCTTAAGATTTAATAAAATTATTAGTCTGTACCATTAGGATAAGCACAAATTTAACTATACTGCGACAAATTCCGTTGTCTTCCCAATTAAGGACGTGCGGCATTTAAAGAGGAAAGTTACCATTACTGCGTAGTTCATAAGGTTATTTCGGTCCATTGAGCTTTCTATATATCATAAAAAAAAAAGATTGCATATATAATTTCAAGTTCCAACTATGACTTCGTATAGGTAAACACGAATTTAAGGAGATTTAATGTTTTAAATCATTTAAAATGAGTAAGGTAATATTAGGATTTGGTATTATATTAATTTTCTTGTAATTTTTAATTTAAAATTCAAATTTAAATATTCTCTCCGTCTCAAAATATAAATAATTTAAGATTTTTTTTTCTTGAGGATTAAAGAAATAATTAATTTCCCTATATTATTACAAAACTTAGATAACTTGTGAATATAATTATTCTATCTAACATAAATAACAGTAGATTTTCTTAAAAGATTTAAAATGACTTATATAATTATTATTTAGTTAATACACTAATTAACAAGAAGAATATTTCCTCAAAAAAAAAATGAAGAATATAAAAATACTCTACGCCATTTATTTGTACAATAAATAATTATTTGCACAATAAATAATTATTACAAGACCGAGATAACTTGCCTTGCTTTACTTGTTGCTAACTTTGTATTTTGAATTTAATCGCAAGTTCTAAAAAATGCAAGTAAATCTGGAAACAAAGCTCTTACAACTAACTTTTTAATAGCTTACCAAAATGTGGGATTCATTACCAAAAAAGGTTTCATAATTGACCTATAAATTCTGGGATTGAAAGTGCAAAATAGCAAATACAAATTTAAGAGGCAAAAAAACTAGAATAAAGAATCAAATACAGATATAGGAGCTATGGATAGAGGTTTTAAGGAAGTTGTGGTACTGATGATATTGATAGTAGCAAGTCTTATGGTTATGGTGTCTGCATCAGATGAACCCTCTCCATCCCCAAGCCGGGGACGGAGATTGAAACACTTTCTTTGTAGTGTAAAATGTGCATGGGAATGCCATGCATCTCTGCATCACTTCCCTGTGCTTTGTATGACTAAATGTGTCCTCAAATGCTTGGAATCATCTCCACCTGCACCTGATTCTTTTCTTTCCAGTTGTACTCTAGATTGTGCAGAGTCCACCTCCTCTAAGGCTTTTCCTGGTATATAAAATCTATCTACTATTCTTTTCTTAGTCTTGCTTAACTTTTTTTTGCTTCGTTTAGCAAAACTATATATATAATTCTAATCCCATATATTCTTTTTTTTTTTTTTTTTTTTTTTTTTTTTTTTTTTTTTTTTTTTTTTTTTGATTTTTTTTTTTTTTTTTTTTTTTTTGAATGTGGCAGATGAAAAAGAGTTGGAAAGCTATGGGGCCTTGGAACAAGTTGGAAGCTTTGTAGGTTCCTGTTATGATAACTGCAAGGAGAAGGAAAATTAGAACTTCGCTGATAACAAAATGATAATGGTTCAACATCTTTTAAGTATAGTATGATGTGATGTCTCTTTACCTTTTACAAGTATGTAGAGACTGATAGATATATTTTAGTTTCAGTCCTCTCAATCAATAAAAAGGATTTTGCTAATTTGATAGGTGTTTTTTTTTTCCCCTTTTTAATCAATTGGGAAGTCGAAAACTGATTTTATAATTTAATATAGAATTCAAATTTTGATTTACCCTTTTTAAAGATTTAGCTTAATAAATTTCTACTTATTTGAAAATTAAGTTGAAAGGATAAGAATAAGTTTTAATTTTAAACTTTAAAGCCATAAGTGAGACCTTTCCTATACTTTCACTTGGGCAATAAATATCTAATCGCACTTAAAAATAAAAGAACACAATTGACTATTAAATATTTATTAAAATAATATTTTAAATTTTTTACACTTATTTATCATATTTTTTTTTCTTCAAGTTATCATCATATTCTCCAAATTTCTCGTTTTATGCAAGTTTTTTTCTCCTTAATAATCGGTATAAAAACTTAAATTAAAATAAAATAATTTACTTTGTGATTGAAATATCTTTCTTATTTTTTTTTTAACATAATCAAGACCTAATTTACTTAGAGTGCAATTACAAGATAAGGTTAAAATTGAAATAAAATTGGATATTAGCTATTTAAAGCAAATTTCAATATTAGCTAAATCAGTTTGGATTAACAGGGTTTTTAATTTTTGTTTTTTGATAGGAAAAGAGGATTCGAACTTGGATATATTTTCAAATCGTATATGCACCCATTAGACTATGTCTTGGTGTACCAAATTTTCATTTATTTAATTTCATTAACTTTTATAAATATTTTTAATTTATCAAGAATTAGTTATGTACCCTATATTGGTGAAGTTATTTATGAAAAATAATGCTGAAGATAAAATAACTAGTAAAATAACTTTAAATATGAAAAAAAATATATAATTATAACTAACTCATAACAATTATTAAAATATGCACAATATGTAGTAGCACACTTCCTTTGAATTAATAATAAAAAATGATTTTCACAATTAAAAATGCCAATTATATGCCTAATACGTATTATCATTTTGAAATTTATTTCAAATTTGCTAATTGAATAATTAATGTTAAATTTTTGCATAAGATATTTTCTAAACAATACATTTGATTCAAAATTTTGAAGTTTATCATCTCAAATGAACCAATAAATTCATGTATAATTAATTAATACATAAATAAATATATTGAAGTTTACCAAAATAAATAAAATACATTGTATATTGTAGCAATTTTTAGTTACAATCAAATCAAGAAATTTGATTAGGTTGTGATTTCCTTGTATATATATATATATATATATTGTGATTTCCTTGGTATTATATATTATATATATATATATGATTTTATATATATATATATATATATTTCTTTTTCAATCTTTACATATTTAGATAGTATTATCTAAAATAACTTATAAATTTAACGTGATATAATATTACTTTAATCGTGCATGAATCATGAATTGATTTACCCAATAATATAAATACCACCAAGATACAATATTTTATAGCCAAGAAGAGGTCTAGCAATCTTATTTACATATATTGAGGTTAAAAAATAATTTTTGCTATCAAACATACGAGAAAGAAAATAATGGAGAGAAAAATTTTGTCATTTGTTTTGATGTGTTTGGTGATCGGAATGCTTGTAAGGCAGCCAATGGCGAAATTTGACAAAACGAGATTCACTTATTGCCTTGAAAATTGTTTAATTGATTGTGTAGTTGCAGGTCCATGGTTTAATTCTTGCCCTCCTAGATGTGTTCTTAAGTGTCTAATACACCCACCTGCACTTCCTTCACCTCCATCTCCACCACATGCACGAAAAATCGTTAACGCTGAAAATATCCAAAATCAAATCCAGATCCAAAGCCACATTCTACAATTTTGCACAATTGGCTGTGCTACTTCGAAGTGCTCCGATCTCATCTCTAAAGATAATTATCGTAAGTATATATTTCTCTTTCTTTTCTATTTGTATCCTTTTGTTTTCTTGAAAAATTAATATAATAATTTGACTCATAATTAATTTGTTTCTTTTTATGTTTTTTTGCCTAAGGTCTGGATGAAGTTGCAGCGTGCATTGATAATTGTTCAAAAGGATGCGAAAAGAATTAAATGCCTCTTTAATTTTATTTTTGTTTTGCTTTTTATTTCAATTTTAGATTACTTTCTATTTAATAGTGTTACAAACACATTTTTAATTTGGAAGAATTAATAAATAAAGAGTGTTCCTTCAAATTCATTTACTGTTCTAGTTTAAAAAATGATGTTTCTATATTAGTATGCGATGCAATACATTTAAGTGTTATAAATTGTTATAGCATGCTCTTTTAATTAATCTATTAAATAACATGTAATTCTGACTGTAAAAATTTTTTACCGTTTGGGCATCAATAGTTGGAACCTATGCGCACATGGGCCAACAATGGGCTTTCTAGAAGCATACTTCGCCCTTCTGTTGTTTTAAAATGATGCCGTTTTGATTAGAGGGAAAGTTTTTTAAAAGGCAATTTCTGTCTCTTCATTGTAAGAAATTCATTTCCTGACAAAGCATCTATATTTACTTTTGGATATCCCATAATTAGATAATATAAAAAAAGAGTATATATGATTACCAAAATCCATGATATAGTAAGATAAATAAATTAGATCATTTTTCCCTTTAAAAAAAGATATATTAGGTCATTTATCCATTTTTGATGAGTCATTTTAAGTAATGAAGCATTCAAAGAAGTCTACATGAGGATTTTATTATTTTCGAATAAAAAATGGAAACAATATCCGAAATAGAATCTGAAATTCAATGCATTGACAATTTTAATTCTGAAAGAAAACCCTTATTTATATACAACTAATAAATTGTAACAACTTAGAACTCAATCAGAAAATTATTTTCTTACCTTTTAATTCTTTGTATGTTGCTAATAAAAGGTAACTTGTAACAACTTAAAGTTAATTATAGGAAATATATTTATTTACTTACCTTACCTTTTATATAACATGTTACACAATTTCTACAAAGGTATTATACGGTTGGGCTAATACTCTTTTTTGAATACACTTCACCAAATTAGTGATAACATTTGTAGTGAAAAGGGCCCAAACTCGACACTCGACACCTCCACTCCCCACGTTTATTATAAGACAATGAAAAAAATCACCAAAACATATCTAATTACCAAAATAGCTTATTGAACTAACAGAACAACTATAAAAAGCCCACTTGAGGGCAAAGAAGAGCAGCAACTTTACCCTACTAAGTAATTATTTATATTGAAAATAGAGATTTATAGTATGGAGAGAAAGGCTTTGTCAATGGTGATGATGTGTGTGTTGGTGGTGGGAATGTTTAGTGGGCAATCCTTAGCCTTACCTATGAATTTCAAAACTTGCATGAAGGAATGTCTTCTTGGATGTCTTGTTCCGCCATGGACAGAGTTTTGCCCTGCTAAGTGCTTGGCTGAGTGCACTGTGGCCTCTCCTTTGGCGGAACAAAATTCCATCCAGTTTTGCACAGTCGGCTGTGCTTCCTCCTCCTGCTCCAAACTCATCTCTAAAGACAATCCTAGTAATTACCCCTCTCCCTCCATTAATATATATATATGTGTGATAATAATAATTATTATAATAATAACCTTTTAGAACACTAAAATTTTTGTTATTTGTGTTTTTTCAGATCTGGATGCAGCGGAAGGGTGTGCTGATGATTGTTCAGATACATGCACAAAAAATTATGCGCCAAGAAATTGATTAAGATTGTGGTTCAACAAATAAATTAATAATCTTCCTAGACTTTGAATATTTCTATTTTATGTAAGACAAATGAAGTTTAATCTGGGAAGAATAAATAAAACTTTGTCCTTTAGAAATTTAATTGTTTTTGTTTTTCCGTTTAGTATTACTCCCTTCAAACACTTTCATTTATCATTTAAAATTATTATAGGATGACTAAACAAATAATTAAATTTATCTAAATTATAATAAAATACTCTTTAATTTAGTTAAATTATATTTTGTCTCACCTAATTACTTTTATTTCAATAATTTTATCTTTATTAATTTACTGCTAAAATTAAGAGAGAGAAGAAGTCATGAAATGAATTTTAGGAAATTGTAAAAAGTAGGTATTCTGTTTATCTTTAAAAAAAAAAAAAAAAAAATTATTAATTTACTTGCTAAAATTAAGGGAGAGAGAAGAATCATTGAAATTGAATTTTAGGAATGTAAAAAGTGGTATTCTGTTTTTCTTTAATTTTAAAAAAAAAAAAAAAAAACTATCTTTAATCTTTTCGAAATGATAAATAATATTGAATAAAATAACTTCATAAAAATAAGAGATAAAAGTTAAAAAAAAAAAGTAAACATACTATAGGAGAAAAATGATAAGTAGAATGATTATCTAATACTCATCTTTTGAAACCTAATCATATTAATTATATATTTATATCTATGTATCTATATATACACTTAAAGTTTACATATTTATCTATAACATTTACACTTACACTACAGCTTAAACAAAAGATGAAAGAAGTATTGTTTTATTTAATCCATAATGTGAGATAACATTATGTTCTTTAAAAAAAAAATTCAAAAGTAATGAACAACAAAATAAAATAAAATAATGCAATATATAGAGAGTAAAAAAGAGTAGGTTTAACAAAATAAAAAAAATAGGAGGCACAATATATAATTTAAAATATGTAGGTGCAATAAGTAAAAATAAAATGTAAAAACAAATCATATTAGAGGTAAATATATATTTGAGGATGTTAAAAACATTTTGCTAAAAATAATATTTAATTTTGTTTATCCTTACATCACTTTCTTATAATTTATTAGTACTTTTAGGTTTTAATACCTAAGTTTTCATATTCAGCTTTTATTTTTTCAATATGATATCATAATCCATCCCTTTTTACCAATTGCCAAAATTAATGAACTGAAAACAGTAATAATGAAAATTTATTTATTGAATAATTAAGGCAGATGCGAGAGAAAGAGCAGTAGGAATAGGTTCGGAAAGGTAATCGGAAGACAGCAATAATAACTTTTTTTTGTTTTTTACAAAGAAGAATGCTGTCCCATATTGCTTCCATAGAAGTCTTGACATCTTTTTTAATTTAACTTATTAGTATCTCCGAGTGCAAACAACAAGGTAATGAGGTTGGGCTTGGTAAATTGAATTGAAAAATCAACGGCCCGTCACAACCTGCTCTGCTTTAAAAAAAATTCATATAAAGGGCAACCAATGGACACCAAAACACCTGTGAAAGACTTTGGTGTTTTGGTGTGCATTGTCGGTGTTTTGGTGTCCATTGTCCATTGGTTGCCCTCTCCTTCTATTTTCTCTTTCCTGCTTTGTAATATAAAAGGAGTTCTTGCAACTAAAAAATAGCAAGCACAAAGAATTTAAATGAAAATGCCAATCGAAAGGTTAGTATCATTAAATACTGGGTTGTCAAACTTTTTATTGCATCTTCAAGTTATTCAGTATTTCATTCATGGCTAGACAGAGCACACTTGTTTCACTTCTCTATCATTTCAAGCTATCAATCTTTATTACAATTCATGAAAGATTTTTCAAAACTCTTCCAAACTTTTTACCCATTTTGCAATTATTGCTGATTCTATAAAATTTATGCAACTTTGTTTATCCTTATCAATTACAAATATATATAGTTAAATTGAAATGTGCTAAAGCCTTCTAATAATTTATTTATTTCATTTTTCTTTTCAGGGAAAATGTAAATGCAATACATAATATTTTCACCTTCACCGTAGCAAGTTTAATTGGTCTCATTCAAATCAAGCCTTTGGTTGATACAGACAAACACTTTATATTACCAATCTTTCTTGTTGCTCTATTCACATATGGGTTTGGAACTATCTTTCAAGCTTGGAACTCCTTCAATTCAATTAGTAGCAAAGCTGGCTTATTTGCTATTGGATTGGCCATAGTTGCACTTGTATTTATCATTGTTCCAATTTTTGGTTGGATTATTTTAATCTTATGGGCCTCCTTGTTCGTTAAAGTAATATATAATTCACATGAAGAGATCCACCGTTTAATTAGCAAACTACAAGAAAGATTCAACAAGATAATTGAAATAACAAGATTAAAGTAATATATAATTCACATGAAGAGATCCACCGTTTAATTAGCAAACTACAAGAAAGATTCAACAAGATAATTGAAATAACAAGACGTCATATTACAGAAGAGCACGATAATTTACCTGTGTAATTCTTTTTTGAAATAATGTAGCTCTCTAGCTGTATACCGATTGAAAATGTACTATTTGCATAGTTACCATAAAATGGTAAAGAAATAGAATTTTTGGGGGAAAAAATAACCCTTCGCCGTTACATAATAGATCGTCCTCTTAGACTTTCAAATTTTCTATTCTATGTAATGCAAAGATTCTTTCCCTTTCACCAATAAAAAAAACCCTAGCAACCTCAAAATTCAAAAATAAGATCGATCTTCATCTATTTGCATAGTACATAAAATGACACTCATCTTTCAAAGTTCATTAACTTTGAAGTGAACAACTACTAAATATCACAAGAGAGATTCAACAAGATAATTAAAATAACAAGACATCATATTACAGAAGAGCACGATAATTTACCTGTGTAATTCTTTTTTGAAATAATGTAGCTCTCTAGTTGTATATCGATTGAAAATGTGCTATTTGCATAGTTACCATAAAATGGTAAAGAAATAGAATTTTCAGGGGAAAAAATAACCCTCTGCCGTTACATAACAGATCGTCCTCTTGGACTTTCAAATTTTCTATTCTATGTAATGCAAAGATTCTTTCCCTTTCACCAATAAAAAAAACCCTAGCAACCTCAAAATTCAAAAATAAGATCGATCTTCATCTATTTGCATAGTACATAAGATGACACTCATCCTTCAAAGTTCATTAACTTTGAAGTGAACAACTACTAAATATCACAAGAGAGATTCAACAAGATAATTGAAATAACAAGACGTCATATTACAGAAGAGATGACATAACAACCCGACGTTCAATATTACAGAATGTAGCGTTACAGGAGTAACTCTTACCTCTGAATAATTCTTTTTTGAAATAAGTTAAGCTCTTCTAACTTTTTATTACGATTGAAAATGGTGCTTTTGCATAGTTACCATTAAAATTGGTAAAGAAACAGGAATTATTCTCGGTCGTGGGGAGAAAAATAACCCTACGCCGTTTACATAATTAGATATCGGGTCTCTCTTTAGGACTTTCAAACTTTTCTATTCTATTAGATGCAAAGATTCTTTACCCTTCACCAATTACAAAAAAAGACTCATAAGCAATCCTCTCAAACATCTCTATCAAATAATAAGATCGCATCTTCAATCCATTTGCAGTTAGTACATAAGTAGACTACTTTCAAATTTTCTATTCTATGTAATGCAAAGATTCTTTCCCTTTCACCAATAAAAAAAACCCTAGCAACCTCAAAATTCAAAAATAAGATCGATCTTCATCTATTTGCATAGTACATAAGATGACACTCATCCTTCAAAGTTCATTAACTTTGAAGTGAACAACTACTAAATATCACAAGAGAGATTCAACAAGATAATTGAAATAACAAGACGTCATATTACAGAAGAGTACGATAATTTACCTGTGTAATTCTTTTTTGAAATAATGTAGCTCTCTAACTGTATATCGATTGAAAATGTGCTATTTGCATAGTTACCATAAAATGGTAAAGAAATAGAATTTTCGGGGGAAAAAATAACCCTCCGCCGTTACATAATAGATCGTCCTCTTGGACTTTCAAATTTTCTATTCTATGTAATGCAAAGATTCTTTCCCTTTCACCAATAAAAAAAACCCTAGCAACCTCAAAATTCAAAAATAAGATCGATCTTCATCTATTTGCATAGTACATAAAATGACACTCATCCTTCAAAGTTCATTAACTTTGAAGTTAACAACTACTAAATATCCACTAAGGTTAGTGCGTGGAGATTTTAATGACTACGAAATACAAAAAGTTGGATGGCCTGAATATAGATTCCATGTCACAGTATTGTACATCTTTGAAACCCAACATTCGAAAATATTCTTCGACCAGTGGGCCACAAATTAGAGAACCAGCCTACCCTAGGTGCATTGGCTGCATCTCGAAGCAAGGCCTCTTCCTCAATCCTATCCGAGTCCTCCTGATCCTCTTTACTCTGATTTTCACTTACACTTCTTTCTTCTGTATCTTCAGTTCCAACATCTGCAATTTCTCCTGGTTTTTTGTCAAATAGTCCTTTAAATTGTTTACGTGCTTTCTTCTCAACTTCCTGCTCAGGCATAGAGAAAGATATAAAACGTTTATGTCCTATCTCCACTAAATGATAGAATTGTTTTACATCTAACCTACCTGCTTCTTCTGCTTCAGTTTTTGAAGTGCTGCAGTTGCATCAGGTTCGGATGATTTGTCAACTTTCATCATCTAGCAGCATCCATAACCATATTTAGAAACTAAATGCTAAGGATTTAAAAATGTTCCACCAAAATAAAATAGAAGCATTCTTACCATTTCAAAATCACTTCTTGCTTCCTCAAAATCCCCATTTGCCATGTAGGCCATTCCTCGGCGGTACAGACCCTTCACATGGGCAGGATTTGCATCCACAACCTGCATATTTTAAACAGGACTACAAATCAAAGATCCATTTGATGGAATGCAATGGCAACTGAGGTAAGTGACAAAGAAGAGAGAACATAGCATTTCAAAGCAAACACAGTACTTCAACAATAAGCAAGGAAACTCCTATATAAGCTGTTTAGTGACATCGAATTAAGCAATTACAAGGATTACACTGATATTGCAATTATAGAGGCATCTTCCTTGACCATTGAGCAATGAACCTAAATATGATTTCCACATAAAGAAACAACAACTACTAAGGAAAATAAGCAATTTTAAAAGGAAATCAAATAAATACATAGCAATTTTGGGTCACAACACCTTATCCTTCCCACAAAAACGTACCTTGTTGCAATACTCGATGGACTTTTTGCATTCTCCCATTTTGAGGTAGCATGCAGCCAGGTTTAGATTTAACAAATTCTTCAAACAAAAATATAAATGAAAAAAATGTTACATGAGCAAAGATATTCAAAATATATATTGAAAACAAAAAGCTCCTTTTGTTACTCTTTAACGAGTGGAAAAACTTACTCTTGTATCTGCAAAAACCTTCCCTTCCTCATCATCTTGTGGATTAACATGATTAAATTCTCTAAGTACCTGTTTTTTAGCAATAGGTGTACAACATTATATGATAAATGTTCGCAGACAAAATTCAGATATTTTGGAGATCAAGAGAAAGGATCCAAAAATTCAAAAAAAAAAAAAAAAAAAAAAAAAAATCAAGAGAAAGGATCCAAAAATTTCAAAAAAAAAAAAAAAAAAAAAAAAAAAAAGGCGGAAAGAAAAAAAACGGCCGCGCAACATGGGTTTTATTGGAAATAATAAATGAGCCCCATTTATTTCAGATGTTAAGTTCTGAGAGAAGTGGGGGAGGGCCACAAAAATTTTATAATTACGTAAGAAGATAGGATAATATAGAACATAAAAACACACCAAAAAAATATGAGATGTTTTCTTTACTTTATTCAAAGTAAAAAAAAAAAAAAAAAAAAAAAAAAAGGGAAAGAAAAAAAACGGCATAACATGGGTTTTATTGGAAATAATAATGAAGCCCCATTTTATTTCAGATGTTAATTTCGAGAAGCAACAAAAATTTTAATTACATTAAGAAGATAGGATAATATAGAAAAACACAAAAAATATGAGATGTTTTCTTTCTTATTCAGTTCAATGAAAGACTGGCAAACAATTCCTAATAACATCACCAACCAAGCAATGCTAAGGAGTGATGTCAGCAAATGGCTTCACTCCATTTTATTAGTTGAAACCATGCAAATTCAAATCTATATAACAAAAACACCAAACAAAACATTAGCAGCCTAAAGATGCCCGTTTACATAAATGAAGAAGTGAACATATAACCTTCTCATATTTTGCCTTTGCAAGTTCAAACTTTCCTTCTTTGAACAGCCTGTTTCCCTAGACAACAACAATCATCATGGATCAAAGTTTGTAAAACAATCAACATATGAAGATGAAGCGACATTGCAAGCAGTCAAAGACATAATTGAACAAATACATACAGTGTTTCTAATCTTCTCAGCTTCACCCATTATAGTTGGAAAATCCATACCGGTCCAATCCTACAATAAGGATTTTGTTCAATGAGCATTTCCAGTTACGTAAAGCTGAATTAAGTGAAAATTCCTCTAAACACCAGAAATTCTCATTACTAACTACAAAGTCTATCCCCCTCAAAGCTACTTAAGGTTTAACTTTTTAAGCAATATTTATTGGTTACCTTTGGCATCTCAAAACCAAGTAGCTCAATCTCCCATTGAATATGAGCACCTTCAGGAACATTTGCTGGCCTAACAATGTGGAAATACAACAAGATTTGTTTAAAATCATATAAGGATCATGGTAAGGAAAGAAGTAAGTTTGACAACACGATTCTATTTTTTTGTACAATTAGATATGTTAAACAAGATTTTAAAAAAGCAACCTCTGGAATTTGTCATATGCATAATCCGGAGGGCATGTGACAAGAGCTATTTCTCCGGGAAGCATCAAACGAACACACATTTCAAATCCTTCAGGGACCTGCAACGAAAACAAAAGTTGAAGACAACAGTAGTACAGCAAACTACCAATTGAGGGTAAGCACTAGAAGTTGGGAACCTATCATTATTTCTACAAATATGGGAGTTGAGATTAAGAATAAATACTTTCCATTAATCTATTTTATGCTTTATATGGAGTAATTACTTACAAGACCTTCTCCAGAACTGAACTCCAATGGTTGACCATCATTATCTACTCTTGTATCATAGAAGATCTGCTTTTCCTCATTGAGAAGCATACCCTTGTAATGGACCCGTAGTAGACTGTCATGAAGAGGGCAATCCATGGGAAACTCACCTAATTTTAGAGCAATGTAGATACTCATTGTACTATACATAATGTAATAATAGCATAACCATGTCGTATAGTTATGTATATAAAGGCACAGCCACTTGCCAAAGGGGAAAAAAAAGAGAGGAAGAGATTAGGAAGAAAAAACCTGAAATTAACAAAGTAACAATGCATAGATATGTGCCGAAGGCTAAAGACAATGAAGCTAATAGAAAATACAAATAAAAACATGATTAGTTGCTGAATTCAATTTGGCATATCAAACGCATATCAGAATCACCATCACTTCTATTGAAAGCACAATCTTTGATGTTTCCCAGAATATGTACATAAACCAAAACTCTTACAACCTTTGACCTGACCTTTTGGGTAATGCTAATTCCAAGTCACAAATTGTCAACATGACTTCAATTAGAATACACTCAGAAGACTTCTGTTTTTATTTTGTAAAGTAAGAGGGGTTTGACTAAAAAATAAAAGCATCTTAAAATAGAGAATCAATAGTTACAATTTTGTGCAGAATAACAAGTATATATATGAGCAGAACCCAGAAAAGACCACAATCCTTCAACAGTTTGTCTAAATTTGAAAGAAAAGCCACAAAGTGATCTGTCCTGTTTCTCTAATATGCATCCATTAATTTGGGATCAAGAACAGACTACCACCTATTGCGTGATGCAGAAAGAAATTTATTGCACATGCCATTAACTGACATAACTAATTTTTTTATTTTTCTGTCTTGACCAATGCACATCAATGATTGTTAATACTTTTATAAATATAATAAGATGATCCACAATTCAAAAGAGGCATGAGCATGCAAGAGGAAGTACTGCCTCATAAGAGATATGACAAGTAGAAAAACTTGTTTTTCATCTCGAACTTATGCCAATAGTTTAAAGCTTAAATGATTATAGCAGGAGAAAAGTAGTTGAAAAAGTTCCACCCGGGATTTCTAAGAGATGTAATCCAAATGTATGAATCAGAATCTATGAAAGCATCCATATCATACCATGAAAAGATACTAGATTATGAGCACTGGGAAAAGGACAGATAAGACATAAAACATATCTATAGAGACGTGCAGGAGAGCAATCTCTAAGAAATAAAAATGAACTGTGTACAGACCTCTTCCATCACGAAGCCGACGCTTTATCAGGCGCCCATCTCCCAGCATATCCCTAACCTGTCAACACTAAGCCAGATAGTTGAATTACACCATCATGAATTCCGTCGTTCAACATGGAAGTAAATGCATTAAATAAATAAGTAAAAAAAACATGTGCAAGAACAAATATAAACAATAATTATTCAGGATTTGGCTATAAATTGCTTTCAATAAAATGATGTTTAAGTTGCAAACACTACATATAACTAAGATGATGTTTAACTTGCAAACACTACATATAACTAAGTTATTATTTTAAACTTTCGTCACTCTTCCAGCATGATTACAACTCATCTCCATTAGTTGCAATAAACATCTTTAACACTTTGGACCACCCAGATAAAGATAGGCTTATGAGACCATCCATTATTGTTTTTGGAACAGTCGAATTTCCCAACTACTAACCATAGAAAATATGGCAGCTGACATCTGGGGTGTCCAAAGGCAAACAATAATGATTTGCTGCAATTAAGGAGAACTTTGCATACCTGAGTGAAATGGACAAGCTCCACTTCAAAATGAACTTCATCAAAACCTTCTAGCACAGGCATGAGTGGAGATTCAGTTAAGTGTTGATTGGTAACATATATTACTGCCTTCTCTTCTCGTGTCATTGAACCTAGGCCCAGCTCAAGACCTTTAGGTACCTAATTTAATCAACAAACAACAGACAAATATATTATGATGTCCAGAGCAACATCCAGAAGTATAAATATTAAATGGGAAAAATATCTCCTCATTAAATTGGTTAAGGACAACTGGAGAATAAAAAATGAGAATTGACTAAAAAATGCACTAAGAAGGAAAGTCCAATGGAGGATGTTAATAGACATAGCATACAAAGTAAATAATTAAAAGATAAATGAAAAAAACATATATAACCAACCTCCGATTTCCCAATAGTAAAGAAATATGGTTCTCCTTGCATCTGTGAGAGAATTACTTTGCCATTGCCTGTCTTTGCTAAAACCCTATACATAGAACATGCCATTAAACTTCAGGTATTTCATCCTATAGGTTAATATAGAAAAGCAAAGGGAAAAAATTGGACCGAGCTTATACCTGATTTGTACTTCATAAGGTTCTCTTGGTGATTCCCAACCCTGGCCTTCATTTATCACCTATCCACAAGATAAGAAGACATGAACTTTGAATAAGAATCAGAGATAATGATTGATTGTAAATCTCATATTACTGTACCCTCAACAAAATATTCATTTGAAACAAATCTCTTTTTTTATTCCACTACAGGAGAAAAGCACAAGGACTCAAACCCAGGACATCTACCCAAGTATCCTCTCTTCCATCAACCTGTGGTATGCCCAGGTGGGCCATCTTCCTTGTTTTACATTAGAATGGGTCACATATAACAGTTTCAATGCCATATCTGCTTCTGACCTCTCACTGTCTAATGTTCCATTAACTTCTAAGGGTTGTTTCCCAATCCCTCAGTTGCCTTAGCATTTCGAGAGGTCAGGACTTGAGGGACAGTTACAAAATACACGCTTCATTATTGCATTCAAACTAACAAAAAAGAAGAATAGAATAGAATAAAAAGAAAAGCCAATAAACCAAATAATATCAAATATCGACTTTGCTCTCCAATAAATTAAAAAAAGAGAAAAACCTTTTTTCACATTTTCTAATCAATAATGACTTTTTCTTTGAGCATCTAATCTAATGAATAATGAATTCAGTCCTATGACATGGAGACAATACCTATATAAGAGCCAATAAAACAATGAGGAAAGCAACACAGGGTGTTAAAACTAACCCAACAAAAGAAAACATCAGTTGGTGTTTGTAGCCATGCAGATAGCTAGGTACACATATGATAATACCACAACATAAATATAATCAATCTACATTCCCAATACCTTCTTAATAACACCCAGATCTTCGGTGACAACCTGTAAAACAGCACAAATATAGTTTGACATTAGAACCAAAGACATGTCAGTTGCAAATTGGGGAATGTACTGAGTGTTAAAATACTCATGCAAACACTCACAGATCTTCATTCTTCAATATATTCCAATTAAAGACCATTTGACATCATGAAAATCTATTTTGTGAATAAAAGCTGTAATAAGCCAGACAAGCATAAACAAAGAAGATAGAAATTTAAAATTAAAAACTCTTGCCTTGACTTTAGAAAAGTCTATCATCTCAATCTCATAATGAAGTTCACTTTCCTTCGGAAAGCTACTTGGAGGTGAAACTGGACAATCAGCCTCTCCATAGTGCATATCAGGTTTCATCTTGAACTGAAACAAGAGATATCACCAACTTTAAAATAATAAACCAAAAAAATCCAACATAACTCAATCTTCATTCACAAAATTCTCCAGCTCAAACTTTTATAGAACGGGAAAAAAGAGACCAAATGGAGTTAAACAAAGAGACCATGGTTTTTCCTTACATATGTGAATACAGATTTGGCTGACATTCCTCCTTTCATGCATATACTTTTTTCACTATTTCTTTTTTCTTTTTCCTTTTTTTTTTTTTTTTTTTTTCTACATTTCCAATATCTTGCTTAATAAACACCAGATCTTCGGTGACAACCTGTAAGAACAGCACAAACTTATAGTTTGACATTAGAACCCAAAGACATGTCCCAGTTGCCAAAAATTCGGAAATGTACGAGTGTGAAGATACTATGTGGCAAAAACAATCCACAGAATTTCATGCTTCTAATATTCTCCAAACATTACAAGACCATTTGACATCCATTAGATCATCTATTGTTGCTGAATAATAGCTGTAAAAATAAGCCAGACAAGACATAAACAAGACGATTAGAATTTAAAATTAAAAACTCTTGTGCCTTGACTATAGGGAAATAGGCTTTCATCTCTAACTCTCAATAATGAAGATTTCACTTTCCTTCGGAAAAAGCTTTACTTGGAGGTGAAACTGTGACAATCAGCCTCTCCACTATGATGCATATTCAGGTTTCATCTTGAAAACTTGAAACAAAGATCATCGACCAAAACTTTAAAATAAATAATAAACCACAAAATAATCCTAAACATCAATCTTCATTCTCACCAGAAATTCTCAGCTCAAACTTTATTAGTAAACTCGCGGAAAAAGAGGACAAATGGTGAGGCGTTAAAACAAAGGTACCATGGTTTTTACCCTGTTATATATGTGAATAACAGATTGACTGACATTCCTCTCTTTTCATGTGCATATACTTATTTTCACTATTTCTTTTCTATTTCTCCTTTTTTTTTTTTTTTTTTTTTTAACAATAGCAACAGTATATTAAAGATCACATGAAGCACAAAATGAGATGTTCAATTTTTTTTTTTTTTTTTTTTTTCAAACAAAGCACATATATAAGATCACAGAAGCACAAATAAATGTAATATTTCAAAATGTAGAACCTAGTACCATTGCCACTTCACCCTTAAGCATCGTGGGAAGCCCCTCCACCAATCCCAAAAGCATCTTACTTTTTCCCAAAACTTGTCTTATTGGAGTACCCTTGCCTGTCATGCAAAATGTCCATAAAAACATAAGATAGCTTATTACAGAGATTATCTTAATCAAGGATTAAGCGATCCCAAGATAGCACAGAAATCAAAAAGAACCAAAAAGTTTATTCTACACAGAAACATAGTTATGAAACATCCATAACCTACTTGCAACCATGGATCAACCCACCTCCATATTCCAATCTAGTAGACTCTACAACAACTCCATCCAATGTTCTAACTGTGCAATGGTATATGACCTGAGAAACGTTAAAAGTCAAAACAGTTAACTACTTCCTTACAAAAAAAGAAAAAGAAAAAAGAAGAAGAAGAGGAAGAAGCAGCTTGCAATGAATCATTCTCATGAAAAGCAAGTAACGATCAGACTAAAACATAACAGAATATAAATAAGTAAATAATAACCTGATCACCATCTGATGGTCTAGCATCACCTCCTCCCGGTCTCATCTCAGCTTTCATCAAACTCCCAGGTACAATTTTCTTTCTCCTGATTGCCATTTCATTTAAATGCAATAACAGAATTTAAAGGTAACCCAATTCTCACTTACAAAGTTACTGCTAATTCACTAAACATTGCAATCAAAATAGACCCATAAGTACCTTTTCTCATTTTCAGTGGGTTCTTTCTTCTTCTTTGGCATCATATCTCCCCCAACATCCATGGCTTGCAACAATATTCAAGGAATCAACAAGAATAACAGAGAATTGTGGAATCACAATAAGCTTAAATTGAGTTCGATAAAAACAGCAATAAAGACCATAAATTTTCAAAAATGAGCATACGGAAAAAGAATTAAACCCTAAGTTAACAAATTAAAATCAAAGAACGAGTTAATCGATTGATATTAGTATTTAAATCAAAATTTGAAAAATTCTCTATTATTTGACTTAGATAAGCATTGGGCAAAAGCACCAAAGCCTAAGAACTGTATTAGGTGAACAGACATGAGAAGATTTACCTCAAGTTTGGAAGCAGAGTACAAATGGAGATATATTGACTAGAGCTGTTTGAACGTTGACGGACACTACAGAGCTGGCTGCCTGGCTTTTAGTTACTCAAAGGCCGTAGCAGTTATAACAAAATATGACTTTTGAATTTAGAATTATGAAATTGGTTTAGCTGTTGGTTGTAACAAATGAATTCTCTTTGTAGGAAATTTCTTTAGAAATTCATATTTTTACATCTGAAACAAAAAAATAAAAATGAATTCTTTTGTAGGAATTATTTCTTTAAGAATTCATCTAATTTTTACAATCTGAAACAAAAAAAAAAAAAAAAAAAAAAAAAAAAATAACTATTATATATATAATATGATTTATAAATATATATATATATAGATTTTCAAATTCTAGAAATTCTAGGAAATTTTAATCTTTATGAAATTGAATATAATTATATTAAATTTTATAAAAATAGTTTAGAATTCTAAATGAATTTCACAAAAAAACTAAACCATCCATCAATTTTTATAATTAAAATTACCCTTTCTCTTCTGCAAAGCCAATTTTCATGAATTTTTTCATTTACTAAATTTATTTATTATCAAAACTGACCCAGAATCATGTAAAAAATTTTTTTTGGAAAAACACTTTTATATTTATTGTGTTTTTTATTTTTAATATTTTTCATCTTTTATTTAAATTGAGCTTTTTTTTCTTACTATTGAGGAGACGAGATTCAAAATTAAACAATGCACATTCATTACTAAATTGCAATAATTTTTATTAATATTATTTTTTAATATATTTATTTTATAAAAATATAATTGTATTTATTTATTTGCCAAAAATATTTCAAAAGATATTTTAGGAAGTAACGAAAATTTGAATTTCGAGTTATGAACTTATTTTATACATAATTACGTATGGAATTCACTTCAAGTTGAATTATATATAATTATATTAAATTTTATAAAAATAGTTAGAATTTCTAAATGAATTTCACAAAACTAAACCATCCATCAATTTTGTATAATAAAATTACCCTTTTCTTCTGCAAAGCCAATTTATGAATTTTTTTCATTTACTAAATTTATTTATTTATCAAACTTGACCAAAATCATGTAAAAAATTTTTTTTTGGAAAAACACTTTTATATTATTGTGTTTTTTATTTTAATATTTTTCATCTTTTATTTTAATATTTTGAGCTTTTTTTCTACTATTGAGGAGAGAGATTCAAATTAAACATGCATTCATTACTAAATTGCAATAATTTTATTAATATTATTTTTTATATATTTATTTTAATAAAAATATAATTGGTATTTATTATTGCAAAATTATTATTTCAAAGATATTTTAGGAAGTAAACGAAAATGAATTTTCAGTTATGAACTTATTTTATACATAATTACGTGGAATTCAATTGAATTATATGTGTTGATATAATCATACCAAACATGAATAATTCATTCACAAATGAACTTTACTATAACTTTTTTTATAAATGAATTCTATACTTTGAATTCATTTATATCAAATTCCTATCAGTTTTGGACTTAGATAGCCAGCGAAGGGTGTAATTGACCCGATTCGGTTCATGAACTGTTTGAGTTTAGCTTGAAAAGAGATAAAAAAAACTCGACTCAAATCGAGTTCAAGTATGTTTATTTAGAAAATAAGCCGAACTCGATGATGTTTAACTCGAAAACTCATCGAGTCTTATCAAGCTTTTATATATACATATATATAATATTATTTTAGATTATTCGATTATCAAGCATTGAGCCTCAAGCCAAGCTATAACTTAAAATTTTATGAGTTGAATTTAAGCTTCAAGTCGAACTTTCATCGAGCTTAAGTCAAGCTCGAGCTTTCATCGAGCCAAGTTCGAGTCTAAATTTTCAAACTCATTAATTTTTTAACCGAACTAAATTCTATTGAACTAAATTTCTAATCTAATTAAATTCTATCGAGCCGAGTTTCGAGCCATTAGAGTTCGTCTCAGTTCACTTATGCCCAGTGGCACTGTGTTGATCTATGCAGACAAGTTGGGTATTGTAATATAAATTATTAAAGATATTGGCTCCCCTTCCCACCTTTAGATAAAGTTATAAGCCACTATAAAATGGTGGCCTAGGAATAGGTCACTACTATACATCCTCATTTTTTGTCATATTCTCTATTCCTCTCTCAGTCCAAAAAGAAAAGGCAATGGAGGAGAGAAGAGTTGGGTCTCTTATGGTGGTCTCTATTATGGTGCTGGGTTTGGTTTTAGGGCAGCCAACAGAAGCCTCTTTTGGTGACTGTTATAAAGTTTGCTTCCTTTTGTGTGTAATAACTCCCGGTAACTCTCTGGTTGGATGTGGTGGTAAGTGCTTGAAAGATTGCATCTTTCCTTCATCAATCAACTCTTTAACTGAGAAACAGCAAACCCATTACTTCTGCAACTTTGGCTGTGCTTCCTCTTTCTGCTCCAACATCAGCTCCAAACATGACCCAAGTAATTTTTTCTCTCTCTTTCCCTTGAGTATTTTTTGTTTTTAATAATCAGAAAGTGTAATCCCTTACACGTAGAAGTTTTTTTTCCTCCCAAGAAATGCGTTCTCGAGGATGGAAAATCGAGTTCGCTTGCCACCAACCAATATCTTATTGTTTTTAAGTACTTATTTATGAAGAAATGAAATGGGATCAGAATATTTTCCAATTGGCTTGTGGATAATTGTTGTTTGTGTGGTTGACAGGGGAAGAGAAAGTGGCAAGTTGTGTGAATTCTTGCTCAAGCAGATGCTCCAAGAACTACTCACCATAACAAGAAGAGTTTTTTTTTTTTTTTTTATAACAAACAAGAAGTGTTTGTTAGTGTTCTGAATATTATAATATTAATATATAGAAAATTAGTAAATAAAACTCAACTATCATGTGAATGTAACACTGTCAACTGTGAGGGTTAAAGAAGAAGGAAGGATTATATTATTGTTATGTAAGACAAAATGTTAGCAGATCGAGTAGCTGTAATTATATTTTTGGTGGCATCGTTAATTATTATTCATCATATATATACCTAATAATGAAATGGTCACGAGCTCGCATGTTAGAAGTTTAATGTTGTCTTAATTAATTAATTAATTATATATTGGACTCATAAAATTAACTTAAAAAAATAATTATATCATAATAGAAAAGATTAATATTTTATTTGTTTTAGAAATTTCTAATTTCATATCATAAAATAAACAGAAACCCATTTTGTATGGATAGTTGAAAGCTGCGTGTCACATGGTGATTGAATGAGGTTGAGACAAAATGATAGCTCACGTGAAGAAAGTGGCTGTCTGCCATTTCATTACCGAGCGCATATTCATACAAAAAGGAAAAAGATGAGCTTATTTTCTTCTCTAAAAGCAATAAAACTAAACTATTAAGCACAAAAGCCCAAGCAATCTCTGTCAAAGCATCCCATCCACCTTTGGCTCCATCAAAGCGCCTCATCCACCTTTATCAACTACTGGATCAAATTTCTCACCTTCAATTGATAAACAAAGTAGCTGTCAAATATTACTATAAAAGTTAATTTAAAATTGCTATTTTTGAATTCATGATTTAAATTAAAGTTTAGAGCTTCAATTACTAAATTTAATATTTAAAAAATTTAAAACCACTGTTTTTAGTGTTTAAATGTCACTCTAAGGGGATTGAAAACAAAAAATAAATAGAAACAATTGAAAAATATGAATTTCTGTGTCCAATCACTAGGGCACTATGCTTGACTAAAATTTTAACAATGGTGGAGAGTAGGTCGCACATCTTCAAATGGCTTGATTTTAAAGACAAATGATCAATTTACATATGTTAAAAGACCAATTGCACAATCGGATAATAGTTGGCAATGGCAGCATATCCATCCTTGCATAAAAATAAAAAAAAACTCAAAATTTTCATTTATTTAACCACCCAATAAAGAACCTAACACTGCCAAAAAGAATTATTAGAAAAATTATTACAGAGCTCTAATATTAAGTTATAAAGAAAACTTTTTTTTAAATATATATATATAAGTGAGAGCAATTCAGTTCAATATTACCAGCCCAAGCGACCACCTCGAGCCTTCCAAGCAAAATCTCCTGGTGCTGGCCTGAGAAACCGGAAAGTTTCATTTGGTTCTAAATCTAGAACTTGAACATAACTGACCCCATTGTCTTTTCCTTACTGAAGTGTATACTCTTCAATGTACTGAAATTATCTCGGTCATTCTATTCTTCATTCTTTGTTGACCTCATGGAACAGTGATTCAAGCTGTTGTTTTGTGCACTTGTTACTTAGAACTAGGCTTTGTCAGTGTGTTGTATTAATTAAGCCCTGAAGTGTATACTCTTCAATGTACAGAAATTATTTCGGTCGTTCTGCTCTTAATTCTTTGTTGAATTCATGGAACAGTGCTTCAAACTGTTGTCTGGTGCACTTATTACTTAGAACTAGCCTTTAGTGTATTGTTGGTCTCAGTGATTTATCGTTTTATTTGTTTATCTGTTTTATATGGTCTGTTCTTTTTGAATATAGGAGTCTTCTAAGCCATCATTTAAGGTTGTCGTCCCAGTTTGTGGTGCTGAAGTTGTGGGTTCTGACAAAATAAATAAGGAGCTGGCTAATCTGGTTCGAGAGCATCTGTTATTGGTCCATCCGTTATCATGATAGCTTGGCTCATCTAAAACTTGGAGTTGTTAAATGTTGATAAAAATCTTAGCATTTATTTATAGTTTTGATTTGTGATGTGTTTTTCAATTGTCGGAGATATATGGCGCACCACCTCCAGAACAAGGAGAACACTGATCACTGCAGTTTAAGTGGCAACCCTTGTGCCAGCCACAGATAGGAGAGAAAAAGAAATAGTAAGGACGAACCCTTGGGGTTAAAGATAAAATTAAAGAGGGGCAATGGGCCACCATATATTTTTCCTAATTTCTTCTCCATCATCTCTTCCATAACATTTTTTTTAAAATTTAAAAATATCAAAATTATTAAAATTATTAACCGGCTGTTTGATAATTTTTAAGTGACAAGTTTGAAATTTATTAACAGTTTTGTATATTACTGAGAGTATAGATTAAAGTTTCCCTACATTCAAAACTCATATATATGTATATATATAGAGCAGCATCAATGGAACACAACTAGGGACGAAAGTAGTGTGGGTATTTTAGGATACTCGCTGCGCTCCAATTCGTTTAAATACAATATAAGTAATTATAAATGAATTTAGGACGGGTACAGATAGTAAAATTATTACCCGTAATGGATATAGGTATAGATTTTTTGCATACCCACTACCTGCCATTGGAATACCCATAGTTATTCTGTCCACTAGCAATAAAAATTATATTTTAAATAAATTCAGATTTAAATAATTAAAATTCGCACCAGTATAAGAATCTTTTAAACGAATGCTGAACAAATATGAATAGTAAAATTTAAACGGATTTAAGTACAAATATTTAAATGAATACAGACAATAAAATTTTAAATGAATATAGATATAAACAACTTAAATTTCACGGATTCATAGATGAACATGGATATAGATAACTTAAATTTCATGGATACTTGTCTGCTTCCATCCCTAAACACAACTAACCACTGCATAAATTTATACATATGTTAACCAATCTGATAGAACATTATCCTCCATTTTTCACCAATCTGTTAGAACTTACTTTTCATGCACAAGCACAAGACTCCAAGCAAATAGGACACAAGATAATACCAACACGCAACATATGCAATTTGATATTATATAGTATTATCCCTTATTAGAGGGAGCAACTATAAAATTGTCAAACATTCTCAACGTCACTTGAGCTGCAAAATATGCAACATTGACCCCGGAATTTACTCAAAATAAAGTAATAACATTCTCTTGAGAACTAGACTCAAGTTCAATAAACAAAATAGCAACCGGACTTCTTCAAGACTCTGCTACATAGGGCTCAAGCATGACTCTAGAAGAAAATTCTTCTGTTGACAGCAACCAGGGATGAGAATTCTTTATCCATATAGCGCACCTTTCACTCATCCGAAGCCTTGGGTGAATTCTCTGGAGTCTTCAGAACTGTATTCGTTTTATCTTTATGTGCTGTAATGGCAGCGCGAAACTCTTCTACTACGGAAGCATCCTTGAATTTCAATGCAAATGTAGAAAGACCATCCTTACTTTCACCAGTACTATTCATGCATGCAAAAGTGATGCCTCGCTTGTCCATATTCGTGAGCTTCATGTCAGGGTAAAGACTAGCGTTCAGGATTAATCTGTAATTACCCCTAGCTCTCATAAGGAGTCTAGCTTTTTCTGTCCCAGCAGTAGACACGTTCACCTTGAGTTCTCCCTTTCCACGTTCCTTCCATGAACCATTAAAATACTCAAACAACACTGAATCAGCAGAGAAAACTACTCTCTCATTCTCTTCCCCCGTCTCAACTGAAACCTCTTGCATGGATGGAAAACCAGTACCCTCATTCTTTGAGACTACAGAAGACCCCGTTGTGTTAAAGATGGACGAACTACCGTTACTAGACAGACCAAAACCAAATGACGACTGGTCATTTTTCTGCCCGAACAGAGAAGCAGTAATTGTACCTGGTGAAGATCCATCCTTAGGAACAGATCCAAATGAGAATGTAGAAGCGGAAAACCCAGTTCCAGCAAGACCTGTGAAAGCATTTTGGCTACTTGAAAGCTGTTGGAATGAACTCAAATGAGCGCTTTCAGTGCTTGGGTCTTCATTTTGACTACCATTATCCTTCTTCTCTTTGTTTTCAGTGTTATCACCTTCAACTTTTTTATTCTCACTCGTTCCACCACCCACTGCTTTTACATCCTCTGTTTCTTCACCATCTGCTGTATTTTTATTCTCCACCTCTTCACCACCCGCTGCAATTTTACTCTCTGTCTCATCACCACCTGCTGCTTTTTCATTCTCCACCTTATCAGCTGGCTTTTCATCATCAACCTTGGACCCAGTTGCCTCATTGGCTGCATTATTATTCTCCTTATCCTCAGCCACCTCCTTTGTACTAGTTTCAGCTGCTGGCTCTTGAATCTTGCTTTCTAAGTGCTGACCAGTCTCATCTTTACCCTTCTCTGCCTTTTCACCAGCATCAGCTTTCCCCTTCTCAGAAACTTCTTCAGTAGTAGTGACTACTTCAGTTGTTGCCACAGCAGGGACTGTTGTGGATTCAGTAGGAGGGACCAAGCGAATCCCAGCAAATGGGTTGGATGAGGGGGTTGATGAGGTTGGATTGCGACGAACTTTCAAAATTCTTCTACTTGCCAACACCTCATCACTAGCCCTCTTGAAAGTTCCAGTCTCTTCTTCTACAGATTCATCATCATCATCAAGACCAGGGTTATCTTTTGATATCTCCCTTCCAGCAGCTCTCTTTTTTGAAGGTGGAAGTGTATGTTCCGCATCCCCCATTGACAAATAAACCCAAAAAACTTACTCTTGCCTCCTTTTTCCCACAAGACAGGGTAAATGTGATTTGCGTATCCACAGCAATGATATTTCTAAACACGTGATTACCAAACTAATACATAAGCAGACTAGCAATGTTATAAAAGGAAGAAGGAAGCAATGGTGAAGAATGCGAAGAATAAATATGAAGATATGTAAATAAAAATAAACATGTACAAACTATAGCATATAATGTGAAGAAAAATATGTCTAAAACTGCAAACTGAAATTAATGGGAAATGCTCACACTTCTAAATACCCGCTTCTGGGATTCTAGTACTTTTAACTGACGAAAAGACAGGAGTAACAAACAAGTATTATACTCGAAGTATAAGATGCCTTTTATTGGTCAATCAAAATCTGTTAACGAGAAGAATCAGCTCTCATACACATACAACTTCTAACAGAGATTTATTAGAAGTAAACAGCATGCTTGAACTCATGAATTTAACTATATTGTTTGTACTTGCCATGGGATATCAGCAACACCCCAAAATTCTAGTCATGCACATCAAATGCAATCTACCATGCAAAAAGACACTAACAAGCCACCTCAAAGATTTAGGCTAAGTATCTCTTTCTGATTTTCCATCACAAAATAGAACCGAGTAAAAGTCATAAAATCTGGCCTCTTGATATGTTGACCACTTCTTAAATTCACAGTAGGATCGAGGTAGATCCCTCATGCCCAATACGCAAATTAATAATTGAATTCAAGTCTACGAGGTAAAAGATAAAAAATATAAATAATAACACTAAGTAGCCCACTGAACTCTACAGCCTTCTTCCAAGCTATTAATAAACATGGATCAGAATCGTTCTCTACACCTCCCAAAATATTCTTTTTTAAGTTATACAGTACTTGGCTTTTACAATCTCATCCACTTAAAAATTGTTAGAAAATTTACTGACTACCATGGCAATGTCAATGTTCCCCATGTCAATATATGCCAAATGCAATGCTTATAGCATCAACACATGCAAGTAACATGAAAGAAAGCCTATAACAACTTCAGAGGTCACAGTTAAAAACACATTTATTTTCAGTTCTTTTAAACCATAAAGGAGTTTCACATACGTCCACGCCCAAAAGATAAATAAATAAAGGGAGAGAGATGGTAAAGAAATATAGTATTTTTAGTTTGCCTTATACAAAATAACTTAAATCTCTCCGCCAAGCATCTCTTCATGTCAATGCCTTTTAACATCTAAAAATTTTCTCAACAGGTTTCATAACATCACATGCCAAAACTTAAAAATCTACAGCATGTACAAATCAAATTAAAAAAATTTAAAAAAAAAAAAAAGAAAAGAAGAAAAAAAAATCCATATCATGGAAAACCTGAAGAATCAGGAACGTCATTAAATAAAAAAAAAAACACACACACACACACACACAAGCGGACGCAGAGTTAGAGAGGAAAAGGGTTTTAAATAAAACCTTAAATAAATCATTAACTGAACTACGCACTTCCTTCCTCAACTATTTAAACTCAGCAAAGAAAAAAGAAGAAAAAAAATCCATGAAATATCAAAACCTTTTCAGTTGCCTTTCATTCCTTTCACATTTCCCTAGCAGCCAAACAGAGAGTAAAAGCAAATAAGTCCTAATTATCAAAACGGAAATGAACAAATCCACGAGATTCCGACAAAAGTACCTTACAAGCGCGACCAATAAATGCACGAAAAATTAAAATAATTGAAAGAAAAATCAACAGAATATAGTTAAGGAGAAAATAAACAGCTAAACAGAAGATGTAAATGACTAATTCATAGATTTAGAAAGTACAGAATCAAAGCGGATTTGGGAACTTACAGGAAACAAAGGCGAACTGAAGCAAAACCCTAGAGCGAGAGGGAGAGATACAAAAGGAGAAAAGGGTTTTTTGTAATATTATGACTTTAAATTGAATTTATAGATATTCTTAATATAAAATAATTGCGATTTGGGGAGATGGGCATATGGGTTATGGAGGAGTCTGAGGGTTTCGCTTTCTTTTTCCGAGCTCGAGGAGCAGAGCAAAGGGTCCCTCATAAAGACACGTGTATATTGGGTGGTGATGACCAGTGGATAGTGACCTGATCTTGGTGTCATGAAATTTGTGTGAAATTATGCTTAAATGACTACACGTGTATGATTGGGCCAAATGATTGGGCTATAGACTGCGAACTATTACTAATAGCCGTGTTTAATCCTGCTGTTCTAAAAAACCGAACACTAAAAATCTTTAATTTGAAGTACTATTTAACTATTGTGCGAAATGAAATAAATTAACTCACATAAATGCTTATCTATAGTCTATCCATCTATCTGTGACACATATAAAAGTGAATGGATAGCAAAATATTAACATTACAAAAAACCATTATTGTCTCTCCGTTCAAAAAAATATTTCATTTTTTCTTTTTGATTTGTTCCAAAATATAATTTATCTTTTTTTTTTTGTTTATTCTAAAATATAGTCCACTTTATTTTTTTACATTATAATTAATCATTAAATTATCTATTACATCTTTATTAAATTTTATTTTATTTTTAATAATTTTTATTAATTATGCTAATATAATAATTGCTCATGTGTTATTTAAGATGGATATAATAGAAAAATTATATGAATAAACTTGTCTTTTAACCATAATAATTATTATTTTCTAACATGTGTGAAAATAGAAAGTGGGCTATTTTTTGAGACAAATGGAGTATTAAGTTTATAGATTGATAAGAATGTTATTAACAATTTTTATTTTTATTTTTATTGGTAATATTATTTTTTTACTCAAATCTAAATTTTATTGGATAAAATAAGAAATTATATTATACACTAAATAAGATATATGGAAATTATGGTCATACTATAATATCTTTAAAGATTTTAGTTTTATTGGTTGAAAAAATAAGGGTAAATATTTTCTATCCAAATATAAATTCTATTGGATTAACCAAAAAATTATATTATATACTAAATAAGATCTATATTAATTACGGTAAGAATAAAATATTCTTAAAAAATTTTATTTGAAAAAATAGAGATATTTTAATTTTGATTGATTATATTACATTATATAAGGTACATATTAAACATGACAATAATATAATACCTTTTATTTTTATTTTTAATAAATCTTTAATTTGATTGACTATAATTATTTAGTAACTTATTTTACAAAAAATAAATGTAATATTTATTAAGAAATATATTATAACCGCACTAAACATAATATTCTTTTTTTTTTTTTGTTTCATAAAATGAAAAGAGAATGACTACATTACATATTATATCGGTTGAACAATGAGCTAGTTCCATAAAGAACGGGTATTTATTTGACAATCGATATCCTCATTACATTCACAAGTAGAACGTAAAACAGCCTTCCTTCCACTAATTAAATTAATGATAACCCAGTATAAGAAAATTAATGATGAATATTGGAGAACGGAAGGAAAAGGATTAAATCAACACCAACACTAATTAAATTTTCTAATTCACAATGGCACCATCGCTCATTAAAGCTGGGGATATAAAAGCCTCAATTAATATGCTAAGGCAACAAGAAGTGTGTAACTGAAACTAGGAATCAATTTCTACCATATTATGTGCTCCGTCACAAAATTCACACCGCTACAATTGGTCCACATATAACCTCTATCTAGCCTCCGGCAGGAAACCTGAGAGTTAAAGACACAAATAGGAGGAAAGGAGGGAAAATAATTCAAAACCTGAACCTTTCAAGTGCATTCTGCAACATGTCACTATATAATGATTATCTTAAAAACTGAATATAAAAGTAACAAATTCCACCCATGTTCAAGTTCTCTACAAAAAATTATTGTCAATCCTAGTATGTGTGCATCCAAGTCGGTGTGGATGCTTATGTCTAATTGTACATTAAAAAACCATTTGAGGTACAAATGGAACCGGAGTGCTCCATGTACAGCATAATCATTAAAAATCACACCTAATGGTATACAAAATTTCAATTATACGACGGTCACAAGCCCAACCTTTGGGAATGTCTCACTTCCTGTCGACTTTCTCTAGTATTTTCCAACAAACATAGAATCGATGCAGTTACTGATGCTCATTTAAATTGTGCTCGTCACAACTCAAAACCTACCCATCATATCTAAGGAAGCTTTTCTCACCTTAAGGCATTAATACAGCTGGAACCAATTGCCTTGAAGAGGACCTAGTGATCGGGCGTAAGCACTGAAAACAAAAGTGAGGTAGAGAATGTAAGAACCAAGACATTCAACCAAATATAATAGCAAATATACTAATAACCAAAATAAGTGAAGTAAACAATTTCAGTCAGTTTCAAAATTATACTGAAATAGAAAATCAATCCATCAAGGATACCCAGGCAATCATGGAAAACTGTTATACATGTACTGGCTCAAGCATTATATGTTTAATCCAACGGATAGATATCTGCTTTTGACCTTTCACTTTAACCTAGATGCTTATGTTAGACAAGGCAGTTGGACATAAGTACAAAAATTTTTACACCTGAAATTGAAAGGAAAAAAGAATCTACACAAAAAAAAAAAAAAAAAAAAAAAAAAAAAATATGTGGCAAATCCAAGTCGGTGTGATGCTTTATGTCTAATTGTAACATTAAAAAACCATTGAGGGGTACAAATGGAACCGGATGTGCTCCATGTACAGGCATAAAATCATTAAAAATCACACCTTAATGGTATACAAAATTTTCAATTATACGACGGTCACAAGCCCAACCTTGCGGAATGCTCACTTTCCCTGTCGAACTTTCTCTAGTATTTGTCCAACAAACCATAGAATCGATGGCCAGTACTGATAGCTCATTTAAATTTGCTCGGTCACAAACTCAAAACCTACCCATATATCTAAAGGAAGCTTTTCTCACCTTAAGGCATTAATACAGGCTGGGACACCAATTGCCTTTGAGCCAGGACCTAGTGGATTTTTCGGGCGTAAGCACTGAAAACAAAAAGTGGTAGAGAACTGTTAAGAACCAAGACATTCAACAACCAAATATAATAGCAAATATTACTAATAACCAAATAAGTGAAGATACAACGCAATTTCAGGTCTAGTTTCACAATAATTATACTGATAATAGAAAATTCAAATCCATCAAGGATACCCAGGCAATCATGGAAAACTGTTATAAAAACATGTTACTGGCTTCAAGGGCATTATTATGTTTAATCCAACGGATAGATATTCTGCTTCTTGACTTCACTTTAACCTAGATGCTTATGTTAGACAAGCAGTTGGACATAAGTACAAAAAATTTTTACACTCTGAAATGAAAGGAAAAAAGAATCTACACAAAAAAAAAAAAATAAAAAAAAAAAAAAAAAAAAAAAAAAAAAAAAAAAAGGACAAAGCATTATAACTAGGTGCCATAAGACTCTGGCAATAAATTAAAATTAACACAACCTGACTCTCAACTAGTAATCCGGGTTGACTGCATATGTGGCATCATCAATAGCACATTGGAAAAACAATGGACGTAATAAATAGGTAGTACCAGTAGTGGTGGTGGTGGTGGTAAAAATAACTTGTGAAAATGTGAGTTAGAGATGGCACTTTAGAATCAATTAATCACCAGAGACAAAATTTGGATTTTCATACTGCCCCAACCAACTGCTTTTAGGCTGACGGGGTTCCTTCATTATTCGTACCCCACTCTTCCTCAGCCTCGTTACCATTGACAAGTACCGCACCATCTGTAGAATCAGCATCAACCACAACAGCCTCCTCTTGGCTCTCTTCTTCTCCATTGTGTTCCTCTGTTATCTGTTCATCTCCATTTTGTTCTGCAGCCTGCACAGAGAACAATAAATTGTTTGTCAGCCAAAAAAAAAAAAAAAAAAAAAAAAACTCTGTTATCTGTTTCATATCTCCATTTTGTTCTGGCAGCCCTGCACAGAGACAATGAGTAAATAGTCTTGTGTCAGCCAAAAAGAAAAAAAAAAAAAAAAAAGACAGGCCAAAACTGAAATGTGGGCTGAAGTCAACAGCAATTTGTGTGAGTGTTATTATTAAGTAGCGCAGTAGATAGTCCGTCATGAGTCATTAGTCCCCTCCAATTTTCAAAGAGGTTTCTTCGTACTACATGTTTCCTGAAGAAGGCCAAGTCTCACGGGTCATTTGTAAAGATTTAATGCAAGCATGGTTCATTGTAGCGGTTCCTCCGCCAGGATTGGAAGTAAAGATACGCTACCCTGTGAAAGCAATTGTTTATTTAGTCAAGTTTATTACAGTAAATCCAAAAGGTGCCTGCATCAATAACATTTCCAATCCAAAAAAAAAAAAAAAAAAAAAAAAAAAAGCCAAAACTGAATTGGCTAATCAACAGCATTTGTGTGAGTGTATATATATATGCAGTAGATACCTCATGATCATAGTCTCCATTTTCAAGAGGTTCTTCTACTAGCATGTTTCTGAAGGCCTCCACGAGGGTCATTTGAGATTTATCAGCATGGTTCATGTAGTCCTCCGCAGGATGATAAACGCCCCTGTAAAGCAATTATTAGTCAAGTTATTACAGTAAACCAAAGTGCCATGCATCAATAACATTTCAATCCAAATTATATGCTCAGTTTGGAAGAGTTAGGGTTATGATAAACCAACAGTGGATATCCATTAAAGAAGAATCTGAAGGAACAAACTTTGAACGGGAAAAGCAGAAGCAGAAAGATTTTTGTTAAGCTTAAGTTGTTTTTTCATCAATCACCCTATGCTTTTAGTAGATTTGAGTTCCTATACAAGTAGACATAAAAATAAGTTTGCAATAATACCTTGTTTCTGTCACTTTAGATTCAACAGATAGAGCAACTTGCCAATCATCAAACATATTTGGGTACTCGTCAGGATCAGCCAAAGATTCTGCAGCTTTTGGGTTAACCTGTAAAACAATAGTGATCGAAGTGAAGTCCATGCAATGCAAGCATAAAAAGAAATTAACACGTGTTTACTACTCATAGCAAAAAGTAATAACCATTAACATTTGGA